GTTGCAAACACATAGGAGGAACCGATTGAACTCGAAACGATCCAAACCGCAACCGCCGCACACACGAGGTACCTTTCATCGCCGGCTGAAGCCACTTTACACGGAAAAATACAAGGTTTCGTGCTCCGGCTTCCTCCCCAAAACAAAGCCCTTGCAACATCATGCACCACTCCCCTTCATGGTTGCCAGTTCCCTTCCTCACCACTCCCCTTCATCATCACTTACCACTTCCCTTCCTCACCACTTCCCTTCGTCACCACTCCCCTTCATCATCACTTCCCTTCTTCACCACCTCCCTTCCTCACCACTTCCCTTCGTCACCACTCCCCTTCATCATCACTTCCCTTCTTCACCACTTCCCTTCGTCACCACTTCCCTTCTTCACCACTTCAAGCATAACAAATGTGCAATGAGTCAACACTCCCTTCATCCTTCACTTCCCCTTCTTCACGCTCCTTCGTCACCAATTCAATTCTTCACCACTTCCTTCTCACCACTTCCCTCCTCCACCACTCCCCTTCATCATCACTCCCATTCTTTCACCACTTCCCTTCGTCACCTACCTTGACTCACAATCACCTTCCTACCCTACCTTCAGCACACTCCCTTCCTCACCACTTCCCTTCCTCACCACTTCCCTTCGTCACCACCCTGTGTCATAGCTTCTTATTCTTTCGTTGTGTATTGTTAGATAATGTATTGTTCTGTGATCTACCACCCTTCATCATAGTCAATTGCATCAAGTAAAAGTCATTGGTAACTCGGAAGTATTGCTTCCCAACTTCCTTTGATAATATATTGTATATATATATGGGATAGTACAATAACCCCGGACATTTCATTTTAGCTTGGCTTGCACCTTAACACTGCCAATGCATTGCCGGCCCAGAAAGCGATAAGAGTAAACAAAACGATAACAAACTTATACATGTACATGTTCATGAAGCCTGAAGATGGCAACCTGCACAGGCCTCCAAAACAATAGCTAAACGATAACAAAAAAGATAATAGAATATTTAAACACGCGAGCGTTTGGGTGGATACCCACCTGACCGGTTTGAGCATATCAGCTTTCGAAGACCTGCATCTTTGATACATAGCGACGGAACATGAAAGGACATCAAAGCAAAACGAAAGGAAATGAATGCAAAATGAAAGGACATGCATGCAAAATGGAAGGAACATGAGAGGAGATAATGCAAAATGAAAGGCGATGAAAGGACCTGAAAACAAAAGATGACATCTGTTGACTCTCGACCAAGGATGCTCTCACCCACAGAAAGCTGGAAAATTCACACTTATTTTCTACAGAGAGCTCACAACCTGAGAAAACGATAAGAACAAAAAAAAACGATAACTTGATTTTGGGTCATTTAAAAAGATACCGGGTTTTTATACAACCCCATATGGTAAATTTAAATAATTTTCATCCCGTTAATATAAAAAACAACACCTAAATGTTCCCAAATATGTGTATATAATTTCCCCTACTTAACTGTGGTTTCTGAGGGGTGCTTAATATTAGGCAACAAACGAACTGGATTTATCCATCCCCAACGACTGTTGATTATTGTGTCTGCCACACTCAGATGTTTCTGATAGGCGGATCAAGTGGGATCTCGGAGACAACCTACACAATTCAGGTGGTGACCCAACTTGTGGTATATCACAATATATCACAACATATCACAATATCACCTTTCCTCTTCAAGTCTTGGACCTATGACCAGAGATGAAGGAACGACTAATCGGAGATTTGATTCATGGTATTTCATATCTTACATATGGTTACGTAGAATTTGTCGAGCTTTATCAGATTACATTGGGACATCATAATTTATAACCACATGTCTGGACGCCTGGATGAATCATCAATTCTAATGTGAAAAGAAGGCCAGGTGGTACCCCAATACCAAAGGTGGTAGAAAGCTCCTGGAACCATCCTCCCGAGAACCAGCTAGGAACCTCCAGTGGAACTGAGACCCCAAAGCTACTGCTGATGGGGAACACGATTATAACTAGACATTACTGTAGCACTTGATTTCACGTTTTTCTTGAACTTCTTTTGTACTAAACCTTCGTGAGACCTAGCTGACCTAGCTCCAAGGCTCCAGATCAACTTAGGACGATGAACATAGATGAACCATGAATTCTGCAGTAAGTTACCATGAATTCTAACTGAATATCTACCTGCCAGTTCAATGAACATATCCTTTTGTCCGTGGCCATTCCCTTCAGTGTTCCTCAGATGGCACAGCCATTGCCTTCCAGGCGGAGTTCTTGAGGGTCTTGCAGGATGTCAAGAGAGATCTGGCCGCGCTAAGGCGGGAGTTTTTGGTTTCTGCTAGAGGCCCTGAAGTTTCGGCCATCAATGGGGAAAATGAGATTATCAACAGGGTTTCATTTCAAACGTTTTTTGGTACCCTTTTTTCACTTTTTCCAGACAATCGCTTAACAAAGCCAGATAGAGGCGATAGAGCTAGATTTTTCTTCTGTGAGGATAGGGGTACTCTTTGGAGGGATATTCTTGTGGCATTTTTGCGGGGTTGCCTCACGCTTTAAAAGAAACCCAAACATTCAACATCAATCATTTTTATTCCAGCATGTTTTGGCATGATTCAGAATGTTGTGGAATGCGTTGATTCCTTTTTCATTTTTTTTATTTTTTTTAAAACATATGTTTGGAATCTTTTTATTTTTATCCTTTGATGTTTTTTCTTGTTATTTTCATTATTACATATTTTTGTTTACCATGGTATTTGTCGGAATGTTTGGAATTTGCTGGAAAGTTGTGGTGTTTTTTTTTTTTTTGCGACAAATGCAATGGAACATGTAGGAACTGAATGTATGGGGTCAGTGACAGAATGTATGATTCCAGGGATGGGGGCAAGGTATTTCATGGAATGTTTTGGAGGTTTTGGAAGTTTTGAGAATTTTAACGATTTTTGAAGCATTGTTTGTTATGTTCTGGAATGCTGGGCGTCTAAAGAGTAGCCGAGTAGCCCTTGTCACAAATGACTTTCCTCTGGAAATGTTCGAGCTTCTTGACGGATCATGACGGATGCAGAGGACTCATTTAGGGTGACACCCTTGGTTGGTTCTGGTTGGTTCTGGTTGGTTCCTTGCTTTCCTTTTTTCGAGTGTTTTTCAAAGTGCCCAGGGACGAGGCGGAGATGGAGACGCTGCATGAGCTGTTGAACCGTCTTCGTAGCTTGGAAGGAGGGCGGTATATCAACCGGGGATTTAGCCGTGGGGGGATGGATCAACACCCAGTTTTTCTCATTTTTTGGACAGTGAACATCTATTTAATTACCAGGTATTTTGATGTAGAGGTATTGGGGATGGATTTTGACCAATCCCCCAAGATGTCCAAAAAGGGGTCCCGAAATATTGCTGGTGTGGTCGCCCTACTGGGCAACAGTTGAGGTTGCTTCAGCTGCTATTTTTAGGAGTCCAATTATATAATAAGACAGAGTATATAGGGTTTCAGACAGAAATTTAAAACACAAAGAAAAAACACAACCAGAGCAAACAGAAAAAAAAGCAAGCAAAAAAACAGGGAAAACTGGATTGTATTGCTTTTTGTTCTTTTCTAGTTCTTTTTTTGTTTTTCTGCTGATTCTATATCTTTTTTTTGTGACTATGTTTTTGATTCTGTGTTTTTGTTCTTTAGTTTTTTTTTGCTAAATTCAACTTTCTCTGTTCAAGCAAATCTCTTAATGCTACTTGTTCTACTGAGATTCAAACTTCAAGTGTAACTAAGATATTCACCTCACTTGTGCCATGTCATTTTTTGTGATATGGTTTATAGGGGTTCCCAGAATGCTTGGCTATTAGTTTGTAAATCAAGTAATGAAAAACCCTGTGATGATCTGCAGATGTTGATCCCCAACTCTCCGTGCCAGGGTCGATGACGGCGCAACGGCCCAGCGAAGCGAAAGAGATTTGGAAGAGGCTGAGCAGCGTCGAAGATTCGCTTGGGACCACTGTGCGACGGCCCAGGTGATCCTCGGATTCAGAAATGGTGTCAACATATGTCAAGCCAGGATAGAACTAGTTTTACAATTGATCTTGGGATCTCCATCGTGAGAATTACCATTTCAAATGGCAACCCGTTTTTACAAATTCACCATGGGTTTTCCATGGTTTTCCTGGTTTCACATTCGAAGGATCGAAATCATAGCTCCGAAGCAAGGACCCCGTGTCAGGCCATCCAACTTTGGGGGTGCGCCACTTCTGACCCCATACCTCGATATGATCATTTTGTCATCATCTTGTCTATGTATAGAATTGTATAGAATTGTATAGATGTACATGGTTTTTCAGGGGCTTTGCATCGCCTCTTGGTAGAAGTGTGGTGAATTTGTTTCGATTTGGCCAAAATCTCATGTTCATGGGTGGTATTCCGAATTTGTTGGGTGATCAGCATTTCCCCAATTTCCCCACTAACAATTGCCATTTGGGGAATCCCCATTTTCAGACAACCCCATATCTGGCGCCGCTCTCGCAAGTTGGAAAGCTCATGTATCAAGCGCGACTAAGCCACTAAGCCGTAGGGCCTGAGAGAGTTACAGACTGGCACTAATCCGTACAGGAATTAGTAAGTCAGAAATACGGAGATGTAGCCAGTTATATAGTTGGAGGATAGCTGCTGTCAAGATCATTTTAGTCTTTCATCCAGGGTGGGAATCCAGTAATCCAGAAGGCTTCAAAAAAAGACCCGAAAAGGCAAAAATTGATCACTGGTAGGCCAGGATTTCATAAGTGGTGCTTTTCTCCATCCAGGAGTGAACTGACAACACATCCTGCAGTTCAGGGGATGAGCTAGGCTGTGGTCCATAAAACACTCACAGTATATCAAAGAACATGTTCCGTTAGAATTCCCCTGATATCCCATAATATTAATTACTGTAAAATACTGTATATATAATATACACAATTAAATTCTACTAGGAACTTCCAAATAGTTTCCTTTTCTAATCCTACCTCGCATGATGACCCCATTCAAATGTTTATGTCTTCGGATTGGCGGTTTAACCATGGATCTTTCTGGCTCATTTCCACCAAGAATGGCATCACCGTAAAGGCTGCTGAAGTATGGTGGAAACTGGAAACCATCATTCATTTATTCATGGCCTTGGTTTGTCATGTTGGGATTTATTTCTACTTCTCCGGGCACAGTGAAAACAGTGATCTTATCTATGGGTTTGATCTTGTTGACCGAGGTGGAAGAAGATCTTCAGAGACTTGGCTGAGGGGTCTGATCCTGATGCTGACTTGGGTTGAGTTTTTTTTTGAGACCCCCTATATATACAGTTTTATGGGTCAAGGCCACAGTTTTCGATAGATTCTTCATGACACCGACCATTCCAAGCCTGGCACAAGGGCACAAGCCGATGGATCTTTGCTGGCGCTGGTCTGGGGTCAGAGATTTCAGAGGAGTACTGTATGGTGGGAAAATCATTTATAAGTCCGGATACGCTAAGAGTATTTAGCAAGAACTTGCATACCATGATCGAGCACTCCGATGAGCAAAGCCACTAATTTAGTCCAATCCCAAGTCTGTCAAGATCATGGTGCTGTATTTTTGTGGTTGTCTTCGATGGATCACCTTTCAAGTGGATGAATTTTCAAGGTCCAAAGTCCCTTCTCAATGGTGGACTGGATGGCTTGGCTTTAAGCCATATTAGATTCTCATGCAGGACTCATACACTATATTTTTTAAATACATGCTGTACATTATATATATATATATGTAAATCAATATCGCACCAAAAGTGGTCAATTTGAAGCAGGGGATCAACAAACCGCGCAAAGGACCAGGCTGAAAGTTGCTGAAGAGAAGCAGCGACAAGAGAAGGAGGTCACTGGGAGGGACGATGGGTTGACGGGTTGGAATAAATGCCTTGGGGTACGTTCTCTACCACTCCTGAAATCGGGCGTCTTCGTCATTTTTTCGCAAAATATAGAGTTCTACCAAGTATCTGAGCAAAATATCCCAACAAATCCCAAAGTATTCATCCAAATACCCCAAGTGATCTGCCAGAATGGAGGAGCATTTGAGGACACCTTATAGATCCTTATAGCCATATCTTCCCGTCTGTACAGGTGATAAGACCAGTCATTTGCGACATTTCCTCTTGGTGTTCCTTTCAAGCATATGTGATGTCCCTGCTCCTAGGCCCAAAGCAACGTGCCACTGTACCACAGCAGTTAAAACCGTCCCATTCCACCCACGAGTTGGGTTTTACATTCTGATAGCCGAGATTGTAACGAATAGCTGAGGCACAAGATCACTTGCAAGTGGGAGTCGGCCATACTGTACATCATCCAGATTTTGAAGTTTAGGGTGCTGTTCTATCATAATAAAGATACATTTGTATACCCCTTTTGATTGGTTATTCTCGGGTGTTGCACTCCCTGGTTGATTGGGGATTTAATCCATGACAGGGATTCCTAGATTCTCGTAGACGAGACAGTCGTATTTTTCATGGCTTATACGGGGTGCACAACCCGAAGGATCTGTGAATTTGTGATGGTCCCAAGTCATGGGTAACTATGACCTCGTTTCTATCTTGGAATATCTTCTACAACGTGATGCCTCATAAGACTATCTAGCCTTGAAGCCAGATTATATAGTTGATGAGGGTGATGCACTAACCTATAAGCGGGGTGCCACCTTCTAGGGACCGGCTGGTATTTGAGGTAGTGTCAAGGATGCATGGATATTCTCTGTGTTTGAGTGGGACATTTCAACATCCTGCATTGATTTGAACGATCTTAACATTTTGATTGTAAGAAACCACCATTTGGACCGGCTTTAATATCCTGCTTGGCACCTATTGATGAACAGCTACTCTCCGGTCAAAATGGATACAGCAGCGGATGATGTTGACACCAGTTTTGCTTGTTGGCACCACTTGTTTATGAATTCAACAATCACATAGCCTGGAAGAGGAGTAAATGTATGAAAATGTGATGTAATATGATAAATCCAACCATCAACCATCCCCGAACTTACCGAAACCAGGTGGGTATCATGTATAGATATGTATAAACAATCCCCAAAATGAGAGGTGCCGCCTCCCACAACTAGCGCTTCGAATCCAGGCAGAAAGCTTAGCAAGGCCCCTCGGATCCGGTTGAAGCTGTTCGTCTTGGAGTCATGGAAGAAATCAAGTCCCACACTGGTTGCGTAATATGGCTATTCAGATATGGCTAGTTTGTGGTATTTGATCTCAGATGTGTTTCTTTTGGATGCCTTACCAAAAGAGACAATCACTGGTACAACCAAAATTTGCAAGATTTGGGGTTTGAACATACCTACTCTGCAACCAGCAGCTATAGACAGATGGGGAAAGGCCTATATAAATTCATGGATTTCTGAGTTACATTGATGTCCGAAAAAGTGGTACCACCAAGAGTGGAGTTTCGGGGGTGCCAACTCAATGACCAGTTGCGGTTTCTGGGGCTCAGGAATATCTATGTCGCACCCTCTAGCAAAAATCACCAGAAGCTTGAGGGACAGTACTTGGTCTTTGCTGCGCGATTCGCAGCTATGACAACCTTTAGGCCTTGAGAAATCTATCCTGCAACATCCTTGGATTCAAAAGTAGCAAAGTGTCAGGTCATGGTCACAGACCGTTTGTTTTTTGTCATGAGGTGTCAAAACCGGCCAAAGCCAAGCCATTTCACATTCCATTTTTACCCTTCGGCAATCGAACATGGCTTGATGGAACAGCTCCCATTTAGTTCGATGATTTTTCCCATATTTCCAATTAATTACCCTCCATGTTCTTATTAAAACCTCCATTTCCTTACCGGAGATTTCCCAGATGCGCGGAAAGCAGGCGGCAGGAGGTGATGCAAACAATGCGACAGCAGGAGGGTATATCATGGGTATATGATGGGAATATATCATGGGATGTAATGTAGAAAAGACAACTTTGTTCATATGCATCAATAATCATCAAGTTAGCATTTTTTGGGGGATGCACATGCAGAAACACCAGCTATTTTGATATGAGCTTTTCAGGGGTCCGGAGTTTTGATCCGTTCCCATTTGTGAAAACCAGAAGGGTTCTTTGTTGTATTGTTTGATCTTGAAATGACGATGATACCTCTTGTAATCCTGATACAAATTCATATAATGAGGGTTTCTATATAACATGTTTCATTTCCTCCTCAATCCTTGTGGGGCGCGAGTAAGTCTTGTCTTTGGTGCTACAGAGTCCCGGTCTGTTGTGGATTACTGTATACCGTGGCTTGAAGTCATGACGCCCTGCAGCGTCACCACAAAGGATGGTCAGGATTTTGGGAATCACCCTCGAACACCTTGTTCAGGGTAAATTGGTGGACCAGCTCCAACTGGGATATGTATCCGTGGGGCCAACAAATCCCAAATTTCGGGCTCTTCACTTGCAAACCCGAAGCATGTCATAGCCAAAAAACTGTTTGGTTTCCATTTGCATTTACCATAAATGACCATAAACCTGACCTTTGCTGGATATTATAACTTATAACCCATTAATTACTGCGCAACTCTTGTTGGTTAAATCGGAATTTGTCCCCAACTTTTATTGCTTCAATCCCATAATTGGGTAACGCCACAAAGCCCCAGTGGGGAGATGGTTGAAATTCCTTCCGTTTACGGTAAATCATTGGGGATACCATTGAAATCCCCCAAATCACTGGTAATATTGGGGATTGTTTGTGGATAATCAACCCAATCATAAAACCCACAGGTCAAATTAAGTCAACAAAAAACACAACATTCCCAACTTTTGTTGGTAATTAGATACCACTTTTTGTTGATGAAATCCCATGATTGTGGTCTCCAATTCATCCTTACCTCGAGGCGCAAGATGCCTTTGGAAACCTGCGATCTTTCCTGGTCTTTGAGGAGTACCCAGGTGGGCCAGTGGCCCACCGGATGCGAAAAAAAAAGGATTGATCTGACATGATCTGACAATAGGATACCCCATCATACCCTGTTTGTCACCATTTTTATCGTATTTTCCCAAAGTTTACCGTTCTTTCTCACCATTTTCCGTACTAAAATGACCGTAGAATGGAGGTATAGCCCATTTTGGGACACACCCAAATGGGAGTTTAGAAACAGTGGTTGGGAGAGGCCAACACAAAAAAAGGAGAGATTCACTCACAAAACACTGATGCCGATTGATCGCCTGCTTCCGTTTGGCCAGAGCTGTCAACTTGAGCTTGTTCCCCAACATGGCCGCACGGCCGACGCGTCGAAAATCCACGGCTCAGGCGGCGAACGGAAACCGCGTCTGCGGGAGTTCAATGACTCCTATTTGAAAGCGCAGCAGGCGGGTCCGCAGCCAGGATGGCGGATCAGTTAAGACCCTGCTGTTGCCTTCGATATCACCAGCTGGGTTTGCAGACAAAATGGGGTGCCCTGAAAAATTTAACTTTTCCGACTAAATGGCACTTTTCTGGGTATAACATGGTATAACCCCATTTTCAGACACGCCCAGCATAGATATACCAGGGCCTTACTGGAGACCCCCAGTGGTCGCTGGACAGGATTGTGTTGCACTCATGAGGGTCTTCAAGACGCATCTCGGCAGGAGTTGGAGGCGTAAGAGCTCAAACTTACCCTCTGGTAATTTAACGTAGCTATTGAAAATGGCCATTAATAGTGGATTTACCATTGAAAATGGTGATTTTCCATAGTTATGTTAAATTACCAGAGGGTATATTTTTTTTTTCCAACAACCCCCTACATTCATCTATAGCTAAGTGCTACGGGATTGAAAACCTCAGCGTAGAATAGCCAGCGACGTTTTCTCTGAACCTTGTGAGATACTCGGGTAATTTTCGGGCATTGGCCAATGTTGCATTATGTTGCATCCACAAAGGTTGAAACGTTGAAACCTCAATTTTCACGGGTTGTGTGCTGCCCTCAGTGGCTTGTGGTGATATTTACATGCGACGTTTCACACCTTCATACTCTCACCAGTCCCTCAGTTGCTTATTGATCTTATTATATAATTAATCTCTTCCCACTAACATTCAATAACCCCCATTTAGACCCCGACAAAATAGATAGGCAGAAATTGGGAATTTCAAGTGGAACGGATTACATATATACATATACATACGTATGTATATACATACGTTATCATGTTATACATATATGTATATATATATTTGTACATAGGCAGCGTATTGTGGTTGGGGGCCGCTGTTTGCGTGACCGCCCCTCATATCTTCACGGGCCAAGGGACCAAGATCTGGGCGGCCTCAGAGACGAGGAGCAGCAAATTCTGCAGCAGTCCAAGGAGGCGGTGAAGCATCGAATGGTGCCTGGGATCCAAGGATGATATGTAGATAGTGATCCAAACAGGAATAATTAATATGTATATAATACTATGTATAATCAGTTATTTTGTATACGTATAGACAATATATATATATGTATATATATATAGTACTTTGTATGTATATATATATATATGTATATATATATATATATATGTATATATATATGTATATATATGTATATATATATGTATATATATATGTATATATATATACATATGTACATGCACATGCATGCATGTATAGATAAAAAAAACATTTTTCGACGTGGCTAGGGCTGATTTGGAGACATTGGACTGTATGATTGGACTCACTGATCCAGCAGCCGAGCGGGGATCGGTGCAATCTACAGGGCACAGCATCCCCATGTGGTCGTGCATCAAAATCATGGGGCCTTACCACGTAGAAATGGAGTTCTGACCACAGTAAACTCCCAGCCCCCACAGCGGCAGATATGACTGGTACAATCTTATCCATACTCTTATCATATATATCTAGTCACTCTAGTCATCAAAACCCATCACTCCCAGAATTGGATGGGAAATTCGACTCTCGCTGAATTTTCCCCTAAAAACCCGATCACCAGCTATTCTTTGAGGAAGCACCAGCGGTGTCGCAGCGTCAGAAGAGCGTGCTGCTCGAGAACTCGCTGCCGCTCTGTGCCGCGGATCGAAAAAAGCGGGGACATGGTGATTAGTCATCAGATTCGGGGTACCGCATTTGCAGACTTAAACCAATTGTAATGATTTATAATGGACAATCTTCTCAGAAAGGTTTGATGAACCAATTCCAGTGGTTCGGAAGGAGTTCGATGCAAGGGGTCTACATATTCCCTATGTATGAAATGGGGAGCCAAGGAGCTACGAATTAAGCTACCCAAGCACATGACACTTGAACCATCCTTTTCCTGGGGTCAATCATTTTGGCGCATATCCAAATGGATCCAAATGGTGCATTCCACCTGCCATCTTGTTTATTTTATGCATCTTTGGGAGATGGCCCACCAAATTTTGAAGATCCGAACACAGCTAGTATCCTAGGGATACCAAAATGACTTCTGAATTGATTTGTTTGGATATTTTAGTTCTGATTCTGACCCGTAGATGATGGCAGGGGGATGGTTTGCCGGTAACCCGTGCAGACCGAACAGATTTGCCCATCCCAGCTTTGACAGACAACTATGCCACAACTATAGTCTATGATATATATATAGACATATATGTATATATGTATATATATATACAGTATACACGCATATTTATATAATATAAAACACCACACATGAAATACCACACTTATTGAGATGCTGTTCATGCAAAGCGGACAACCCAACGGCATTTTGTGCCTCGCTAAAGATGAAGATTGATTTCTCTTCCGTGAAGCACACACCGAATCAATGGCCAACGTTGGTGGAACGTTTGTGGGTGCGGGTATGTGCAATAGCCCCTCTGCATGCTACCCTCCAGTAAATAAACATAGACCCTGAAAATCACCAATTTTTAATGGAAACTAGTCTTCCAACCCCTATCTGCCAGGGTCTATGTTAATTTACCAGAGGGTAGATCTATCTATCGTATCTTCTCTTCGCTGATCTCATCTCACATAACAGTGCAATGAATATCTCTACTATGTATATTCTCGCCCCCCCAAAAAGATGAAACAGAAACAGATCATTTATTTCGCTGAATAGAAAGATGAGAATTTCAAATTTTCTGAAATGATGGTATAGGTTTCTCTCTCTCTCTCTACTGTATATATATATATATACATATATATATATATACATATATATATATGTATATATATATATTTATTTATACATACACATATATTAAGCAGCCCCCAAAACAAATTAGGGGCTGCCTCGGATGAAAAAAAATCTCCAGGCTCAGATTCCCCTAATGGCCTGTTTTTTAGGCCTGGTGGAGATCCTGGAGAAAGGCCGAAGAGATCGCCTCAACAATGGATATGACCAACAGAACGGTGGCTGTTGAAGGGATATTGACCATAAATGGATGTGGGTCAGAATGGAAGACCTAGGGGACCACATGTGTTAGTCTAGTTTAGTATTAACCATCCAATTATTGGGGTACCTAATTTTGACCCATACCCAAATAACACATAGCCCCATAGCAGCATTGTTATTTTTTTTTACACTTTTTTTACATAGCAATGGTATAGATGGCCCGTTTTAGTTCGATGATTCGCGTTTTTTGAAACATGATGATTTCCCCTAGCTGTGGCACACATTACCATAGGGTAAGTGGATGAAGTATGATGGAGTTAAGTGGACAATGTTAAGCGGATGTGAATGAACTTTTGGATGATTCCCTCCTTCAAATTGATGGAATTCCAGAGTGGCGCGACGCATCTGCTGGGAAGTTGAATGGTTGCAAAGCTTGAAGTGCATTGACTTTTTTGCCCAATGACTGGACTTCTGCCCTTCTGTGTTGCTGTTAGCTACTACGACTGTTTGCAAATTCTCAGAGCTCCCATTCTGTTTCACAAGGCCCATTCTCGCTTGTGTTTGTCGACCCAAGGCACCTTTCAACTGGCTGTCAGAGGTCATGTAGCCCTCCTTCAACTGAACCATCCCGTTCCATCCCATGCCATCGCATCCCTTCCCATCCGTCCATCCAATCCTCTAGTTGTTCAATATTATATTATATTATATTATATTATATTATACTATATTGATCTATATTGTACAGTGATCTCTAATGAATAATGTGGGACCGTAAACCCACCAAAATGTAAAGGCACTTTGGCCGAACTTTCTTGGAATAAGACCGAAGATAGAACCATAGATTATCACTAATTTAGTAGGATCTTACTTTTCTATCCTTTTGGGAGTTACTATACAGTCCATCCTCAATATCATATTGATGCTTAGTTTTATCCCATAATGAGAGTTGTCATATTTGAATACCTTCATGATATTCCCATAATATATATAATGCAAACCCTCATGTAACCATCAATTTATGGAATATAACATCTCATAATCAAGTTATCATTTTAAACATATTGAGTTATCAGGTTATCATTTTCAAGTTATCATCATATTATCTCATGATCAAGTTATCCTTTTACATATCCCATCATATCCCATAAATTTGCTAGTCTCCATGGCCGCAGTTGGACTGCTTCCTCGCCTCGCGGAGCTCACCGGTGCACTGCTGGATGACCACCGCTTTCTTCCCGGAGGCCGAACTGCGACGCGTTGGTGGAGCGGTTGTTTCATGTTTGAAACAAATACCTCACTTTCTGGGGCCACGTGTCTGTAATATCTAAAGAGGAGAAGCCTTCAACAGAGCCAAGGGTTACAGGCCAACGAAACTTATACAGATACCCCGCATCGCATGACAACAAAACGAGTTCCTGCGCTGACCGGCAAAACCTTGTAGCTGCTACAGCACGTCTGTGGCAGATTCAATTCTCAGGCTCTGCAAAAAATACCTTCACCCACCAAGCCCATGCTGCCACAAGGAAGCTTTGGCCAACCACCCAGACGGCAGAGTGCGTGATCTCCAATCCTTGGAACCGGTTTTGCTCAATCGCTTGATGACCGGGGGCCCACCGGTGTCGGGGCCTCTGGATGTTGACTTGGTGGGGATCCAAAGGTGGCAGACCGTCCTGTACGCAGCAGGCGATGATCCAACCAACGCTTTGGACATGTCATCTTGGAATACAAGTTAGGTCAGCGCAGCATTGCTGCCATGCCCAACCTCAGCCTGCAACGCCCGGATAAACGGCGATACAACAATCTAGCAAATAGTTTGGTTGCTGTTTTACTGGTGGCGCAAGGCATCATGGCCGATGACCAAAAGTTCGGAACGGGTTTTGCTTCTGCCGCCTTAGTATTTCAGGGGCGCGCCAGACCTGCCAAGCGAAAGTCAAACGGCACTAGCATGATCATGCACCGTTTCGATTTCGAAGGTGTGGCAAGGACAAGTTTAACGAGATTCAACTGCCTTTTGTATCCTTTTGTTTGTTTGTTTGTTTGTTTGTTTGTTGCGTTTTTTTGAATCTGTGCTAAGCAGGTTGCGAGCACAACACATACAAAACACAGGTCTGGGAAGGGAAGCAAAAAGGAAAAACAAAGAATTACAAGAGCAACATCATCCTAAATCACCAAGTTTCAGAAGAGCATGTGCACGATGGGACAAAGGAACGCGCATCCAATGATAGACCGGAGAGGGACTGAGAAACGATCATTTGCGGATTTAAGCATAAAAACAAATTTAAAGATGTGATTTGAAAAGTCAACAATTGAGATTTGACAGTCAAAGCATGGGATTGAATCATCAAAATGGTATTCAACCAGCAAAATGAAGCCTCTGTAATGGGGATACGAGCCCCGACAAGGCAATTTTGATGGGAAAATGGTGATAAGCCGTGTGCCTGATTTCATTAGTTAAAACCCAAGTGCCAAGTCAAGGAACATGCGAGTTGAAATCCCCCCCTTTTTTGGGGGTAAAATTGCGTAAATGGGACCCCACGACCAGCAGATCCATTACTAAGACTAAGAGGAGGAGGAGGAGTAAGGGATTAGTAGGCAGCTTGGCAGTTCCATCAAGACTGAGTGGTGGGCACTCTTCCTATTGTTGATGGTAAAGCATTTGCATCATTATTTGTTGCTTATGACTATAACATAATATAACACTCTATAATAATGATTTCATACCATGTCTAAGATGATTGTCGCGCATATCATTGTACTATGAACCTATTGACACCTTCACCGTTAGTGGTTTCCGAAAGACGCAAACCGGGTAAACCCACTCACATATGGGACAATGACCTCAGTCATATGCATATATGTATATAATTATATATTTATTCAATTATGTATATATATAACTATATATATATACATGTATGTATACATATGTGTGTTATATGTTATATATTGATATGATATATATATACAGTATACACAAATATACACACTATACATACCTGCAACATATACATGGGATACCCTCAGTCTTGTATGAGATTACCCTAGAGCCGCCTCAGGAGTCAAAGCGAGCCTCCTTTGTTGTGTGCAGGAGCAGATCAAAAAAACACCGGGCCACGGGGCCATGGAACTGGGGGACATAGCAGTTTCATTAAAAAGGTGGGTTACTGTATATATATCTAATCATAGTTGTATTACGGTATATCAATAAGTGGATTATAAAAGTTAAGAACCATCATCAGTAAGTGAGTTTTACAAAAACCTACAGTAGATTAATATAGGCATAGACCCTGGCAGATAGGGGTTGGAATATGAATTTCCACTAAGAATAGGTGTTTTTTTCAGGGTCTATGTTAATATTTACCAGAGGCTAACGGCTAACCATAGTTAATAGTGGTATTGATAATTTCCAAACTTTTGGAGGTTAGATTTTTTTCTAAATAGCTATACCCATAGTTATGCCCCAGTCCTGCACCATCGATCAGCATCCATCGATAGCATCTCCGTGGCTCAGGAGGGCAAATTCAACTCTGATAAGCTGGAGCCGCAGCTTCCTGGTGGATGGAAGAAAAGGACCGCGGACGACCCGGAGCCGGTGCTGGAGTTTGAGTTCTCTGCTTGAAAAAAGAGGTTTGGGACAGTTCAACAGACATACTCTAAGTCATAAGTCATTTGGATTAATTTAGGTTTGTCTGAAGATGGGGGATGCCTCAAACGGCTAATTTGTTCCATAGGAACAGGATGAAACAGCGTGCGATTTTGCAGTTCCCTTATGGGAGAATCATCTATATATGACTGGGTTCCGTTGCCAAATGAGATTACCACCCAGAAGGTAATCCTGTGTGGGCAAGGTTCTTGCCATTTCCAATAGCTTCCCAGCAGACATGCGACCATGGGCTGTCGTGCCGAGGCTGTTCATTATTTTTTGCCATTTGATTGTGCTAACCTTCAAACCTTTGCATCCCAATCTTCATGCGACATGCAACCTTTCTATATATAGCAACAACAATACCCCAAATATTCCTTGAGTTTGCTGTCTATGTTAGCCATTCTTATTTGGTGTCACGACGATTTTGTTGATACACTCCTGCCTTCTTGTTAATTACTTTTACCCCTATGTGGCCACAAGAAGTGCTGACCCAGAAAATTCCCATTCAGTTTACCCTGGGGCTCATGGGACATCAAGGGGACACAAGATCGACGGACATTCCTCGGAAAACGGGTGTATTGCCGGATCTTTATCCCATTCTGATTGTTGCATAGGTATGCATAGGTATTGTACCCTGGAAACCCCTGGAATGTAACATGGGTACTGTCTATTCTAGTCAAAGAGCCCAGTTATCCCAAATTGACCGGCAGGATCTCCAACACTTGTCCGGGCTCTCAGGGCATTAGATGGACATGATAAACGGCAGTCATGTCCGGCGTTCTCCGAAAGGAAGACCCCCGTGATATTGTTTCCACCACAATGGGTTTGGCACCTGTAAAATATGATCATAGGTCCGGATCATGAATAGAGAATATAGAACTACATAGAGACATCATTGGCCGATCTTATATTGTTTCATATGGTTAGGCAGGGTAAGCATCCCACTTGGTGGTTTTCTAAGTCATGGGGGTACCCCCAGTTATCATCCTTTTTGATAGCATTTTCCATTATAAACCATCCAGCTATTGGGTACCCCCATTTTAGGAAACCATCCCACTTAGTATACAGGTTAGGAATGATGACAATTTGCCCCCAGAGATCATTGTCATAGAGTCATAGATCAATTTTTGGTCCTGCGGCCGAGATGACTTCGAATATGTTTGCCGCTCCAACGACGCGTGCTTTGAGTGGCCACTGCAGGATGGGGATGGCAGCCATTTCTGGTGAACTTGGGGATGGTTTTGGGCTGAACAAACAGCACCAAACATGGCGGCCAGAGTCTCCATGAGTCTCCGGTCTCTTGAGGGGTTTGAATTCTGATCCGTACCACCCGTAACCCATTGAGAAGTCGCCAACAAAATGCAGTGGCTTTGGGGATCCCTAAACGGCCTAACGACGCAGGGCAATGTTTGGTGACCTCCTCGCCCCGGATCCGGAAATTGCTTGGACAGTTGCGTGACATGCAGAATCACAGGACAACACCATTTAACGATATTTCACGGTTTCGAGTAGAACAAAAGAACTGCCTTCTGTACAAATGCCTACAAATGATGCATGATAGAAATTTCGAGACGCAATGAACAGTTCCTGAGCTTCCAGCAATTTCTATAGATCCTCCGGGCCTCAGGAGCTGCCAGGAGAATATCAGCCCTGGCCCCACGAACCACGGCAGCTGCAAAGGCAGCCATGGCGTGGCCACGGATAGGTGATAGGTTGGTGGTATTGGCTGAAATTCTCTTTGGATGGTTATGGTGCGTGATAGTTCATGATAACTATAATAGATACCCATAGTCCATGATAACTGACTTTGGATTCTTATAGTTTTTTGTGTTACCAGTAGTACCGCACAAGGCGGTGGCGGAAGTTTCAAAAATAGGAAACCTATAGGAGAGGTTGGTCGTTTTGAATCACGGATGGCAGAGCGAATCCACTGATGGACCGAAAGGTGGTTGGAGCTGTGTTTTTTGGAGTGGTTGCAATGATTGCAGTGGTCACCTCACCACAACTGCTGGATGTAGTGTGGTGTAGTGCAATTGTATTTGTAGTTGTAGTGTAGCGTAGTGGAGTTGTAGTAGTGGTAATGTAGTGTAGTTACTGTAGTGCAGTTGCAGTTGTAGTTGTGGTGTAATCAGTGTAGTGTAGCGTAGTGTATTGTAGTTTTGTGTACTGTAGTGTGGTATAGTGCAGTGTAGCCTAGTGTAGTGTAGCGTAAAGTAGTGTAGTTGTAGCTGTAGTGTAGTTAGTGTAGTGTAGTGTTGTGCAATGAAGTGTGGTTGTAGTTGTAGTTGTATTTGTAGTTGTAGTGTGCTGCAGTGTACTTAATGTTGTCCAGTGTAATGTAGCGTAGTTGCAATTGTAGTTGTAGCTGTGGTGGTGGTGGTAGTAGTAGTAGCAGCAGTAGTAGTAGCAGTAGCAGCAGCAGTAGCCGTAGCCGTAGCCGTAGCAGTAGCAGTAGCAGCAGCAGCAGCAGGAGTAGGATTAGGAGTAGGAGTAGGAGTAGGAGTAGGAGGAGGAGGAGTAGTAGTAGTAGTAGTCGTCGTAGTGGTAGTGGTAGTGGTAGTGGTAGTGGTAGTGGTAGTGGTAGTGGTAGTGGTAGTGGTAGTGGTAGTGGTAGTGGTAGTGGTAGTGGTAGTGGTAGTGGTAGTGGTGGTAGTGGTAGTAGTAGTGGTGGTAGTGGTAGTAGTAGTAGTAGTAGTAGTAGTGGTAGTAGTAGTCCTATAGTCTTAGTCGTAGTCGTCGTAGTAGTAGTGTTTTTAGTGTAGTGTAGTGTGGTGTAGTGTAGTGTAATTAGATGTAATTACTGTAGTGCAGTGTAGTGTAATTAGTGTAGTGTAATGTAGCGTAGTATATTTGCATGTGTAGCTGTAGCATTGTGTAGTGTAGTGTAGTGGTAGCTGTAGTTGTAGTTGTAATTGTCTATCTATCTATCTATCTACCTATCTACCTATCTACCTATCTACCTATCTACCTATCTACCTACCTACCTACCTATCTATCTATCTATCTATCCATCCATCTATCTATCTATCTATCTGCAAGTTTGAAAACGAAGCTATCTGCGAGACTTCCTCAGTTTTTTAACTTCCTCAGTTTTTGAACTTGACAACATCAAAAACGCAGCAATTCTGCAAGACTTCCTTAATTATTGAACTTGACAACGTCAAAAACGAAACAATTCTGCGAGACTTCCTCATTGTCTGAAGTTGACAGCATCAAAAACGAAGCAAATCTGCGAGACTTCCTTCAAAAATGGAAAGTGGAGTGCAGAGCTGATGGCCTCCTCCAATGTGTTTTGCGATTTTCCATTCCATTTGTGTAAAGTGCTGCGCCTGCCACGCAAAAATGATGCCAGGTCATACGAAGTGCTGCACCTGTCACGCAAAATCATCTTAGCAAACCTGAAGATTTGATGCTCCAAAATGCAACCTCCCTCAGGAAATCAGCGCCCTGACCTCCTAACATCTCTGATAAACATGTCTCTTGTACTGCGCCTGCCACGCGAAATGCATCTTTGCAGATCCTCTGCAAATGTCCCACGCCTGCCATCGTTTTTGGACATGCTGCAAAACCCTCACGTTTTGCTCACTTTTGGCATGGTGCAGAATCCCTTGCACCTGCCACGCAAAACCACATCTGAACCTTCAAAAGTGGTCCGAGCATGTGGTGTTTTTAACATTTGACTTGGAAATGTGCTTCGCGCCACAACGGCGTGCACTTTTTCGAAATCTCAACGCCCAAAAGTGGTCCGAGCATGTGGTGTCTTTAAGATTTTGACTTGGAAATGTGCTTCGCGCCACAACGGCGCACAATTTTTCATCTCTCATCTCCCCAGACGGCTCTGCATCGCCCCTGTGGCGAGCCTACTTCTCTTCTCTTCTCTTCTCTTCTCTTCTCTTCTCTGACTCTTCCCACCTCTGCTTTTTCATCTGTCCATATTGTCGGAAGTTTGACTTCTAAACTTCCTTCGGTGATAATTTCAGCCAACTATCATAATCTCATACTGTAGCTGGTTACTTACAGCCAGCCTACAAATGTCATACTTGTTTTATTATATGATCACTATCATACCTTTTTTTTCTGTGCACCTGTCATGATAGTTATTATTACCCGCCAAGTTTAATCACTCAGATGCATTTGCGGGGTCTGTCTTTGTCCTCAGGGGATGTTTTTTTTTTCGGTCAACGGTGGAAAGGGATGTTGCTGTCCTCCAGTCACAGGCACTCAGAAGAGTCTGCCAAGTGCCGTGGCTCCGATTTTCCCGGTTTCTCACCGAAGGGATTCCATCACCGAGTGGCAACTTTGGATGGGTAAAAGCAGAGCAAAATGGGGGCCTTGGGGTTAGTTTTGAGACGGCAACACTCTATCCCAATCCCAAGAAAAATTGGTTTGTCTTCCCCACCAATTGTGGATCTAAAGTGAGGATTTTCTGTGGGGGTCGCAAAATGGGTGGGGGGATGGCCCGGCCTCTCCAACAATGGGAGTAAAAACTGCTGCTACGATCCCCATAGGTGGAACTACCAGTTTCAGAAGGATGCAACCCACTGATATCTGGGATCGGGGCCCATGTACTGCACCATTCCCATCTCTGACTCCATTCTGAATTGTGACCACACGTAGCCCAAGTACAACACTCCTGGAGTCTCTCCAGAGCAGAAAGAGCATACCATTTACAGTTAGACCAATATGGACCTTTTTCAGAGAGATGGATGATCCAAACATCGGAAGATTTTGGATCTGAATGATTTCTATTTGAGCATGCAACCATAAGACATCCATATTTGTGCATTTCCAATTTTTTCTTCAAATGCGACGGTGGAATGTCTGGATGCGGCCATCAGGTATCTCCTGGCGTATGGGTGCCTCGTGCATGGTTGGTTAGCGGATGTTAATGATTATATAATGGGCCATAATGGTCATATAAGTTTGAACCATAAACGGAGGGATGTACATGAAATTGTTATATCTCGCAGAAAATCCGGACACAATTGTGCCGGGTAGTCAAGTCTAATAATGTGAAGGTGGGAATGATCACTATCGGCCCAGAAACCTTGCCATTCGCAATTTCAGAATGCATCCATGCCTTCCATGAATAGTTTGGATACCTTGAATTGTATTTGGGCGTGTTTGAAATGGGGATACCGTACATTTGGTGATAGGCTGGGTGCACCTGTTGAGAATGGACCTTGAAAGGCAGAGCATCAATGATGAAAAATATCCCTTCTCTGGACAATATACCTTGACCAACCAAACGATAAAAACAAGGTCTCTCCCAAAACTCTGGGTACGTAGAAGGAAGGCACCACCACCCTGAATCTTGGTCAAACAATTGTCTTCCATCTGAAAAAAAACATGTCCGTTTCTCCCGGAAAAGGTGGTTTGGTTGCTGACTCGTACAACCGCTGACTTTGTAGGTTTGGTTTCTAAAAACATACAGTATGATACTGTAACATAATACAGCACAGTGTATATATACGTGTATATATATATAATATCCCAAGGTGATAAATCTTATCTTAAAGTTTACACCACCAATGAGATCATGATAGTTGTAGTCATGTCCCTTATGTCCTCCTGATGGTTTTTAAATTTTCTCATTGGTGGTTTCAAGTTTGCTTTTGATTTTCAATCCTTTTGGGATAGTCAGAGGATATTGATACTGGGTGATTTTCAAGCCATTATCCCACCTCTTTCCGGTTGCTTCGGTTGGTTCTCTTTGATGCTGAACCAATATGGGTTTGTCTAAGAATAGGTCATATACCCTTAAATCCACCCGTGAAACATAGATTTCCCTTTTTAAATTGCAATTATTGGGGTATATTCCATTTTCAGACAAACCCGAATATTGTTGGTTAATGTTGGTTGTACATACCATACCATTTTATTTGACTGAATTCCCCATTTTCATGGTCGGTTTACTACATGTTTGACACCCTCCCTTTGTTGGTACAACCCAGTCGTCAGGTCCGAGGAGCACTGGTGCTATCTCTGCAATACCTTTGCAGCCAAGGACCGGGATGAAACATCACTTGGTCTGATATGGAGCCTTCCATAGTCATGGCGGATCCACAATAGCTGGATGGTTTATAGTGGAAAATCCTATTAAAATGGATGATGACTGGGGTACCTCCATGGATTGGAAACCTCCATATGGAAGAAACAATACAAAACCAGCAATTTTGTTGATGATTATAGAGGACAGGACATATCATTAGAAACGACCAATTGTTGGTGACGTTGAGGAAATCGAAGATGTTTGCAAGCCCGCAGGAACATCTGCGTTTGCCCCAGCATGTTGAGATGCGACAGCAGCTTGGCTGAAGATCTGATCTGATATATCTGAATTTCGGTTTGCGGAGTTGGTCGCGTTTTTATACAATTGTTTTTATATGTTTTTATTATGTTTTTATATTTTTTACATTTTACCATTGGTAAATCGAATCTTAGGAGGAATCTACTGGTATTATAGGGATATTATATAGTGATTATTTTTTTGGGGGGACAAGTAAAGCAAATCGCAGTGCAGGAAAGCAATTGAAAAAAGGATCCAGTTGTCCATCATCTCGGTCCATCGAACTGGGACTAAATTTTGCGGAACATTTTGAAGACATAGGAATTTGGGGGTTGAACACGGACCCAGTTAATAGATGTCAATAGTCCATCTTTGATGGTTGTGGTCAATACGGTTGACCCCTGAAATTGGGTGGGTTACTTCCGGATACATAAACACGAAAGGGGTGCGAAATGTGTGATGAACTTCGGCCGTGTCAGCCGGTTGGATTGTGTCACAGATATAGAATCTGGGATATTCGAACGCGGTCATGTACTTCTTCCGGAAGAGCTGTTTTCGCTCATCGCTGATATATATATATATATACATATATATATATACATATACACACACATATATGCACACAAATTCGCAAGTATAAATCTTAAATGTATCTGCTGCCCTTACTATGTCTATGAAGCCCTTCCCCCGATGAACATCACCCAGGACCCTGATGGAATCTGGTGGATCTTTTCATTTCTTCCATTTCGCCTGCAGGGAGTGGCACAAGGGATGTGAAGCTCTCAATAAGTTTTGTGCCGTGGCTGCTAGTGCAGCGTGGGGGCATTGGGGCCCTTCCAGACTACCAAACGTAGTCATTTCTATATAGTAAAGAATCCGCACTATCCCATGCTTTGGGTTGTCCCTAATGTAGAGAAATACCCAGGTCGCTTCTAGAGGCAAGACACGACTGAAGGGCTCAAAGAACTGGGGTCCTATGCTGTCGACCATTCTGTTGACAGAGGTCGTGTTTATGTCGCTCCAATTAACATGGCAACCAACCCTTGGCTAGTTGGGGGAATTGCTTACCTGACCAAGTATACTGGGGATCTATCCCACTGTCAACATACTAAATGCCAGTCCAGATAGTATGCGCTGCGGCCCATTCTTCACTTTCAGGCTCCATGGGCCAAATGGGAGAGTAACCAACAAGCCTCCACTAACAACCCTCATTTCTGGTCTACATAAACCCCTAAGGCTTGATGAACTCATTTTTTAAAATGTGCACATCCACGTTGCTGCTCCTGTCAAACACAATGCAGGGCAAAACCCCATACATAGATCCTGGTTTTTCACTACTACCCGAGTATCATCGAATATGATCGAATATGTACATCTGAATGGTAATGGAATATCCCTGACAAAAGCAGGCATTTTCTTGTCATGTAAACATATTGAACTAATTTTAAAATGTCTATAATAATATATATATATACATATCATATGCACATATACCTATAGCATTTTCCCATCGATTCCGGGTGCTCCGTTTGATTCATGGAATTTTCCCTACAGTATTTGTCCCCCACGAAAAGATCTTCTCCACAAATTCCTGGACGACATTTCCAAACGTTTTTTAAAGATATGTATATATATATATGTATATACATTTTTTTCCCATAATTTTCCCCTCAACGTTCCCATCATTTTGCATTGAATATTCCATCATTTCCCCTCTTTCATGGTAAACATCCGCTAAACTAACATAGTGATGGAAAACCATCACTTCTTTTCATAGGTACATCAATTAAAATGGAGATTTTCAATAGCTATCTATAGCCATCTGATATTAACATATTAGCTATGGACAACTTACAGGAAAACCTTCTAATTCATGGGAAAATCCATGGTTTCCAGTTTCGATTTTCCCCTGTTCAACGGCAGCCGAGGTGAGGACTTGCGGGAGGCACGTCTGGAGGAGGCTTGTGCCGCAAGGCCCAGCCTGGCCGAGGACTGAGAGGTCATCGACATATGTATCCTCTTGTCAACTATATGATGTCTATAGTAATTATATCCAAAATATTATATGTAAAATACAAATATAAGTACAATTTGGAACAGATTTATTTATAGTACATTCATATTATTGATTTAACATGAACAATTTTTATATAATGTACAATACATAATTCCATATTTTATTTTGATGTATTTATATATTATATATATATACATTATTATATGCATATTTATGATATTTATGATCTATAATACATACATATAGTGTATAATACATATGTTCCCTCCAAACCCCACGTTCGCCCACACCCACATAACACCCCCAAACAATATCATATACTTGTCACCAGAGGATGAATGAAACACTGGGTATACGCAGCGATTTGACTTTAGGTTTTAAGGATTTAGGGTTTTAATTTAGGGTTTAGGCTTTTAGGTTTTTAGGGTTTTAGGTTTTGGAAAGTAAAACGCGTTAGCCCTACGCAGGGATTTGAGCACGTCAAAGGATATGCGGGATGTGGGGTTTGCAGCGTGCGTATAATATGCATGTATAGTGTGGATAATAGAGACTATGTGTATTGTACATTATATGAATCAGTCGATACATACATGATACAATTCATTATATACATATAGAATATCGATTCTATTTAAGCACTAAGCACTACATATAACATACTATGATACCCTATGATATGATACAACAAAATGGGATACAATAGGGTACAGGTATACTAGGAGCCCATACGATATAATATAATATAGTATGAGAACATATAATATAATATGGTATAAGTTAGCCACAGGGGTGGTTATTTTACCTCTTCATCTACCTAAGTTCCCCGCTTCATCGTATCTGGGGCCTTTGTATATGGTTGGGAGGAAACGATACGATTAGTGAGTCGATCCTCTAACACATAATTCAACCTGAGAACTGAACATCGGTTGAACCATAAGGGGATTTTCTGGCGAGCCATGGTTGATTTCTGGACGTTACACCAAAACTTTACGGTATATTATTGAAAGTGGCCAGTTTTGTGGTCCCATTTCTCCTCATGCTGAGATTTGTAAACCCCCTTTCTGGTGGGTTCAAATACTCTTGCTTTTTCCATCCTACCTGGGATGATGATTGATAATTTGAAGGTCATATTTTTCAGGCTTAAAACCACGAATCCAAGGGTTGGATGAAGGGTCAATTCGCAGGAGCCAGTTGTACATACTTGGTTAAAAGAGTTGCAAAAAAATCCCTTAAAAGCAACTCAAAGCAAGTCAGTGAATCACTAAAATTATAGTAACCTCAAAAAGATGGAGTGCCTATAATTTTATAGTAATCACGATATGATTTACTATAATCGTGATTTACTATAATTTCAATAAATCAGGATTTTATAATTTTATAGTAATCCTGATATGATTTACTATAATTTTAATAGTTACTATAGTAAATTATCAAATAAAATAGTATAATAACTATATAAAATTATAGTAAACCATATAAATTTTAATAGTGCCTATAATCAAATATCAGGATTTTCCCTAGGGATGAATACTGACTTGCCAAACCGCAGGACATCCTGAAGCTCTGGCGCTTTGAGGCCGTACAGCGCCTCAAGCGTTGCCTAGCCACTGGGCCGTTGGTGAATTGTTGGTTCTATATATACGTGTATAGTGTACACATGTATATGATATATATATATATCTTTATATCTATATATCAATATCAATATCTAGATTAATATCAATATCTATATCTATACCAATATCTATATCTATACCAATATCTATCTATCTATCTCTCTCTCTATATATATATATCTATAATATATATATATATCATTGTCTATATCTATATCTTGATCAATATCTATATCTATATCTATATGATTGCACATATATATATATATATCTTTATATCTATATATCTATATATCTGTATATCTATATATCTATATATCTATATATCTATATATCTATATATCTATATATCTATATATCTATATATCTATATCAATATATATACATATCAATATCAATATCAATATCTATACCAATATCCATATCTCTCTCTCTCTATATATATATATCTATACATGTTAATTCGATGTAGCCCACAGTTTTGGGCGTCTTCCTTGAACTCCAGCGCCAAGGCCAACACCCTGCCGGCCTTTTGGCATCTGATCTTGGAGCCCTGGGAAGACTCAAGGCGGGGGTAACGAAACATGGGGATGTCACCAGGAAATTGAGGTCATGGAAATGGGGATTACCATCTGGTAATTTAACATAACTTCAATAGCTATGTTAAATTACCAGAGGGTATACTAGCTGGTTTAATGGTGATAACTTGATAACCCATAGTAGGGACACCCAGAATCGCAACCAGAGTCAATTCGTGAGATGTGGGTTTGCCCAAATTTGCTGGAGACCCTTTGATACGATCCAATAGCCCAATTAATGGCTGGTTCAATGGGGAAAGTGATAATCAAGAATGATATTTTGAGGGTGCCCTGTTCTCAGACAAACCCACTTGTAAATACCCAACAACCTGGTCGTCAATTAATGGGCTGCATCTTGCCCAATTGGGGATATTCCACACTGCAGAGGGGCAGAGAATGGGGGTGCAAAACCGTGAAGATGACGATATCACCAGCAACACTAACTTCATGGCTCAAAAATGGGGTGCCCAGAAGACCTGCACTTCTTAGCTGGTATGGTTAATGTTCTCTTAGGGTCAATCAGTATCACCTCTTAGGGAGTCTTGGCTTGTGCCCTCTACGCATGGGGGAAACAATCTTGCGCCAACATCTTCACATCATTTTTTGCAACTTCACAACGGATGCAAAGTGCAGCATTGACCCAGTGCTTAGGAGGGATAAAATTCAAGCACATGGGAGGCCCGTCGGTCAATCAAGCAGGTCTTATCATCTATCAAATTCTCTGGGCTATGTCAATGTCCATGTGGGCCTACATGCACATGTACTTTGAATACAAGGTGATTTTTCGCACATCATCTCATTTTTTGGGCATGACGATTTGGCCCATCGCCAGAAAATGGGGGGCTGCAGGGGTCAAATCATGATCTAGAACCCACTTGGCCCGCCCCCCAGATCACAAAATTTGACTCCAAGAATGGATTGTTGAATAGTGACATGCTTACTTAAGATGCCCCATTGTGTGGTTTCTGTGGGGATTTCATAGGGATTTCATAGGAATTGACCCGCTTTCACCGAGTCTGGGGAGGTCGGCCGATGACCTGCAACTCTGGTTGGATCGGCAGCTGCAACGGGCGCTACTGGAGGAACCTGCGCGGGTGCCGGAGCCCGAGTTGCCACAACCCGGCAGAGATCCTTGGCTGAAGCCATGGGCACCTTGCAGATGCTCAAGGAGATTTTCGGAGGATTTTTGACATTTTTGGGACTTTTGGATCCAAAATTATGGGGAAGACGATTTTGGTCACTAGAAAACAACACTTTTGGTAAGAGTTAAATACGTGAATTGAACCTTAAAATCATGGAAAGATGGAATGTAGCCTTATTTCTTTGATCCCAGGGTCAGCTAGCAGCTTGCTTTCCACCATGGGCTTTGCCGTGCTGTTTTGCAGAGGGGGATTGTATCTTTGCGAACCTCGCCCATCTATTCTGAGGGGATTCCCTGGGTGCATCTGGGTGCCTAGAAATTCCAACCCCTGTCAGGGACTAGTGCTTCTCTTCAGGGGATTTCACTGGGAGTACCTTCCCAATTCGCAGGGTTCCCCTTTTTTATCCATGACGAAAGGGCGGCACAACCGCTACCAAGGATTTCCCGGACCTTTCCTCAGGGAACCCGTGGCTTGGAAGTAGAAAACTTGCGGGGGGCCGCCAATGCTTGCGGAAAGGGAACCTTGGTAAATCAAATATGGAAAAGGAAAAGCACCTGTTTCTGGAATGATGATGATGATGAGGATGATGATGATGTTGATGATGATGATGATGATGTTGATGATAAGGATGGTGATGAACTGAACATGAACAATTATCATGGTACTGGTGGTTTAAGGTGGTGGTGCTGGTGTTGATTATGTTTGTCCCCTCTCAAAATGGAGATTCTTGATTATGTCACGTCTGTATATAAATTTTGGTGTGCGTGTCTTGTTGAGCGTGGCCATGGGTCAAGAGTAAGTGCAGTGAGGAATGGGTAGATAGACGTTCCGGGCTATATTTGCTCACTGCCTCAAATTAGCTAGTGAAGATTGGATGCTATACCTACTAGAGCAGGCCTTCGCCATGAGCATCCTCAGGTTCCTGGACGGCAAGTGTGTTTGCTGCAATCAAAGCGTGGCTTGTCATGACAGGAACATACGCAGGATCTGGGAGGGTCGTGTTTGGAGGATATATCGTTTGATTATGGCAGATTTATAGCATCATCGGCGTCATCGATATGATGAGCACCATCTCAACAGCATCAACAGCATCAATCATTACTCGTATCGCACAATCATCAACCTCACCGTGCTCCTCGCCCTCATGCTAACCTCTCCCTGCGCTCTTATTCCTGTGATTCCTTACCTTTTTTGATTGGGCCAAATTTGTTGCTCAAATATCCTTTGCGTGTCAGAGTTGGCAAGCAGTTCAAGCAACGCTTTTTTTTCCGCTCCTCCAACAATATATATATATATGTATGTAATGTAATGTAATATAATATAATATAATGTAATAATTATAATGTAATGTAATGTCATGTAATGTAATGTAATGTATGCATGTAATGTCAGAATACATGTCAGAGTGAATGTCAGAAATAGGTGTCAGATAGAATGTCAGGTGGGGATCACTCAACGAAACTGATGTCTTTTTTGTTCCATATGCCACCCTGAGATCTGAGGATTTCGCCCTTTTTTTGTTCCCGAGGTCAGTGACTCTGACAGGGCCACCCACATCAGCCAGAACAAAACCCATGCCTCCTGCCGGCAATTTGAAAATGAGGCATGCGGCATACCCCTAAAATGGCCATTGAAATATGGAAAATCACGATTGGCAAAAATGGCCCTGATTTCAAACAAAGCATTATGTTAGCTGACGACATGGGTGTGAGTCAAATAGTCAAGGCCTGGAATACACTCCCAAAAATTAGATGCCTTTAGATGTCGGTTAAAGACATACTGGCAGAACCGCTCGTTTTTCGGGCCCAATTAAACATTTGACCCGTATCCACTTTCTTGGCTGTTTCAACTGCTTGTCGACCCACAATCTTTGCTGGAGTTACCATGAACCATGGGGTCCCAGCTTCTGCCTCCCTGGCAATGGGTAGCCCGGCGTTGTGGACGTGAAATTATGCCACCCTTTGTAGCGGATGTAGCAGTTTCTGTGGTTTGTTCTTTTTGCTCATCATCAGATAACAGCAAGTAGCTGAATGGAAGGCGGGAACATATCCTCTGAGAAAGCTCTTGCAGAGCCCAGATTGGACATAAATGGACATATGGCTATGAATCAATACCTATTAATACCATTTTTAGGGGGATGAACATCCATTTACCAGCTATTTTGATGTTCACCAGGGGTACAAGGTTTTGACACACTGCCAAATGGACATATTGTCGAAATTCCAGCTTTGTGGCTATGAGTCAAGATTGACGGTGGGTTCTGCTGTTTCTAATCCATACCCAGTGACCAAATTTATGGGTCTAAGGCGTCCAAGGATTTGATGCTCAACTGGCTCAACGTTTCGCACCTCCCACATATGGAAAAAAATACCACGGCATTTTTTTCGGGGCTACATATTGATGAAATCGTTAACATCACCGCATCCCAGCCGCAGGGCAAAAATCTGGAGACCAGTCTCGATGCCTTCCAGATCATCAAGGAACACGGAGATCGGCTCTGGAAAGACGGCATGCGATTTGAGGCTGGATAGGGCTGGGAAGTTTTTTTTTTGTGGTGATCCGAACTGGTTGGTGGCATAAAATATGTGTTTATAAATGTGTTTATGTATATATATATATATATTGTAATACACGATAATACACGTATATCAAAGCGTTTGTTATCCAGGTCCGCTAACTGTGTGATTTCATCCAACAGAAGGGATGGTGATCCAAATTGACAAACCTGTTTCTTGTTTGGGTTGAGACCACCAACCAGTTCGGATCAAGGATTGAATCACAGCTTGAAGGATCCGCTTGGATCATTTTGACTCAGAGAGTTCGAAATCAAAAACCAGCAATATTATGGCTACCAGATGCTACTTGTTTGAGGCGACTGACCCTCAAACATTTCTATACCGTAGCTGATATCCAATTCTGACGGTGAAACGTTTCGGGTCAATCCTCTGTTCCTGCAACCACCGCAGTGATTTACGAATAGGTGCTAATGCTAATCCCTCTCCAAGCCATAGTAAGCCCCTTTCCAGAAACCTTGATTTGGTATCCCAAATCAGAGGGGGACTGCATTTGGTGATCGGAACATGGGAGCAAAGCTTGGACCCTTGGGCCACTTGGGCCCCTTGGGAGCGCAGGCCGGCAAGGTGAAGTGCGCATGTACCAAGGACGTTCGGACGAGAGGGATGTCAACTCTTCCAACGGGTAAACGCCAAGGGAAACGATTGAAATCCTCGCCAAAACTCAAGCTTTGAAGACTGAATGGCAAGGTCACCCGCTCCAGGCTTTGGTTGAAATTGTCGCCAAAACTCAGGCTTTGAAGACTCGATGACCAGATCACCTGCTCCAGCCATGATCAAAAGTTGCAAACGTGGATTATTTCTCCATGTTGGGTGATCATACCGTCATACCCCAAATAATACAGATATTAATTGGGAATTTCCATGGCCAATGTTCAGAAATCCCAGTAGTGGTGTGAACCCCATATACAATCTTTTGACCATGACACACTTGAATTTCAGCTGTATTGGGACCGCTTCAACCTAAAATATACTAAGCCCATCCGCAACAGCTTCAGAACTTGTTGAACTGCTCACTCCTTGCTTGCGAAAGATTTCCAAATTATAACAACCACTGCTGTAGACGCCATGGGTCAAGCGCCAGGAAGTGAATTGGTGGGACATTGGAACCTGGTTTTGCGATCATCCCCATGTCAACACCAATAACCACAAGCCCCTTGGACAATGACCAGAGGTCCAGGAGTTCCGTGCATCAGAATGACACCTGTAATCGAACATGGCTGCATGCGACATGTGGGGTTTTAATGGGAAAGTACCTATTACAATCTATTTTCACTGGAAAAACGCGTTTGCTTGAATACGTTTTATACGTTTTACTGGAAACATCGAACTATTTTCACGGGAATAAACGCAGCCAGCCTAGATTGCCAGAAGACATTCCAACTGCATGCTCGGACGTGAGGCAACGATCATTGATAGGATCTTATCATTGGCTGGGGTCTGGAACATTTTGCACCACAATTATCTACAAGTAGTAATGTGGTGAACCCGATGATAAACTCTATTGGTGATGGTTAATTTATTATTGGGTTTACCACATTACTTGGTCATTTCTCGCCTCAAGACGTATGACTATTTTTTTTTGGCGAAGCAGTTACACTGATCTTCTAGTTTGTACAGCAACCCATGATGAACTCCCCCCACTCGATGAAAATTACATAGGTTTTAGCATTTTTTTTTGTGTACGTTGGGCGGAACCCCCACGAACATTGAATTTGAGTTTATGAATCTAGGCTTCACACTCAGAACCATGGTCAGCCAGACCCTTGAAGAAGAGAGAGTCATAGCCTATGACAGTTACCACTCCCAAGGTTATGATGGTTTCTGGGTTGGTCATTTGGGTGAGCTTTCAACTTGTACTTTTTCGTGCCTTTATTTTCAGCATTTTTCAGCACTGGGACAGACGACTTGATAGACACGCGGCAGCAAGTGTGCCGGTTTCTTTTTGGGAAAACTACTTCAGTTCCCTTCCTGAATTCTTCCTTCTGGCCACAGATCTTCTGCCAGAAATACATGGTTTGTCGAACCATAAACTAGCTAGCGCTGATCCAGATTCGTCATAGAATAGATGAATCAACAGTTAGTTGGGACTCAACCCGCCCACTTTTGTTGTCAAAGTATTTGACCGTAGCCATCTCTTGAAAGTGGTTGGCATCATAGGATCACACACATACAACTATGCATATATTTATCATCCCATCGCCCTTCTTCTTGTCATCTCTTCTCTGATGTGCTCTTGCTGCAGACTGAGATCTGCGGCTATATATATAATATATACCGGTATGATGTATGCGATTGTATATGTACTTTACGTGTACATATATAATATACACATTTATGTATGTATGTATGTATGTATGTATGTATGTATGTATGTATGTATGTATAGTAATATATACACATATCAAATACATGTACATATACATGCACATATACATGCACATATACATATACAGCATATACAGCATATACAACATAAACAACATATAGAGCATATACAGCATGTACAGCATATACAGCATATACAGCATATACAACATATACAGCATATACAGCATGTACAGCATATACAGCGTGTACAGCATATACAGCATGTACAGCATATACAGCATATACAGCAGAATAGATACACATAGATACATAGATACGTAAATACATAGATACGTAAATACATAGATACATACATAGATAAACGCATAGATACATACATAGATACATAGATACATAGCTACATAGATACATAGATACACAGATCCGTACTTACTTAGATACATAGATACATAGAGACATAGATACATAGAGACATATATACATAGATACATACACACATAGACACATACGCATATACATACATACGCACATACCATACCATATCATACCATACCAACATACATACATACCAGACATACCAGACATACCATACATACCATACATACTATACTACACTACAATACACTACAATACACTACAATACACTACAATACACCGCAATACACCACAGTACACCACAATAGACCACAATACGCCACAATACACCACAATACACTACAATACACTACAGTGCACTACAATTCACTACAATACACCACAATACACTACAATACACTACAATACAATACACTACAATACACCACAATACACTACAATACACTACAATGCACTACATACAGACATACAGACATGCACACATACTATACTATACTATACTACACTACACTTTACTATACTATTACTAAAACTGAAACTATAACTATAACTATACTGTGCTGTACAATACTATACAATACTATACAATACTATACAATACAACACAATACAATACATACAATACATACTATACATACTATACATACTTTACATACTATACATACTACGCATACCAAGCATACCATGCATACCATGCATACCATGCAAACCATGCATACCATGCATACTATGCATACTAGGCATACTAGGCATACTATATGATATACATACATGCATATATGCAGGCATATACACATATACACATTTATATACATATACACACACCTATATATACATACACATATATACATATACATATACACATATATACTTATATGCATATATACATATATACATACATATATAAGCAAATACGTATATACGAATATACGTATATACGAATATACGTATATACGAATATACGTATATACGTATATACATACAGAGATACACATACACATACATATACGTACACACACATATACATACATACATACATACATACATACATACATACATACATACATAGATACATACGTACGTACGTACGTACATACATACATACATACATAGATACGTACATACGTACATACGTACATACGTACATACGTACATACGTACATACGTACATACGTACATACGTACATACGTACATACGTACATACGTACATACGTACATACGTTTATACGTTCATACGTACATACGTACATACGTACATACGTACATACGTACATACGTACATACGTACATACGTACATACGTACATACGTACATACGTACATACGTACATACGTACATACGTACATACGTACATACATACATACATACATACACACATACATACATACATAGATACGTACATACGTACATACGTACATACGTACATACGTACATACGTACATACCATACGTACATACCATACGTACATACGTACATACGTACATACGTACATACATACATACAAACATACGTACATACGTACATACGTACATACGTACATACGTACATACGTACATACGTACATACGTACATACGTACATACGTACGTACATACATACATACGTACATACATACATACATACATACGTACATACGTACATACGTACATACGTACATACGTACATACGTACATACGTACATACGTACATACGTACATACGTACATTCGTACATTCGTACATACGTACATACGTACATACATGCATGCATGCATATATGTACATGTATACGTGTATGTTAATGTATATGTGGATATGTATAGGATTGTGTATATGTGTAGTATATGTTTTTATACATATATAAAGGGATTCAAACAGTTGGGGGCCTTGAGTAGCCATAGTTAGATGCCATAGACACCAACCACTATCCTGCCGGGGATTGTCGTCCAACTGAAGGAAATCCAACGACAGTCCCGTTTCAATATGCCTACAACTACGTTGTTTTCATGTTAAAATTCAATCCATGTTTGTTTACAAGAAGGTGGTAGATCTCCACTAGTTCGACGATCATCTCACCTAGGAAGTCGTTGACACACATGATTCCCATTTTCTCGAACTGGTCTGAGTCTGGTCATCCCAATTTGTTATTACTCATGGAATGGTCTTCCAATCGCTGGATGAATTCAAGCGACATTCTTCGGGCAACTATGCTTAGATGGTTTTTTGCCTTCCAACTACAGGTTCTTCAGGTTTCCTGTACTTTTTCCTCCAGTTTTGCAGAAGGTAGCGTCCTTACTTTTGTTGCAGAAATATGCCCATGAATCATGATTTCTTACCATCAACCCAGGGCCTCCTGACTTCTTGGAAGTTGGGTTTGTCTCAACATAGGGTACCTAAATCCAATTGTTAATCACAATTTTCACACTTCTTAGATCCATTGGATAATCACCATCACCATTTTGCCTTCTCAATTATTTTTAAAACATGCCATAAATCATGGTTAATCATTGTTAAGCACCATTTTCCTGATCAAAGTTGCGATAATTTGGGGCGACATTTCCCATTCTCCCTGGTGACATTCCAAGGAAGTGGCTGCGCAACACCGAAGATCCACCCCCGACTGAAGAGATGCCCTGGGAGAAAGCACGGCGACAACGATGGTACCTCGGATATCCTCGGATTTTTCCTGTGGACAGTGACGTGGCTGGTGGTGAACTTTCAACAGGAATGGGGAATTTCGCCAGAAATTGGGATATCAGCAGCAAAACTGCAGAATTTCATCAGCAAACATGGAGGTTTAACAGTTTAACAGTTTAACCGGCAACATTTGGGACTCAACTGAAAAATGTGCGGATCTATTGTGATTTGTCCAACTTGAACTTTGAATTTGGCCAAAAACAGGCAGTTTCATTGGAGATTTAACGAACATAATTTGGAATTTGACCAGCAAAACGGGGATTGACACAAGTTGTAGATGCCCCGGAATTCGACCCGGAGTCAGTTGATTGGGTTGACCTCTCCAGGTTTTGAGTCGATGCCAACAGTGGCTGCTCCCCAACCCAGGCTTGCATCCTTCGCGCCAGTCGCACCTGAGGCAGAGATAGGGGGCTGACGTGGTAGTGGGTGTACCCAGGCCGTTCATTTTACCCATTGCCCATAAACATGGGGATTTTTTACCCCAATATTTGGGTACTTTAGCATACTTGCACAACTTTTATTGATACTTTGAGGGTGTACACGAATGTATACCGTATACCTGCAACAACGGCCGGAAGTATAACTATACTGGGGCCGGGGCCATTTGCAAATCAACCCCCAAGGCAAACCTCCAGCCGTGGATAGTTCTGGTGCCCAAATCATTGTGCTTGCTGGTTTTGGATGTTGTATGCAGGGTGACTAGGTTGACTTTTGCCGTTTTTCTTTTAAATCAGCGCACATCTCCTTGTTAGTGAGGGAGACTTCACATATTCGTTGCTGTCCACCAACAAAGGGAAGATGACAACACAATGATAACCGCTTGAGGAATGCTGCTGGGATGGGTTGAAACCACCAACCAAGAGCCGGTGGACATGCAAAAATCGATACGCCCAAGAACAGTTTTCTTTTTTTTGCCTTGGTTTTAGGATGTTTTAGGAATTTATGCTTTGACGTTTCTAGGAATCCAATCTGATGACCGACATGGGTTCTTCTAAAGGGGCAAAGGTATTTGAAGTCACAGTGAGTCAATGTAGATTCCACCAATGAGAGGTGCATCCCAATCAAAGAGTGCTTCTTCAACCCACGGTTGCAATTCCATTTTTTCCGGGGTGACAGTATACATACTAATAGTAAGTATATATATATGATCTACCTCTAACATCTATAGCACCCTCAAACAGATAGAATTTGGTAAGATTCGATCCACTCAAATAGTGGTCAAATTCATTCAAGTTCAGCTTTTCTGAATCGTTTAGGGGGTTACATTTGTTACTTGGTCGGATGCATATCGCAAGGCTGACCCTGCAGAACCCGCAACGCCGGAGCCAAAGCGTCGGCGAACGGAGGTGCGGATCAACATGAGAAACCACCAACAACAGCCAACGATGAGTGCAGTATATATAGAGGCTAGAATTATATATATATATTATATATAATTACACATATTCTATCAAAATCATCGCATCTTGAACACTTACTGTCACTTAGCGGCTATTAGCGCGGCATGTGCCATCTTGAGACGTCTCAAGACTAGCAGGTAGCGGATCAATTTGCCAGATTCCTAGGTGTAAGTACTGCATGGGCAAGTTATATGGGTCTGGGTCAACATGTAAGATAATCTAAGATCCACAAAATGCGCGAATCTTTCCGTTCCATGTCCCAACCAACACAATTTTGAGGTCAATCCGAGTGAAATCCTCCATTCCTTGTTGGTGAAGTCGCCCAAATTTGTTGGCACCCAATGTTCACTCCCCGCTCTACCACTGAAAAACGGCATCGCAGATTCAGGCGCAGGGAGGTGAGCCAGAAGCTGAGCCAGCCGAGGCTGGAAATTCCGAACACTTCGGGACAATTTTCCCAATATTTTCCCATCAGATTGGACCTTTGTCCCACTTTGTCCCAATGTCGTGCTAGATTACCTCTTGAGGATATCATGTATACACTTTTTACAATATACTATATATAATGTATACACACACATACAGAATATACATACACACGAACAGGAATTTGAGTACCGTCCCTCCAATCGTCATCTCGTGCTGACTGTCTTCGATTTTCTTCGTGGCGCTGACGGCCTCTGTGGTGGTCTCTCATCCCATTCATAGATGGGACAACCCACTGAATGGGACATACTAACCAGGGTTATTAATCACCTGTGTATATATATATATGATTATACTATAGTTATACACTAAGTGGGATGATCCGCCAATGTTATATCCCTTCCCCCCATCAATAAACAAGCAACAGAAACACTGGTTTAGTATTGAACTTGTTCGTTATTTGGGGGGGTCCAAATCGAGGGTTCATTGTGCGAATGGGATTCTATCTTCATTGATGTGGGCTTGTCATTGGTTTGCCCAAAACGGAGATGTCCCCGGTCCCCCCAAATCAGATGTTTCCATGTTGAGACATGGTGAGAATGATGACAAACCATGGGACCATTCTCCCAAAAACTTTTGGACGAATCCACATGGTTGTTAGAACGGTCAGTGTTCATGGCAGGTTCCTTTTTTCCAGATCTTCCCGGAAATCATATCTCCGTTGATATTTCCATGGTCGCCCTATTTGATTTGGGGCAACCTCGGATGTGTAGTTCAATACTTTATCTTTTGCAATAAACAGGGGACATATCATATCATATCCAGCTAAAACAATGGAGTGTATCTAAGATTAAAAGGAATGGATGACATCCTTTATTTCCATTCATATTCCGATGCAATGCTCCCCTCAATATATGAAATACCCCAATGGAAATCCAGGTTTAGTGCTAGGTTCTATTCATGAATTGAGGTCCCAAACATTGGTGTAGTTCATGGGAATCCGATTTAAACAACATTCGGGGGATTTTTGAAGTTTCGCAAACATGGTGAATATGGGGCTTTCTGAAAATGTTGGACCCAAGAATTATCCAAACATTTTGGTTTTTAATTTAATAGAAAAACAACGTGGGTTTGGAGGTCATATTCAAAGAAATATCCATATGAACCATGGTCAAAACTTAGATCCCGCCATCTGCGCATGAGATATCTACCCATATTGGGGGATGGTCATCAATCCATTCGTAGGGCTTAATAAAATACCCACTATGAGGAATTCCTGATAACGGCGGGGTGAATATAATAGAACACATGTAGCATGTGTTGACCATCGCAGGTTTGATCTGGATGGATCAATACCTCTTATGCATGTTTTTTTTTTGGTTTTTGCACATCCATTTACAGTACCCTCTGGTAATTTAACATAGCTATTGAAAATGACCATTTATAGTGGATTTTCCCATTAAAAATGGTGATTTTCCATAGTTATGTTAGTTTACCAGAGGGTAATCCATTTACCAATCCATATTTACCAGCCATTTTGGGCGTGTTCACTAAGACTAGGGGTCGACTAGGGGTTTTGACCCATGCCGCCAGGCCGAGGGCTCCGGTCCAAGCTGCAAAAGCATGGCTCGCGCCGCGGAATTTGAGCCTCGACGTCCATGGGGTTTTGTGGGGTGCCACCAAGGTATTGGGATCTTGATGATGGGGTTATGAAGTTGGGAATTTTGCAGTAAACCAGTAGGTTTGCGGCCAAGCAACCAATAGTAGGGTTTAGGCATCAGAAGCTCTTGAGGTTTTAGTATAGGGTTGTTGAAAAAGCATCACCTTTTTCGGGCCAAACCCTGGCAGGATGAGCAATTTTTTTTGCAGTTGACAGTTGATTGGATATTGAATTTTTTCATGAAGACAAATGGGTGCGCCCTGGAAACATCTGGAAACTGGATCCTAGGGTCAAGCCATTACCCCAATCTATTGGGATATGAGATATGAATAGATATGATATATTGGGATGCTTTACTTCCATGGACCACAATCTGAAGTCCCCCGAGTTTGACCTGGTCCTAGGCCCTGGAGCCGCCAACGGCCGCAGAGATCGAGAGTGGCACCAGAGAATGCTGTGAGAAACGTGTCTCGAACGCATTCGAGCGCGATGGCCTGGGGCACTTCAAATGGATCCACGTTGAAACTGAACATTTATATAGAATAGAATTGGGAATATCTGACCTATAATACTAATTATATTTGGGAATCTCTGGAATGTCTCTGGCAAATATATAATTATATACCTGAAATGACTAGAAACTCAAGATTTCATTCCCAAGTTTCATCACAGCAGTGGCCAAGAAACACTCAAAGTCCTGCGGCGTTGTGACCAAAGGTGCTCGCTTCAAGGTGACACAAATGGGTAAAAGAAAGTAGTATCCTCCTCTTGTAATCAAACCCGACAATGGAAAGTCCCACATTCGCAGATGATTCTCCCACTTGATTTTCCATTGCCAGGCTTGCCTACCAGCGGGCATGACCAAGTATAGCGGGGGTTTTTGAGCGTTTGGGAGTACGGGTGAAACGAGTCAGGCTGAGAAACAACCCAAGATATCCATCATGTTGTCAGGATTTGTCGTGGTTTTGCGGTGACTCATTTAGATCCAGATTTGAGTTATGCTTATTGCCAGTGATCATGGGGCTTAGTGGCCGACCGGGAGTTTGGGGCTGATACCTCCACAACTGTCGGTATGAATGGTATGAAGCCAGGCCGTACAGACCCTAATCCCTGGCCCAGGTGGCTTTCCAAAACTGCAAGAACCCCTGTGCTACGGGTGGTCATCCTTTAAGAAGAATAAGAAGGCTCCTTGGGATGCAGAGTAGTTCCACTGGGACCAAAAACAATATTTAAACATGACCATATGTCGGAAACCATTAGACATATTAGAAATGGCTTCAAAGTAGTTTGGGATTCTTCATAGCCATGGTCATGGATGGTGATCATATCCACTCTTGCTGCTTCATATTCCCATAAATTTGCAGATTAACCCCCCATTTCTATGGGACCAATATCACCTCATCTCACCATTTTTTGCTGGTTCATATCGCGAATTTGTGAGGCTACATCTCCATTTTGCGGGTTAAATCCCTAGTTCTGACTGTTAAATCCTGAGTTTTGATGTTGACAGTCAAAGCCTATGTTTTGCTGGTTGACTCCAAAGTTTTGTTTGTCAATATCCTCAGCTTTGCTGGTAGTTTTGATGGTTAAATTAAATTCACATTTTGGATGGTTAGGTCACCAGGTTTTCTCGTTGTATCCCCAGTTTTGCTGGTTCAATCCAAAGTTTATGGTTGAATCGAATCGACCAGTTTGAGTATTAAATCCACAGGATTGCCAGGTAAATTCCATTGTTTGATGTTAAGATCCAGAGGTTTTCTTTTCTTTAGTATTTTTTTGTAGTTTAAGGTAAAATCACCAGTCTTGATGTTTAGTTAAATCAGACGGTTTTGTGTTCACTTTGTTTGAAAGCTGATATACATGACCAGTTTTTGCTGACTAAATCACCGGTTGTGCTGGTTAAATCACCAGTTATGATGGTCAAAACCAAATTCTTGCTTGTTAAATCCACCGTTTTGAATGTCAACTCCCCAGTTTTGCTGGTTAATGTCCTCAATTTTACTGGTTACATCCCAACATTTGCTGAATTCCTCCCCAAAAGAATGAACTCCCTCGACCTCCTCCAGCTGGTCAGGAAGCTTGGCTGTTCTGCACCACGTGCAACGTCTGGGTGTCTCGGCTGCAGAAGGTAGGTCAGGGGCGAAGCTGGCTCAGCCAGTAGAGGTAGAACATGGTGAAAATGAGCAGCTTATTGTCCCTTGTGGCAATGATTAAGTACAACAGGTTGGAGCAACCCTGTCTGAAATGGGGATAAGAATGAAATGGGGATATCATACGCATTGTGTTTACAATTTTTCTTATGCTTCGTGCACCTGATTGGTGGCTTCACCATTTTTCCATTGGTCTTTTATGTTCGATCCCATTAGTTGTGACGCTGATCTGCAGGGAAAGTCAGGTTTTTCAGGCAGGTTGAAGCCACCAGACATGGTATGGGACTGTGACCTGGGGATGGTAGCTGATGTCAGGGACTGTGACCTTGGCTTTTTGGTTTGCCAATGAACAGATGCTTAATTGGGACTTGCGTTTCGGGAACTAGATGTTTATGAAACCGTAGATGGACGATGAAATCAAACCCTTGCTGTATTGTTGTCAACCCCCGCACCCCCAAATTTCAATGTTGTCTTAGGGCTGCGCGCTTGGCTTCAGTGGACAAAAAATCAAACCCTGAACACAGAGGAAGTTAGATAGAGTTTGTTCAACATTGAAATTTGGGGTGTGGGGTTTTACTTGGTAGATGTCTGTAGGGTTCGATTTTTTTTGTCCATCTACTGAAGGACCCGAAGCCCGAGTCCCAAAACTTAATATGAGACGCTTTCCTCCTAGAAACAAACAAAGTATTGATTTTTTTATGTTTTTTTTAAATCATTTTGGGGTTTGTTATTCGGAGTATTTCATATTTACCCTCCTGCAATCCAATTGGACATTGGGAAATCCCGCTCACACCTTAAAATAGACAAATCATCCACAAAGAGTAGATATTATATAGATGATATTAGTAGCTCTTAGTAGATATGGTGTATTTCATATCAAACATCACTTCAAAAGAAACACTCCCATCATTTCTCTCAAAACGCATCTTTGAATATGGATATTGTTTTCTTATATGGTATTCATATTAAAGTGCGTCTGAAAATAGGCTACCCAAGAATCCCATGCTATTCTTGGTATTCCACATTTTGAGTGTGTCTTTCATAATTTCAATACCCACAATGGTCTGAATTCCCATATGGTATCACACTCAAAAATACTGACACACTCAGTTGTTGTCCAAATTCAAGTGAGCAGTGGCTGCCAAACCCCTGTTCTTTGATGACTAGTTCGGGGATTGTACTATCCAATATATTGGGGGTTATAATCCAATAGCGAAATCCTTGGCTTCACATTTTGCACATTTTCCTTGTGCTTCAAGAGATCCACCGGGTCACCGCGGCCCAGTTGGGCGCCACCAGCCTCACCATTGAGAGAGAGCGATGGACGTATCGTCTCGGTACCTTGGGCGTAGCCGCCTTGGGAGTGTCAATCAATGGGGGTACCCCAATAGCTGGATGGTTTGTTTCATGAAAAAAACACCACAAAAAAGGAATGATTTAAGCGTACCCCGATTTTGGGGAAACCTCCATGTATATGTAATTATATATACATGTAGATATATTTTTGTATATGTATATGTATTATATGTATTATATGCATATATATATACACATTATGCATATATATATATATATCATATGATATGTATATATATATATATCATATGATATATATATATACATACACATACATATACATATTTATTATATGCATATATATATAATATGCATATATATATAATATGCATATATATATACATATATATATATGTATATATATATACATGTATATATATGTATATATATATACATATATATATATACATATATATATATACATGTATATATATATATACATATATATATACATGTATATATATATGTATACATATGTATATATATATATATTCTGTATATACATTTCTATACATATAGATATGTATATATATATATACACATTATTTGAATGTCCATATGATATATAATTAACAGGTAATTCCGTCTGATTGAGGTATGCCTTGAAAATTGCCTGTTCATATAGAACATGAAGATTCATCAGTGGAATTGAGGGTGACCTATTTTCAGACAAGCCCATATTTCTGTGTGATTCTTCAATTTCAGTATGATGTACAGTACATATTATGATTAATAACTTGTACAGGGTTGATTTCATGATCCCACCATGAAACGTAAAATATGACCAAGAGCCACTATGGTCAATATACTTGCACAGAAGCTTTATATCAACCAAACCAATATGTTGACTGGTGGTTACCATGAAATATGCACAAGGGCTGATAGGGGATTCGTACTTTCATATATTTCTATATGAATAGTACATTATATAATTTGATTTAATTTTCACAATATATTATATAAACATATATATATAAACATATGTATGAACAATGAACAAGGTCCATTTCCAACCAAACGGATCCCCGGCATGGGTTAACTATAGGTACAGATGGGGGATCCCACAGTGACCTCCAAGGGGTAAAACCCACCCAGTATGAAGCGTAAAATATGAAATAAAGATGCAAACCAATATATTACTGTATCTCGATGTAATTTTATATACATATACACATATGTAAAGCATTTGGCACGAGCTTTAGCTTTTGGCACACAGTCAGCAATGCTGTCATGCCAATCGGTACTGCATGCCCCAAGTTTCATGCCCTTTTCTGTTTCCCTCCCCTTCAATGCTTACTTTCATGGACCACATGTTGATTGGGCTGTGCCCTCACTTGTTACTATGTTTCATTTACAAAACACATTTATTGAAGCAATTCGTAATTGAAGCCATGGATATTAAGCAGCCAGAATCTCAAGAATCTCAAGAACTACCTGAAGCTTCTCCACCTCACCCTCCTCAAGCCAAATCGACCACATCGCCTGCTACCACTGAGACCCTCACTCCAGAAGAACTTGAACTTATCAGGCAACATCGAGCTACTACCAGAGAGCCTTCTCAAAGAAACCGGGAACAGACCAAGGATGGGAAGAGTTTCTCACTTCACTATAAGCTATATCTATATATATATATAAAAGGATGTAGAGCTCTCAGACTTGGACTTTAGACTCCAACAGGAACTTCGATCTTCACCTCAAGCCAGAGCAGACTTCCTTGCCCTCAACCTCACCTCTCCAGAAGCACTTCACTTCGACCCTGACAAGGCAAACTCCAGAAGATTAACCTCACCAAGAAGCGACCTTTCACTGACCTTCGACAGGTCGAAACTCCAACACTTGAGCAGCCTCGAGCAGTATCACACTCACATTCCGATCGACACCATGGGTACCAGGTTGAAGACATTGGAATCCACCATTGACAACAAAGCACTCCTACTTCGAGGACTACCAGCTACAGGATTTACAATGAACAACCTCGACTGGAATATCCTTCTACATGAAGAACAAGGACCCAGAGTAGCACTTGGACTTTCCATAACTATTCAGCAGCTCTTCCATCACTACCAGATCGACACAGGTCTCACCACAGATGTACATCGATGCAACAATCTCATTGTACAAAGACCACGCCCCCTTTGTGACTACCACCTCCACTTCAGCAAGAACGAGAGGAACTCTTACCAGCAGATCGTAGGTTCTTCATTTGAGTTGACCCATATCCTCCAGTTCGACTACATAGTGAATGAGCTTACCAACTTCATCAACAACTCATATCTCTTCCAGGACATCTTTTTTGGCATGGACCCCTACACCAGCAATGAGCTGACGCACCTGAGTTCAGTTTGCACCTGTTTCACCGATGTAGCCTACTGGTCATTTAGCGTAGGCCTAGGAATAAATCACAGCTTCAGATCCCCAATAGGGCCAAAGGCAGTACCACTCCTTTACCGGACACAGTCCCATTCTACTCCCTGAACAGATAAAGCTGGCAGGGGCCGCCAGAGGCTTGCCGGGAGACCACGTTCCTTCTAAAAGATCATTCTTTTCCTTCCAGTACAATTTGCCTCCTCAAAGTCAGACTTGTGGTCACGAACCCTGCCGTGCGTCCCGGAACCGTTCACATCAGAATCTTAGATCCGAAACAGCCATTAATCGTAGACTTCAAACTATGTTACTCCACCGACAAAATCGTCGTGGTCATCGTGAATTGTTTTCTCAACGCCCTCGATGGATGGGCCCCACCTTGCCCATTCCATCCGGTTCCGCAGAGAAGGTGCAAGTTAGCGGCATTTCCCAAAAGAGCCATTATCCTCTACATTTTGTTACGCACTTCTTCTCGCTCCGAAATTGCAGTAGTCAACCAATTTTGGGCGCGCTGGTGCGGACGTGTGGCTCAATCGGAGCTGCATACCGCTTCGGGAAAAACACACACATATGTATATGTATATGTATCTGACATGTGTGTATGTGTTTATACGTGTATATATATATATATATCTATATATATATATTTATATTTTGTATGATGTTGGTGGTCAGAAAGGTGGCTTCAGGCCATTTTCACTTCCATCACCATACCTGTGATGATGGCGACTATCATGATGATGATGAAGACGATGATGATGGTGATGGTGACGATCTGCAAGTAGCCATATTCTTCCGGGGGTGAAAGCATAGACCATGAGTTTCTTTTTCAGCCTGGAGATCTCGTGCCTCATTGTTCAAAAGTTTTGAGATAACTGGGTGGATGTGGATTTAGGTCCCTTGCCAGTACCCACATCAATGCAGGTCCGCAGTCCCTGCCTGCTTGGGTTTTGGGTTTTAGCCAAAACAGGGGAACAGGATATTTCGGCGTCGAGAGACTTAGAGACAATGGCCCAAACTTTGTGAATGGCAACATTTGTTGACGTCCTCTGAATCGAAGGTATGGGGTTTTCCGTTAGAACAAGGAATAGAATGAGTGTTCAATGTCTGGTTTCAAGGAGATGTGATTCCTTGCATGGCTGGATGATTTGAACCGCGCTTGTTCAAAATTGTTCATTCTACTTTGTGATGATGGTCCAAATTGACTACATTAGATCTACATCATTTTTTCATGGGTTGAAAACCCCAGCCGCAAGCCACGAGGTCATGTTCTGTTCTTATCTGATTCTTTGGGTTGAACCAACCAGAGGGCTTCTTGGATGCGCATCCAAAAGATCACTCACCCATATAAATGGGGAATATTTCCATGTATGTATACCCTCTGATCAACCATGCCAAGTGAAAATCAACCATGGGTTTTGAATGAAAAAATCATGGAAAAACTTCTTTGACTGGGGGAATGGAATTGTGAATTGCCATGGATTCCCAGAGGCTAACTGTGCTTTATTGGGGTTCCGTTCGCCGCTTGGGACCCCAGATCCAGCGGAAGATGCCCTTGGCGCCTGCGAACACTACAGCAGTGCCCAGATGTACCTCGGCGTGGAACCATGTGGTGGGTATGTCGTGGGTACCCCAGCTGGTTGATATTTATAATGGTAAAACATCAGAGAAAACACCATTGAAAAATGGATGATTTGGGGGTCCTTTATTTATAGAAAACTTCATATATCGTGTTTTAAAACGGGGAATAACCGCCCCTAGAGATGGGCATTTAGTAGGAGAAATTATGATGAACCACTGGATTTCGGGGTGTATATATATATATATGTATATTTATATATACACACCATTTTCAGAGAAACCCATTTATTCAGATAATTCTAACAGGACAGGAATTTAAGCCATGGGAGATGAGACAGGATTTATATGGATTTATTGTATATTTCCTGCTGTATAATTAGTAGGGTCTGAACATGGTCTACATGTCCGCCAATTGGCCATTTGTACAGGCAAAATGTGGCGTATTTAGCCAACAAAAAATGGGACTATGGGCATGGACCACAAGTCCTATATATATATATATTATATACACATTCTTTTTGGGGAATGAACATCCATTTGCAAGCTATTGGGGTGTGAACAGCAGGGGAAAAAGGTTTTGACCCATAAAGCATAGAATGGGACAAGAATATGATATTTTATATAGTGGGTCTTCACCAACAAAGGTTGGGATCAAGCTAGCCACTTTCTTGGATATAATTAACCATACTGGGTGTATTTGATGGGGGCATTTGGCTATGCAACTAACAGTACATGACATGGTGAATATATGGAAAAAATCGACGACACCACTAGGACGTCTTCATAGATGATGGTACGAGGAATCATCACAAAACCACCTTAAGTTTCAGAATGGTGAACTATTATGATGCAGCCATACATATACATATATATATATATACACATAATTCTAGATATATGATATACTATATGCTTGGCTGCTTCTTGTATGCTTCTTCTGTGCTTCTTCTGTGCTTATTAGGTGCGTAGTAGGATTTGGAGGTGCTTACTGTGTGAAGTATGCAACCATGATACTGAAATGCTGGCCTACCTCCATTGTCACGAAGGGTAGACTTGAGTGATTTGCATATAACTTTTTTCCGAGCTTCCAAACCGAAAATGATTTCAGCAAATCGGACGTCCAAAAATCAATACCGCATATTGACCAAAATAAGGGCATATCCCCTTATTCTGAGCTAATTTTCGCAAAATGATTTCAGCCAATAGCATGTCCAGAACTAGAGCATAATTGTGATGAATGACTCTACAACCACTCACTGAACGTTGTCCAAAACAAGGACATATTCCCCTATGCTGAGTTAATTTTTGCAAGAAACAATCAACCAATCAAGCACAAAAAAATAAGGACACATTCCCTTATTCTGAGCCTATGTTTTCTTTGTGGCGCAGTTGGTTTTGCAAGCAACATGTCTTTTTTTTTGGGGGGGGGTACCCGTCGTAGGTTTTCGTGATTACATGTGTATATGTATTAATGTATATAATCGAAGGAAGTTTAGAAGTCAAACTTCCGACAATACGGACAGATGAAAAGTAGAGATGGGAAGAGTCACAGAAGAGAGAAGGTCAGAGAAGAGAAAGAGTCAGAAGAAAGAAGATGCAGATGCGCGAAAAGGTAGGAAAGTCGCGAAACACTGCGTTTTTCCAATGATTTGTGGCTCCGGAGGGTCGAAAAGTAGGCTCGCTAAAGCGGCGGGTGCGGAGCCATCTTTCCAGATGAGAGATGAAAAATTGCACGCCGTTGTGGCGCGAAGCACATTTCCAAGTCAAAATGTACAAAACACACCATTGTCGGACCACTTTTGGAAGTTGCAATGTCGAAAAAGTGCACGCTGTTGTGGCGCGAAGCACATTTCCAAGTCAAAATGTACAAAGCACTAGGGGTTCGGACAACTTTTGGAAGTTGAGATGTCGAAAAAGTGCACGCTGTTGTGGCGCGAAGCACATTTCCAAGTCAAAATGTACAAAGCACTAGGGGTTCGGACCACTTTTGGAGGTTGAGATATCGAAAAAGTGCACGCCGTTGTGGCGCGAAGCACGTTTCCAAGTCAAAATGTTAAAAACACCAGGGGTTCGGACCACTTTTGGAGGTTCAGATGTCGCTTCGCTTCGCTTCACTACACTACACTACATGATACTACACTACACTACACTCCACTACACTACAAGACATTACACTACACTACACTCCAGTACACTACATTACACTACACTACACTCCAGCACACTCCACTACACTAAATTACACTACACCACACTACATTACACTACACTACGCTCCACTACACTACACTACACTTCACTACATTACACTACACTACACTCCACTACAACTACAACTACAACTACACAACTACACTCCACTACACTGCACTACGCTCCACTACACTCCACTACACTAAATGACATTACACTACACTACATTACACTACACTACACTCCACTACACCACACTACACTACATTACACTACACTACACTACCTTCCACTACACTTCACTACATTACACTACACTACACTCCACTACACTCCACTACACTACAACTACAACTACAACTACATTACACTGCACAACTACACTCCACTACACTGCACTTCACTACATTGAACTACACTACACTCCACTACACTACATTACACTACACTACACTACCTTCCACTACACTTCACTACATTACACTGCACTGCACTCCACTCACAACTACACTCCACTACACTCCGCTACACGAAATTACACTACATTACACTACACTACATTCCACTACCCTGATTCACAACAACCAATCTCTCCTATAGGTTTCCTATTTTTGAAACTTCCGCCACCGCCTTGTGCGGTACTACTGGTATGTATATAATATGTATATGTACATGTATGTCTGTACATATGTATATGTATAGAATATACATAGTCGAGATAGTCCCATTTGTGGACACACTACCGGCCATGAGTCACCATCCACTTGCAATTGGTTATTTAAATTTACTTACTGGGTAAATCCACCTGCCCTCAAGGTTTGGAATGCTTGGAAGACAGCTAAGGCGCGACCTCTTCGCAAACCACCCACGCTGAGCTGCAAGGGCTGTGTCCAAAAAGCGGGATGGCAACAAAAAACACTTCAACACCACCAAAACTCAACATGAAATCGCAAGACCTTCGTCAGCCATGCCGAAGCTTTTTTGGACACATAACCCAGAAGTCAGGATTATTTAGGATGAAAGGGTGCGCCATGGGTTAGATGCCACATATTTAAACGTAAACGGCTGTGCGCCGTGCGCCGCAGCGTGCAATTTTAAAGTGGCTGAAACTTGGTAGGAATCGAAAGGGATGGTTCAACGCTGCGCCTGCAACTTGTGTCCGGGAACGGGGAGACCCCTCATGCACCCAAATTCCACCAAAGATTCACCAGACCAAAAAGTAGCAGAAACCATTCAAATGGGACTTATTTTGCTACAAGTCGCTTCCCGTTCCTGGATGCACCCAACTAGAGAAGAAAGATGTCATGGCAAGGCCAAAACTAGCGCCGACACATGAAATGGCAAGGCCTTGAAGGTGCATCGTTGAAACCACCGGAGACGAAGATAGATGATGATAGACTATAGATGGCTGTGCGCCGCATGATTTTCAATTTGAAAATGGTTCTGCGGAGCGGAGCATGTCGATCAGGACAGGTGGAAGACAACCGAGGCATTGGTGCGGACCCCCCTGCAGGTCTGGACACAACCTGGGACATGGGTTTTCCCATAAGTTTCCCCGGATTTCATGAAATGGACAGCGATGTATGTCATAATATATGAAGTTTAAAGCATTTCCCCAGGTGCGTGTCTCAATCTGGAGATGTACATTGCTTATCAAGTGCGTTTGTTTGAAGGCATACTTTCTCACAGTCTCAGTTACAATTCTTGGAAGTCATCTCCGACTCCAACATTCCCAACATGTAGATTTCAGAGGGTTGAAGAGTTGAAGAAAAGGTTTATCCAAGAGTTCCATTATCTTTGTTGGCTACATCAGTTACATCTCCATTGTTATTGTGTACATCACATACATCATGATACATCCCTCCTGTTGGTTGAGTACACAGCCAGCTTTTCCTGTGGCACGGTGGCTGTCTCCTGTCTGAGCACAGCGAGCACTGTTTTCTCCATGGAGCGCCATTTGCTTTGTTCATCTCTGATTGCATCTCTGATTGCATCTCTGATTTTTCTGCGGAAATCAATGTTCCCAGCATCAAAGTCGTTAATGGTTTTCGCATCGATTTTCACCCTGGTCATGTTATTCCCATGATTTTTATGGATTTTGCCCATCATTTTCCTTCTCATCGTGGAGTTTTCCCTCGTCGCCGCAATGGGTTTATCGTGGAGTAGTTCCTTTGACGAGCAACTGGAGCAGGCCGCGTTGGAGGAAGCGGAGTTGGCGGTCGACGCGCGAAAGGCGGGATGCCCTGGGAAGCGGCGAAACATGACACCACTGGTGTCACACTTGGGACATTTGCTTCCATTTGGGGATGGTTCAAAACCTAGATTACATTATATTACCATATGACTGGGGGAATAACCATCCATTTTTCCCCATTTAAGCCCCTTATTTTGAGAGTACCGTTTGGGTCCTGAGGTTTTGACTCATAGCCATTTCATGGCATTTTGACTTTAGTCAGGGCACGATAGAATAAGATTATGGGGTACCCGGTTAGCCATGGGTAGCCTATTGGCAGGGGGTTTCTGGTCAAAGCTGAGCACCAGGCTCGTGTGGCACTTGTTGGTGTTGAGAACTACAACATCAACGACTTCAACAAGTTGCCTGGCTGGGAAAACAACAAGGCCGGTTACGGTGGTGTGATTTATATAGGCCCATTTTGGCCCATGTTTTTGGTGCCATATTTTTAGCTGTCTTTGTTGCAGTTGGGGCAGTCATACAGCAACGGAGTATTTTGACTGAGACTCGGTTTCTTGGTGTCCAGAGTCCAGAGGGCGTGGAGCACTTGCAATAAGCCCATATCAAAAGTTATTTCGAAGCACAGCTGAACACAGCCTGACTTCATTGGTTAATCATTAGTTGTCATCAGCAATGATTCGAATCAAGGCATGTGGAAGACCCATTTCGTTCCAATTCCGCTGGCGATTCCAAATCCTTCTTTGTTGCAAGACCTCGAGAGTTGACAGCCACCGCAGCTTTCTGTATGACATGTGAGAAACCTGCAGCTCACAACAAGGTTGTTTTCAACACCGGATTGTTCTGAGGTTTTTGATACAGGAGACTGGAGACTCAAGCAATTCTCCATGTCTTGTAGGGAAAGCCATGGATCAGCCCCTTTTTTCATCAGATCTCAACGCCGAGCTCAGTAGAGATAGCCTGAGCCATGGGCAGATACGCGTTGGGCGTGGTAGCAGCCACCATATACTTTGCAGCCGACCTTTTCCTGATGGTCATGGTTGTAATGGTCCCTCAGCTGGCTTGAAGAATATTGAAGAATCGTTTGGGAGGGCTCGCCGCGATATGTTTTTGAACCAGCGGGGAACCAAGGGGAGATACAACTCAGGGCCTGGTTGTCCAACCTGGATTTGGGAGGAGTTGTTTGTTCCATGAAGTGAATTTGCGGCCATTGCAGGAGAGTTCGATCAAGTCTTATTGATGGCAACGAACATCCTTTGTAGATCAGGTTTGGCTTGTTGATACTTATTGCAACATACTTGGCAAAGCTGATAAAGTTTATGTGTTACCCTCTACTGATACTTAGGGGATTTCTGAGTCTTACTGGGCTACCCAAAGTGAATGCTGGACCCCATCGGCCCTCTGTCGCTTGTGATGCTCAAAGAGCCTTTGTCTCAGAACAGGTTGGTTCTCAATCCATTTCGAAGATGAGATTTCCAACATTTTCCAACAGTTTCCAAGTCAAAGAGAGTTTCAGTCCTTAAGAATATCCTTTACTCACCCTTACGTAATCCCTTAATGCGCTTAGGGGTTTGAGGGGCCCACGGCCCCAAGCTACACAGTTCTCCACCATTCAGTTCCTTCAGTTTTGGCCGTTTGGAACAGGTCATGACCGACGGAGTGGGCATGATTGGCAATATCGTGGATATTCTCTATGATGCTTGGCATTGCTTTGGACAATCTGTTGATTTTCCTGGATGGGAAGAATAATGTGATATGACATTGTATATATACATATACATTTTGACATATATCATTATATATCATTATATATCATTATATATTATCATATATTATTACTGATTATTATATATTGTTATATATATATTATATTATTTATTATTATTATATATTGTTACATATATATTATTACATATTATTATATATTATCATATATTATTATATATTGTTATTAAATATTACATATTATTGTATATTATTACATATTATTATATTTTATGGTATATTATTACATATTATTATATATTATTATATATTATTATATATTATTATATATTATTATTTATTATTATATACTATTAAAGATTATTATATATTATTATATATTATTATCTATTATTATGTATTATTATATATTATTATATATTATTATATATTATTATATACTATTATATATTATTATATATTACTATATATTATGTATATTATTATATATTATCATATATTATTTTAAATTATTATATATTATTATATATTACCATATATTATCATATATTTTTTGAAATTATTACATATTATTATATTTTACATATTATTATATTTTACATATTATTGTATATTATTACATATTATTGTATATTATTACATAGTACTATATATTATTCAACATATTATATATTATCATATATTATTATATATTATTAAATATTATTATCTATTATTATATATTATTATATATTAGTATACATTATTATTTATTATTCTATACTATTCTGTATTATTATTTCTAATTGTATATGATTATATATTATTATGTATTATTATGTTGTTATACATTATAATAAATCATTATTTATTATTGTGTATTTTTTATTATTATTATACATTATTATTTATTATTGTATTGTTTTAATTATATATTATTATGTTGTTATACATTGTAATGTATTATTATATATTCTAATATATTATTTTTTATTATTACACATTATTATATATTCTCATATATATTTTAATATTCTTATATATTCTTATATATTATTATATGTTTTTTTTTAAATATATTCTCATGTATTATTATATTATCGTATATTTTATTATTATAGATTATTATATATATATATCAACATATATTTTTATCATTTATTATATATATATATATTATTGTATATTATTTTTTTTAATATTATTTTATATTATTATATGTTTGCATTTATTTTTATTATAGATTATTATGTATATATATATATATATGATTATATTTTTATCTGCGCATATATATATATGATCATTATATATATATATGATCATTATATATATAGAATTATCATTATATATATATGTTATTAGCATTTTATATATAGAATTATTTTTTTTTAAAAAATATTTCATCAAATATATCATATTATTTATTTTGTATTTTATTATTATGATATATTACATATGTTATGCGATTATATATAATTATATTATTGTTATATTAGTGTTTTATTATATTATATTAAAAATTATTATACTATATTACTATATTATACTATATTATACTATATTATATTATATTATATTATTACATTATTTTTATATACATATTACTATCATCATTATTATATATATTTCTATATATATATACACAATTATATACATATAATTATTATATAGCTAACTCAGTATGGATTTGTCTGCACAATTCCATCTACTGGGTACTCTCATCATTTTCCGTATTGAAGTGGTCATAGTATATTGAGGTTAAATCCACCATTTTCAGACACACCCAAAAAAACGAGTTCCACGAGGAAGGGGGATCCTGAAACGCTTTTTTGAGTAACAACATGTATACCCATTACCCTCTGGCAATCAAACATGGCAATGGAAAATCCATCATTTATAGTTATTTATAGTTGATTTTCCGATTAATTTAGTTCGGGGATTTACCCAGCTTGCCATGTTTGATGACTCCGGAGGGTATATACCCATTATCTACCCACGATATACTCAGGATGGCGCAGAGAATCTTCTGGCACTTTGTCCTGCGTGGACCATCGGAACTGTGAATGATTTGAAGGATTTGGCCGAGGTTGCTGGGCTTGGACAAGTTTAACGAAGTGCTGAAATTTGACTTCATAGCAGTTCATAGCAGCACATGTTTTTTTTTTTAAATAGATGATTTACCAATTAACAGTTTGTTTAATTACAAATATTGATTATAAAATCAATATATGATTGCCAATTTAACAGTTTTTTCCATGTTTTTTTTGGAGTATTGAGTATATAATCACAGTATAAGTCTATGGCAAATTTAGCATAGCTATGGAAAATCGCATTTTTTGTGAGTACATCTATTTCTATGTGCAATTTTCTATCGCTATGTTGAATTACAAGAATTGTAAGAGCTGCACGTAACAATAAGTATTCAGTATGCATAAACATAAATGTACAACATATTGATACGCTATCATACATGTGTACGTGTAGTCTCACAATATATATATATATCCAACTATACGTATGCGTGTAATGTATGTCCTGTACTGCAATGGAATGCAATGTGCTCTTCTGCAATCTAATCTAATCTATTGCAATGTAATGTTCTGCAATCCAATCTAATCTAATCCAATGTAATCTGATGTAGTACAATGTAATCTAATGATGTAGAATGATGTAGATAATGTATATAATGTATATCTAATACAATATATATAGATAGTATTAGATATGGTGACATATACACGTAAAGTGCAAAATATTTACAACTTGTCCATCTAAAGCCCCGGGTGGGTGTCTGGATCGTCCTTTAAAAATAAGCGATGCAAAAATGGCCTCAATTGATTCGTATTCTTTGTTGATAATCCTGAAATCTCCCAGTTGATTATAATCCTTAATTGATGTTTGCTTTTCGATTCCCAGTTGGTGATATCCACATTGTGGGGATCTGTCGGCATCTGTTAGAACCCCAAACCCCTTGGGATGGAAGACCACTTTCCCTGGGAGTGGATCTTCCTGTTCAAACAGCTACCATTATAGGCTTTGGTTGGCCTGAAACTATCATGTTGCTCTTGAAGAAGTTGTATGTTCTCATTGTGATTATGGCCTTCGGAAATCGGGGAGCCACCGTCATGATCCAGTTTTCGAATGGGTATGAAGTATGAACTTTGTCTTCGGCAACGACGTTGTCGAGCTATCTATATGTTCGTCGCTTCTTCCGCAATCAGCGGAGGTGAGATGGGGAAATTTGGTACTCGTCACCCTGGGTGTGTCTACGATTGCCTTTGCCGACATCAGCTTCCTGCCACTTGGCCTTGGTGGTGGCCAGTGGTCAAGTTGCTGCAGGGTCAGATTTCTAGGGCATTTCGACAGAAAGGCCCCGTTGTGCTTTGGCCACAACGACCGATTCACAAGTGATAGGACCTCAAGCGACCAACCCTGAGCCAGACCAGCTGAACCCTGACATAGGTGGTGTTTGTAGTCCTGAAGGGGGTTGATTGGGGCTTCATGATTGTGTTTGGAGGGGCAGAACCACTCTTGATGGTAGCTTAATCCCCTATGGTCATGATTTTGTTGCTATGCACATTGGTTTTTCACCAGGAATCACATGGCATTTGCCCAGATGGCACGGATGCGTTTCTCCAGGCTTTCCATCGTTCTCCGTGGCTCCTGCCCGAATACACCCACAGTGGCAGCTAGTTTTGCAAGGGGAAATCTGCAAAAAATCATTGCCGTTCAACGTGGGGAAACTTTCGATCAAAAGTTAACCTTCTTTTAATTCTCGGAGCTGAAGACAAATACGCTGGTAGCGTAAGCTGAGGATATGGGAGTGCACCAGACGATCGGAGCAAATCCACGTTTTGCGTGTATTACCTGATTGCCCCATTTATACTTGGGGGTATCTTTTTCGACAATAGACTGTAGATGGCTTTTTACATCTTTTTACCATGGATAATCGAAATCACTATGAACATCTATGAACCAATCTAGTTTGTGATTTATGTCACCTCAAGCTTTCCATTCTTTTTTGAACTAGGATCGAGGATGACTCCCAAGTGACTCCCGCGCTTGGAAGGGGTTTGAACCGCGCCACTGATTGAGGCAGTGCATCTATTGGCGTTATACTCGCTCTTCTTTTTTGGCACATGGACAGCATCGCAAGTTATCGCAAGAAGTTGGGAGGTCGACGGATAGCTGGTTGTTACGACCAAGAATGGCTGACTTATCCCGAACATCCTGGCCATTCAATCCTGGTCATTTGGTTAGGGAATTGCTGAAGGTTGCACAAACAAGAATCTGCGGTACTTGGACATCTTAGAACATAGTTTGAAATGATTTAAATACTTTTATATGTACTTATAGTATCTTATAGTATATTTAGTATATTTCAGTATATTGTATTATATTATGTATTTTATATTTCTTCACCACAGGGAAACAGCAAACAGAAAGCTATGACCTACTGGCTGCTGGCTGGGTGTAGCATCTCCATGACCTTCCGAGGATCATGCTGATGTGTTTTATTTGTCATGCCCTTTCCTTCGGGAAATCTCTTCAGGATGATATATTAAACACACATATTCTGTATCATTTTGTAGCATGATTTAGTTACTTGTGCAAACACACACACGTATATATATATATAAATATATAAATATATATATATATATACAAATATATTATATTATATATACATAGAATCAAATACATATATATATATATACATATATATATATATATATGTGCTAAATTTCGATCATTATGTAGCGTGTGTACTAGATGTATTTATGCATCGCACGTCGAATTTTTCGCTCCAGGCACCTCCCTGAATTTCGCCATCTCGAGCATGGCCCTGGAGTGGAAGAACAACGGAAACCCCTTCTATGGGGCAACCGATCCGCGTGGCTCGGAAACCCCAGAGGTTTTTTCTAAGGTATGCCCCTGGACATGGGATGGTGTCATGACCTACTGTAACTGGTGAAGGGGATGGTGATTGTTGGGGACACGATTGACAGTCGTCACCGAAGAACCAAGGGCTTGGTAAATGTCCTAACCATCACCCAACTATTGGAAGCATCATCTCTAAGAGATAACGCAGGAAGGTGATGTGAATAGAATCCCCAAGATAAAGGACATTTACCAACCTCTGAATGAGAATGATCAGGGTTTGTTCCAAACCGTTTGTAGGTAAATGATAGCCACTATAGGGGGGTTTACATTGGTCAAATATACCTCTATGTCTATGTTTACCGAATTTACCGCCTTTTACCGGGGGGTGTTTGGAGCAACTCTGATGATGGCGGATTTTTGTGGAGTCATGCCAAAAAAGATGTTAATGTGGTCTTATTGTCAGGTTCTTTCCAATCATTTGCGCAGAGTCCTCGCTGTTTTTTTTGACGGTTTGTTCTTTGGGATTTTGAACTAGAAGCCCTATGATAGCCAACCAGTTCAATGAAAATGTGGATGACAGAGGGTTGGACATTGCGGCGCTTAAGGGCACTGTGTTGGTGGGACTGGATGTTAACCAAGATGATTATAGGGTCTTCATTGAATGCCACTGTTTGGAAGAGGAGAACTACGCGACTTTCTTTGGGACCACTTCCCAGTATTGCACTGTGCTAATCATGGCGTTGTTGAGCTTGGATCCACAACTCTTCATTTTGGTATGTAGTTGAACATGCTGAACAATACTGATGGATTGCAAACTAGTAGAACTCCGCAAATGGCCTCATTGATTTCGGATGGGATACACAACTTGACCTTCAATCTTTGAAGATGCAGTTTCTTGCCAATTCTGCCTTTCCCAAGAATCGAGAGGCTTTGCCAAGTTTCGTGAATCCAAGGTGCAATTGATTCAAGATACTACGAATCAGACTGCAGCGGCTACGGTGGTTGCAGTGGTAGCTATTCGAGGCTAGCAGTGCCCGAGCATGATACCTGGTGCCCCACCGGCACTTCTCCTTTGCTGGATACGGCCAACACTCTTCAGGTCTCTGCGCTCAAACCTCACCGGGTTGATGCAATTTTCCTATTGGTTGGTTGAGGGGTCAACATGCCCTTCACAACCAATAAGCAAGTCATGATAACTACACCAAACCGGCTCCATTTTTACCAAAAGAAGCCTCTTGGAATTGATGCTTCGGTACAACACCGATCTTATGGGTCCAAACCCAGGTGCAGGGACCCGGTATCCCTTCACATAGGAGAAGAAACCACAGAGTCCTCCACAACATCCAGTGCGAACGCTTATAGCCACCCCAAAGATCCGCTTGTGTTTCTACCAGCCAGCACTTTCAAGGGTTTATGGGCGAACTTGAACAGCAGGCAGCAGGCCCTATATGATATTTGAACATATCATCTATCTATTGACTTATCAATCTATCAATCTAGCAGCCTATCAATCTATCAATCGATGCCATCTACCTACCTGGGTTTTTAGCACCGGGCATAGCTTCCTCAATGATGTCACCATCAATTTTTTGATGCTTGCTATGGGGGATCATGCTCCCGAAAACCATGGGTTTCAACACTAAAACGGTCTAATGACTTGAATGATTTAATGAATACCTCTATTTTAAGAAAACTAGCTTTTAAAAAATCTGAAATTCCGAAAATAGCCCTGGTAAGTGCAGGAAGGGCCCTCCAATCATAAATTGGGTAACTGGATCTAACCACTTACCTAGTTCGATATATCAACCATCCAATGTTAGCCTTGCTTGGTTTACAAACTCACGTATTTTTTTTAAATTCAGGAGCTTCCTGTACGAAGCAGGTTGTGGGTCTGATCCTTTTTGGGACGACTTGGGTGATCCTTCTTCCAGGATTGATCCTTGTCTGCAACTCCACTGGTTGGGTGATGAAATAGAGATAGGCGATCGCAAAAATTCCACTAGCATGTAGATGCTGATAAAGGTCCCCTTATGTTTTTGCCACCAGGACATTTTTGTATGTTGTTATCAAACATGATGTGCTGACCATTAATCCTTCAATCTCAGTGGGCACAGGGGGTTGTACTGTCTAAGGTATCTCACACTCAGCTGGGTCTAGATCCCCACACTGCACCATTTGCCCTCTTCCGATGATGAAGATTCACACATCAAAAGATTCAGACAACCAACCGCTGGTCTTTTTTTCAGAGTTCGGACACCTCACCCTTAACAAAACAGGAAGTTGCGTTTGTAAACAACAGTAGATTGCTTCGCATTCGCCCCCACTCATGGAAGCATCGGGCACCACCTACCAAACGCAAAGGATCTTCGCTGCTATCTTCAGCAAGGGCCGCATCTTCCGGTTGATGGTTGTGGCTCCCGTGTCCTGGCAGATGTGGACGTTGATGTGATGTCAACTTGCATTTCTGATGTTCCAAAATGGGTTTCAGTCTTTTTGATGAATGTAAGGATTGCTGATCAGAGAGCTTCTTTCACCTTTGGTTTTCACCTTGGGGGTTGATCTGATTCTGCCATGGGGGATTGACAAGCACCACGAACAGAACGACAATCAGAGCACGAACATTTGCAGCAAACGGCAATAACCACGACAATCATTTGATGGTGACTGCGATGGTGATGGCGATGATGATGATGATGATGATGATGATGATGATGATGATGATGATGATCATGATGATGATGATGACGACGACGATGATGACGATGACGATGACGATGACGACGACGAGGACGAGGACGAGGACGAGGACGAGGACGAGGACGAGGAGGAGGAGGAGGAGGACGACGATGATGATGATGATTGTGATGATGTGGAGGACGAGGAGGAGAAGGAAGAGGAGGCAGATGATGATTTCAAGGACGAGGACAACTACGATGACAATGATAATCATGAGCAAGGACAAAAACAGAAACAACAGCGGCATGCAGCGGCAGTTGCAACAGCAACAACAACCTCCCAGGCTGCAGCTACTGCGCTGTACGGCTTGATCATAGGTGGGGTCAACCATTGGGCCGGATCTGCGTTCAGTATTGGTTCAGCTGGTTGGTTTTGATATGTATGTGTAAATGTATATATGATATGTATTTTAACTATATATGTACATATATATATATATACCTAGCGCATCAAGAACCCACAAATTTGTAGGTCTTTTTCCAAAAACCCGTTTTTTTCTTCAGTAATGAAAAAAAACATTTTTTCTCAGAAAATATGTTTTTTTTCTTTACTAGGGAGAAAAAAAAACCTACTTTTTCTCACACTTGGTGTCATGACTTCTCATGATTCGTTCCCTTAGACGATTCAAACCCCTTTATTGATACCAGTCTTGGATCTATCCCTCTCAGTACCCTTCATGTTGATTATACTTCCACCCCGCTGGCTTTGGCTGGCAGTTCTCGCAAGAAAGGGCCCGATGCTCTTGGAACATGTCGGACAACATTAAGTGTGATCACAGTCAATCTGGAGTCGTTGGATGTTTTTTTCCCAAGAACCACCCCTAGAAGCATAAATTGAAACATAGCTGTATTTTTTTTGATTGGGAAAAAATGATTCTGGATTGCCACAGTCCAACAAACAGTCGAACAAAAGTATCGAACAAATTAACAAAATCATGAAAAATCAATCGAAATGTTCAGTTTTTAATCATTTCCGATGACAATTTTAGGGTCTGTGCCCAAAAAATGCCAAAAACCAATATTTAAGCCGTACTAAGCCGTACTAAACCCATATTTAACCCGTACAAAACCCATATTCTGATATATTAAAAAAAACCCGGTTTTTGGGAACCCATATTTAAACCATATTTAACCCATATTTAACCTATACTAACCCGTACTCAAAATATGGGATTTTTGCCTCTGCGAATTGACGGCGCGACGTCGAGTTTTAAGGCTCCGCTTGTGGCTTTGCAAGATCAAACCGGTAATTGCCCGATCCAGACAAAAAGAAAGCAACGCAGATTACCGGAGCTATTGTCGATTTACTGGGTTCATATCTGAAAAACTGATTTTTGAAATGCCATGCATATCCATTGTGACTTTTTGACTACCTCCAGTCCCGCTGAAGGGAAAGTTCGCAGCATAGAGGTAACTGCAGCCGGTGGAGAAAGCGCACATCGTGTCTGATAACGCCTGCTTCGGTTTCGATCGCGCGTTCTGTCTGACAGATTTCACAAGTTGTCAGTATGAAATTGCTACGTGTAATGAGGAGAAATTTGATACAGGTCCACCCGATTTGGACAAATTTGTGCAAATCCACCAAAAACCAAAATATGTGCTCTTTACCAAAAACCCGTTTTTTCTCGAAAAAACTAGTTTTTTTTCACTGGGCCTACACTTTCTTGGGTCTTTGAAGCTCCTGGTATATACATATACTTATATAAAGGTAGATATGGCTCAAAAATCTGGACCACCCCCCCTTTTGGTATGTTTCAGGATAGTTGGAGAATATACTGTATTTGCAATGACCAATCTTGTGTGTCCAGTGGCATCCCTTCTTTGAGCCACGCGGCCCCGTGGCCCGCAGGCGGAATTCAGTTCCCACTCCTTCTGCCATGGATCTTTGGATGCGCCCGCATGCCCAGAATGAGGGTCAGATTTGGAGCGTTTTGGATGGGACTTCAAACAGAAGGAAGGTCTCAAGGTCGAAAGTGTCCAGCCCGAATGCCAGGGTCAGAACTTGATGACCAACTTGGATAGGTCTTGATGTTGTAGGCAACTGAGGACCGCAGGTGTGGTTTTTGGTCCAAGTTTGATCCAACCCGAGGCGCTGTGGCAATACATGCGCTTGCTGGTGAATTGGATTGCTGGTGTCAGTCAGACTGACATTGACAAACAATTTCGGGTAAACCCGGGGAGTGATGAGACTTGGCACATGATCTTTACAGCGGCCCTCGTGGTCCATTAGTGGATAGTGACCTCCCGGCGATAGTGCAGTCCAATTCACACGTACAGTAATTTAAAATATATATTTTACAGTACTGAACTAAAGGGAATTGCACCGCATTCAATCTCTCTCCCTCTTTCTCTCTGTGTACTGTACTACATGATTATGCAACATTCATCACCCCCATGATTCACATCCCAACATAAACCATTCCATATAACAATTGCGTCGGGATTTCACTGCACCAGGATTGTGGCCCAGTTTAATACAAGGAAGAAGAGCACTAATGTCAACCCCGCGTTAAGAAACTGAGTTTGTTAAAGAAACGAGGGGGGGTTGCCCCAAAAAAGTATTTCTTGCACTATTCAGATGGCAATTAAATTATTCCCCCAATCACATAAACTAATGTAGGGTTTATTGTTAGCTGCAAGATGGTGCCCTACAGCTATAAGTTGGTGTCTAAGCCCAGTTTACAAACGATATATCCCTATAAACCCTACTTAGCCTGCTTATAAACCAAGTTACCTACCTATGAGGCACCATGATGGAGTTATATATCATTGTAGCTCCACCAAAATCTTAGGACATGGTGCCTGGCATTATTGGTGCACCAACGGGTGATGGTACTGATGGCGGAGGCTCGGGGCACATATCTGGGGCGCTTGGGAACTGATGATCCAATAGATCGTAGGTTCTTTGCAGCGACTGAACTGGCAAACCAGCGACCTCAATTACTAGAGATGATGTGCTGCAGGGGGAATCATCCCAAACTACAAACTCACCTAATTTCAGGTTGGTGACTTACTGTGAGTAATTTCCGGATCAGAAACTATCGAGTCGAACCAGCGTCACCGGAATCAACATCATAACGTTCGGATCAGCGTCGCAGAATCAGCGTCAAAGAGGATCCTGGATCAGCATCGTGTAAAAATGGTCGGGACGGTCGGGATGGTTGGGATGGTCGGGATAGCCCGCAAAGTTCCCATCTCTGCCGTCCCGGTCCAAACCGTCCCGATCCAACCGATGTAGAGCGCCGATCCAACCAATCTAGATTCCGATCCAATGACCCCGATCCAACCGACATCCGGCTTACTATAATTTAGCCAGAATAATGAATTATAAATGCAATTTTTGGGTATGGTTTACAGTGCCCCCCATATGGCCAATTGGGTACACTGAATTGTTTTTCTCCGATTTGCATGGACTTACCACAGTACTCAAATTAAATTAGCAAATTATAAATGGGACCATGTCCCAGGGAACCCTGCACAGGAAGACAGAAAGCACTGAAAGGGAATGGACTTATAGCAACCATGGCTTACTGTAGTAGCTACTCGCTAACTCGCTAAATGGGGATCATTTGAGTGTCAAAGATTCATGAGATTGGCTTGTGTTTGTTGTAAGTTAATGCTGTATGTGGCGCCGTTGTGCGGTAAGAAGTTTCGACTGGAAAATGCAAAAAAACAACAACTCAAACATTACCTTGGCAGTCTTCAGAAATGAACAGGCAAAAAAAGTGAATGGAAACATGATGACTCAATATGATTTACCAAAACAAAATTCAAAACGAACCAAACGATGACATTGTTTTTGTTTTGTTTTCACTTTTTAGTTGGTTTGTTTGCTTTTGTTTTGTGATTCTCTGAGATAGGTTTTCTTCAATTTTAACATGTTCGGACAGAAAACAAAACACACAGGATAAATTTATGTTTGCCTTTTTGTTTTCGTTTTAATATGTTTTAATATGAGCGTCTCTCAAACCGTTTTTTTTGCGTCGTCGTTTATTCTTTTTGAATTTCCCTGTCTAAAAGTCAGGTGATCCGGGGTCGCCAAAACACTGATGTGCAGGTCATTGCAGGTCAACAGCTGGTATATCTGGATGTTCATCCCCCAAGTTACCATATCCAAACAGGGTACAATAGGTCTTGATCCATCTCTTTCCGTGGGATGCTTAGTTATGAACCTGGGTCCTAACTCGAAGACAGATCTATATTGCAACATATTACAACAGATCCAACCAAATTTGAAACTTGCAGGCGAAATCGATGCCGGTGGCTACATGGGATATTGACGGATATTGATTCACAGCGCTCAATGAGGTGCTGAAAACACTGTTTTTTTCACCGTGTTTTAGGCTGGTGCACGCCAGCTGTCCAGGGGTACTTCCAGCTTGTTGACCGGCAAAGCATTGGAAATAATTCTGCGGAAGGTGCAGAACCAGGGCCATCCTTGCGCGATCCATCGAGATCATTTTTGGCCATTCTGTAAGCAGGTCATTTTTTTGCAGCATAGGGCTACTCTGAATGTATACAGAACAAGTGCTGGAAGATGCTGGAAGCCATGGTACTTTGGGTTCCTTTCTCAAAATCGTGGCATGAAGTTCAAAGTGACTGAGTGCCATTGGGAGGGAAGCGCAGAGCCATGCTACTTTGCCTGAATTCGTTCTGTTGCTTTCCAAGCGGGAAGGCTGTGTCGCGTTGCTTCTATCAGTGGTCTCGCAAAACCACCTTTCGCGCAGCTGTCTTGCAGGAACTGAACTGCGTGCAAAGCCTTTGTTGCCATGTTTGGCTTTTGAAAGTGACGGGGATTGGTGAAAGCTATCCAGCTATCCATACCTAAACACCTCGGATCTGCAAACATCCCAAGATCGCGTGTTCTCCAATCTTCTCTTCGTTTGGGTTTGTCTGAAGGAGGCTACACCAAAATCCAGGGTGATTATATCATCATTTTCCCTATGAACATGCTATAATTTGGTGGTCAATCCTCCCTTTTCAGACACACCGATTTGCGGCGCGGGGGTGAGACTTTGGCCAATTCGGCCCCTGGGGGGTGGCTGGTGGACTGGTAGACTGCAGACAGTGCTTTTGATCATGTCTTGTGTGTCCATTTTGACCGTACTGTATCACAGATGGACCATGCCACCTACGGCCTCTTTGAGCCAGTTGTACATTTTGAGAGGAAAAACTGGAAAAACTGTGAACATTTCCGTGCAAAGTCGCTGAAATTTCATGGAGGGAGCAGCAAAAAGGGGATATACATGGATGGAGATGCAGCCTCAACGGAGATCCAGTGACACGACCGAACGAAGAAGGGGATGTCTTTATTCACCGTGGTGCTTGGTGGTTTCACATACGGTGCATTGTTGTCCATTTCAAACGTCCGTATCTGGGATGATGAGTATTTGGGATGACTATCCCACAAAGCCACAAGATTGCAAGAGTGGGGTACCATTTCCAATAGATATAGGTCATAATGCCGTTATTCATCAGCTATTGCCCACTTAGGGGGTCCGATTTTGACCAACATGGGCCTTGGATGGGCAGTTTGATGTTTTGATTTTATGCCATCTTATGCAATGAATGGGGGAAGGCACATGAATATCACATGAAGGAGTTCTATGAGATTATCTGTGCCTTTGTCTGAAAGTAGGTTACCATACGTTACCTAAATCCACTGGTGTACTCAGTACAGGGCGGGAAAAATCTAAGTCGAATGGCCATAAATTGGGGGTGAAATAGTGAAATCCTCCATTTATCCGGAGAAACCCTTTTCCGTGCCCGAGGCTTGAGCCAGAGAACTGGAGGCAACTGGGGACACCAGCTGGGGATGGGCACCAGGTGACGGGTGACATCAGCCTTAAGATAGACCGTGATCGTGCATCGACAGGCACACAGACAGCCGCGAGGACATCACTTCGGCGGAACTGCAGCTGGCGAAGCGTTGCCATGGCGCACACATTGAGATGCTGCAGGAAGACATCACTCAGGCGTCGGGGATGGCTCGATGGTTTTTTTCTTGTAAACCCCAAAAAGATGCCGAAACGTCATTTATTACCTTTTCAAACTTGGATTTTGCGTGGTTTTAACCAACTTCTATTCTTGCGGGTTGCTTTTTGATGCTTTTTGGTCATATTGTGGAAAATCGTTGATTTCTTTTTGAAGGATTTACCGGAAATGAGTAGAACGTCATTGATACTCATTGTAGAAATGTAAAAGCTAAAGCTAGGTTTGGGGTTGTGGCCACCCAGATGGGGAGATGTGGCCATGGGAAATGATGAGACATTGATGGTGTCAGAAGCTTTGTGCATCATGTAGGACACAGGAAGGTAGGGAATGAAGGGGAAACACATGTGAACATCATGCATCATGAAGGAGAGACTCACGATCAGATTTTTCCAGTTCCAAAATCCTGTTTCAAAACTGCTTCCCACTGGTATCTTGGATTGTTGAAGCATCCTTAATTTCATCTGCAGGCTGGATCTCACTATTTGCTGATCCACTATGATGTGCCTGGGCCATGTTGCCCTGCTTGGGGGTATAGTCCCCTGGTAGTTGGGAAAGGCTTGTGTTAAGATCCATCGGCAATCTGGACAGGGCTCAAACTCATGGGGTTTCAAACTGCCATCAGCCATCGATGGGTATGCCGAGTATACCGGTATACCTCAACAACTTGGGATGAAGTGCTGCAGATACTGCAAAATCACATGACACTGCTCCAGTTGGTCGCCTTTGTGAAAACTGTTGGACGGTCATAAAAAGTGGGTACGGGTCTAAACTGTGTATCCGCGAAAGTGAACAGCTTTGTACAAATGATGGCTACTGTGTAGTCCATTTGTGGTCAAAAATTGGTCAGCCAATCTTGACCCATAGCTTTTTTCAATGGTTAATTTCTTATTTTTTATCTTTGAAACCACATTTCTGGATGGTTACTGTAAAAGAAATCCCCATGTTTGATGTTTGAATCCCCCATCCTTAGTGGTTATTTGATTCATGTTGATCCCATTGAAGTAGCCCAGTGTTGTCGCTAGATACTTGCCTTCAGGTCCCATATCTGGACGCGCGCACCTTTGAGCTCAAGATCACCGGTCTCGTTGAGAAGGACTGTTTTTTTTTTTTTCCACCCAGTTTTTTGGGTGCCGTTGTCGTGGATATTAGTGGTTCTAGGTATTGAATGGTATTGAGGTTTGTTTTCTAAAGAAGACTGTTGTTTTTTTATACTGGACTTTTATGGTTAGGGATTTCATGGTTACATTCATGCGGATATCAATGGGGACAACATGGGACCCGATCACCAACCATTTGTACCAGTAACATGATATGCACAATTGCTCTCAAAACAGAGGATACCGATAGCCCGTTTCATAAACCTTTCTAAACGGGGAACGTGATGATCGACTACGGGATCCGGGGGTTCCCAATCTAAGACCAGTGGTTTTGGAGTTCACCAGGCTGGTCTGTGAAAACAGAGAGACGCAAATGTCACGCACGTATATATTTACACGATATATGAATGTATTGAGCTATATATATACACAATATTATATATTATATTATTGAATAATTTCACACATGGACAATTGCAAGCTATGTTCATGAACACGCCTAATTCATATAGCTTTTGTATGCTTTTGTCTATAAGTGTCCGAGAGCCAAGAGCCTTGCAAACTGACCCATGCCTATGCCATGCAGGATCCACATAGCCATTTGTTGACTCTCTGATTCACGAAGCCAGGTGAGCAGTGGCAAAAACCATGAAAACACACCACTTCATGAAATTCCTTTAATGCATTTTTTAAAATTCTGATGGGATTTCCATGCATGGATTTCTACTAATCAGTATATTGGGATGATTCTTCAAGTTGGGATGCATGGGTAGTGAATTGCCAACCAGTCATGCAACGAATAAAGGATCAGATTCGCCAATCATTTCCAACCAACCATTTCTCCCAGTCGATCCCACGAATTCAATCAACAATGTCCAATCGTGGATGAATTTGAAGGACTTCACTGCGACGTCATTAGAAATGATGGTGAGTGCAAGGGTAACTTATCCCAAAATTGCTGTTTTTCGTGTGAATTACGATCATTTATCATAAGAAGACAATATACACCCGTTATATCCATTGGATTCTCACTATGGTTGGTTTTACCCAGCATTTTTGTTGGTAAATCCCCAATTACCCCAGATTCTCCTTATTTCAGGTGAACTCTGAATCCAGATGGTCGCCAGGAGCTTTCCATGTCGTTGGCTGAGATCAAGCGACGGCCAGCCAGTACGCAGGCCATCCTTTCACGATGGGGGTTGAGACAACCCGCGGGTAGAATTTGTCCAAGACTGGGGCGTACCACATTTTCAAAACCATATACTGAAGTAATAAAAAATATTATTTTTGGATGATTTGGGGGTAGCCCCATGACTTAGGAAACCTCCAAATGAGTTTCAACGGACTTGCAGCGAAGTTGCTGTTGGGGTTCCCTACAATCCATGGGCTTCTCCAACTGCTGGACTCCCTGCAAGGCCGTTTTGATGGCCTGTGCTGGCACGGGTCGGATGCACACCAAACACAGGCATGAAGGGAAGGGATGGGTAACGGGTAGCTATACGGTTGCTATACATCCATTGATGGCAACGGGTAGCTAGACGGTCTGGCGCTTTGTGATTTTGCCATAAATGGAGGTATCACAGTATCACACTTAGTCCTGCTTGTTTTTTTGCAGGGTATGTAAGACTAGCCACGAGGTTGACCATTTTTGGTGACTCTTAAAACACAAGCACCTGGCCATGGATCAAAGTTCAAGACCTGTTGAGGGCCTTACAAAATTGGGTACTTTTGAAAATCCCAGAGGGATCAGCACTGATTTTGGTGAAGTTACACGGAAACCCCAAGAAGTGCTCTGAAGAGCATTTTTTAATTGAATATGGATTCCAATGGATGAATTGATCCATTTTGAAGCATTTAGAACCATTTTGACCTTCGATGGATATAGAAATTCGGCAACATGGAAATGGTTTAGGAGTTTTGATCCAGATCCTTGGTTTGTGGAACCTCCATGTGGCTGAAAAATCCCCATGGTTTTCCGCATGAAGCTGCCAGGTTCTGGACTCATGTGCCTTGGGGTCCTGATGCTCGTTTGCAGTGTGGTGAGATTTGACTTGTAGGATTACATGTCCATGGAAACAAACTATGGAAAATCTATGGAAATCCACCATTTGTGGTTAATACGCACATTCTTTATGATATCCCGGGGGATTTCCATGCCAGTTGGAGAAGGCATACGATCACAATTATCGCTCATTTGCATGACATTCCTCATTTTCATTGCTTAGAGTCTCCTGTTGTATTGCATAAAGGAAGAAACACTTACAAATGAATGCATATGTATTTATAGTTATATATATATATAATATATATATATATAATATATATATATATATAATATCTTATCTATGATTTTATATGATTTTATATATTATGTCGTAAAACCAATAATAAACCATCCCCAAGGACTCACCTTTGTGGCTGTGAGACCATCCCAAATGTGGGGACGGTCAGGATTCCTTTGGCTGTGCCAAGTGGACGGGCTGCAGTTTGGCGGACCTGCTGCGCGAGGCCATGGAGACTTCACGGGGGATTTCATCGGATATAACTAGGTATATTAATACCCATAGGATCCATGTAGGGTATATATATATATGGTAACATTTTCCATCAATATACCCCCAATGTTAGCATATATAGCATACATGGTTCCTATGGGATATGCTATATTTTTGGGTGTCTGAAAATGGTGTATACCACCCAAATGGCGAAAAATAAAAGGGACACTGATGATTCACCAGTGGATTTAGGGGTACCTTATTTTCAGACACACCCAAGAGGGCCCTTGCTGATCACCTCTGAGTCTAGGCCCCATTTGTTGTCCCACATGGTGTTGTTCCGTTGCCAGGATGGCCCTTAAGGATAGCCCGAGTCTTGATGATTACTGTACCAATGTTTGGCTGTTATTCACGGTTGCATTCAAGTTTTTGATGGTTGTATGATGTTGTATGACCTTTCTTTGTTGGCTATGATTTTCCGATGTTTGTGACCAATATGCCCAAGTATTGTTGGCCCCTTTTGCATTATTATCCGCAGTTTTTCTTGGTGTATATATCCCTGTGTGGGATCATTGATGCGAACAAATGCCCAGATCTGCGGTTTCTGGCGTTTTTGGCCAACACACCCTTCTATTTTTGCGAAATCGGTGGTTGAGCAGCCCTGTGAAGATGACAGGCAGGCATCAAAGAGGGTGCGAAGCAAGTTATTTTTACAGGTGCAGACAAAGGCGCGGAACAGTTCTGATTCGCTGTAGCAGTGGCCAACATCCAAAGCAGGCCTTTGAACATGCCATGGATGCCCTTCCAATTGCATCCAGCTTTATGTTGGTTTCATCGCCATGTTTTTGGTGTTTCTTCCATGGTCTTCCAGAGGTGTGGAGGCGGGCAAAGTCCAGTACTACCAGCGATCTTTGAGTGTAGAGGAAGCCTTGAGAGGGCACGTGGCTGGTGCAAGCGCGGGCATGGATGAAAAGTGGTGATTTCCCATCTGGGTATTGGTCAAATGGAATAATTTCGTAGCTGACCAGTCACATCTTAAGTAATCTTAAAATATCCCATCTTGAATTGTAAATGATACGATGTGATATTATAAACAATTGGACCAATTGTACAATGTGGATGCTCTGGGACCTCTCTCAACCTGGGCTTGTTTATCTTCTCCCCCTAAGGCACATGGGCTATTGGGCTATACACCCAAAATTGAAATGGCAATTTCAATACGGATAATGATGATTCACCAGTACAGGGGTAGCCTATGTTCAAACAAACCCATTTGCAGAAGTATCAAAGTGCTGATCACCTCATGGTCCGGCTAGTTGGCAGAAGCCGTATATGTTCAAAGCATTTCACAGCCATTTCGAAGAGTCCCTGGGTTACAAAACGAGAATATCTACAGGAAACCAGGGGTTTCCTATATTTTCTGGGGGATTTCCTGCAACTTTTCCTTTAAACCAACCCATTGCAACAGAAACATCATGGATTCTAGCATATTCCAGTTTCTGCGATATCCAGTGACCTCTGTTATTCCACGTTGACCTCCTGTAAACTAACACAGCGATGGAAAATCACCAGTTGTACTAGGTGAATCAATGATACTCAATGTAAATTATCTGCAAGTGGCCGCGCTTCATAGCTAGATTACCAGATACCAGAGGTATTTATATGTATTTATTGGTTATTTATTGGTTATTTCCGTCAGAAATCAATGGCTGAGGTGATGTTAGTTTATCAGATGAATGGGGAGGACCTGAAACCCGCGCACGGCTTCCCGCTGCGGATCATCGTGCCGGGATGGTATGGGATGGCCTCAGCACCTGGGATATGACATCGGCATCTGGGGGAGTGGTGTCATGGTCATGGAACGGACAGATGATGACAGATGTCCAGATTTCAATCAGCAGTTTTCCATAGTTTTCCATTTCTTCCATCTTGGTGGGATTCCTGAGGTGAAATCTCATAGAGAATATAGAGATCTTTGTAAATTAATGTGAGGGAGAGGTACGTCGCATCAGCAGATCGCTTGGGGACCAATTGGGTCTCAAAGTCCCTTGGAGTTTTCATCTAATGGACCATACCCAATATGGTCTCTACGTGGATTCATACCCAATCTGCTAACAGTGGGCCATTGAGCCCACTGTTGAGGTGAAATGGTTGACCAACATCGAGGTGGTGGAAGGTCCATGGTGGGGCCATCAAATGGAGGCAACGTTGGGCCATTTTTCGTGTCCATTGACTCGCTTCCGAGTCGAGGGAGCCACAAAAAAACATGGGCGAGTTTCGCGACCGAAGTTGGGCCACTTGGGCCAGTTGGCACGCTGAAATCCAATATGGGTTTGTCTGAAAATAGGGTATATTCCCAAACAAATAGCCATTTAATAGGGATAATGATCATGAACCATTGGGTTTAGGGGTACACTATTTTCAGACACACCCATATGACAACTTAAAGCCTTTGACATCCTTTGACATGTTTGGCGAGTCAACCACCCAATACATTTTCTATTTGAGTGGGTCCATGACTACCAGTTGTGGGAGCAATGATTAACCTTGTTTGAGGATTTTGCAAATCACCGTGTCGATCTGAGTTTGTCTGGAAATGGGGTATATCATGGTATACCTGTATACCCCAATTGATCATTTTGATGGTGACAATGATAATAATCCGGTACATCTCTTTCGTTTCCTTGTTTCCTTCCGATTGGTTTGCATTTGGATGCAATGGCTCATCGCCGATGGTTGCATTCGTTTAGCATTGCTGGGGTTGGTCCCTACCATTTTAATCCATTTTATGGATTTTTATGGTAGGTCAGTAGTACCAAGATAAGATAAAATAAGTAAGTAACAGAAAGTACCTAACTAGCATTTCTTTTAGGTGCACATTATATACATATATACATATATACACATATATATATATATATGTCAAAAAATGGATTCTGCACCCAGAGTGGGGATGGTCATATCATTAACAACTTGAATTAAATCATGGCCAACATACCGATTCAACTGATGTTGGGGCCCAACCAGAATTCACCATGCACCGTGACCGTTCCATGACGCCAGGCCTACTCCTTCCGTCGTGCTGCGCAAGACCCGGACCGCGTACCCTTGACCCAGCTGCCCGTGCGCGCGCTGATGGCGCCCCCTGGGGTGCCAGACTTCTTCTCACGCGCGCGAGTGGTGGCGCCGGGGACGCACCGCATTGTGGGGAAGGCTGGGGCTAAGTGGATGGAGGATGGCCCCTGGTTGAATGGTTGTGAGATATGTGAATGCAAGTGAACAATTTTGAAACCATGTATGTGGTGCATTCTACTGTAGCGAACACAAGTCTGTGGAGAGGGGAAGGTTTGAGAGCCCAGATTCAGGGTACCCATGGTTCACCCGGGCAACCTCTTTGCTCATCTTTGCTCAAGGTGTCTGTGGGCAGATATCACTCCACCCTGCTTTTCCCATGTCGCAAACCAACAACATCCAATTCAAAATTGCTTGATCACCACCAATTTCTGTCCAAGTATGGTAAATCACTGGGGTGGTTTCTGGCTTTGCCAAGAGAAACCATAATTAATGCAGGATCCACTATTCAATAGACGATCCCATGGCAAACTATACACCATTTGCAGGATCTTATTAATCATCCCAAGTAGGGCGTACAATAGTAATGCAGTTGCTGCAGTAATGTTTTCGTATTGTGGATCCCCAAGTAATTTTGTCGGTATAGGTCAAACACGAATGACTTTTTTAAGTCCCAGGGAGCGAAGTTTTAGGGGTTGGTTTTGGGGTATGCAGTTGGTTTTTGGGTACCTAATGTTTTAATCACATCTGGACCCAACTTCAAGTCACGCTTGGGTACTTCAAATAAAAGAGTTTTGAGTTCAGGGGTCCCAACTACCGACAAGCATTGATATTCTTAGGGATAAACATCCACAAGCATCAACTTTGAACATGTTCTTGATCCGTACTGAATCAGGATCCATAATTAATTCAGAGCAAATTGAAGTCTTTATGGAATACTAAAACATCTAGAACGGAACTCAAGATTGAAAGCCTTGATTTTGAGCTGAAACATTTACCCTGCCTGGATATATACTCCACCTTAAAAGGGTCCCCAAGGACCAGCAAATCTTACAGGTCTGGGCTGGTGCTGTCAACATCGAATTAGTGGAGGTCTCCTGCGACTACGGGAAAACCTGGAACAAGGCAACACTTGAGGACTGGATCAGACAGGATCAGACCGGATAGCTAGAGTGGCTACAGGTCTGACAATTCTGGGTCAAAATGACAAATCTTGGAAAATGGTAATGGTTTGTCTAATATGATGCACGCATAATGGGATTCTTTGCTCAGGTGACTAGGGTGGTGACAAGCGGGGAAGACAACGGCTGGAGGACAAGAATGGGCTCTTTGGCTGGGCAAACTGGTTCTACGACTGGGAGACGCCGCAAGAAGGCTGGTTCTATGGCTGGTTCTGTAGTGACACATGTTGTACCTTCTGGAAGAGTGACATGGAACTTCCAGAAATTGATTTGACCAGCTATCCACATCCCCATAGTCTCCCGCATGGGTTGGTCTGAATCCTCTCAAAATTGTGGCTGATCATCAAAAGATGGGCAGAACTTGGGTTTGCACGCACCATTTTCAGACACACCCAGGTATCAATATGATATGATTATATATATATATATATATTATATAATATCATATATGTCTATGTGTCTCATGAAATGCACCAATAATTGTTGGTTTTATGCCATTTTAGACCCAATCGTCAGATGCACGCCCACAACCTCCCCCCCGAATTCCCATCCTGATTGGTAGTTTCAAACGATCCCCGTTCACTTTCATAACATTTCATGTTTTTCAGTTAATTTGAAACCACCAATCAGTGTTGTTGCTTAAAAACCAAGTCAAATCCATCTTTTTCATCCTTTTTCCTATTTTTCTTGGTTAAACACCCATTTTGGTTGGTGATTTGAAACCACCAACCAGATCCTAGATCTCAGATCCGCGCAGGCACCTGCGTGTTGATGTGCCGTGGCTTTGACCAAAAGGGTCGTAGCCAGGACGTGCCAAGCGATGAGGCCTTCAATTGGACGGGTCTCTTGGTAGATCTGAGATCCCTGCGATCTGCGCAGTTGGGGTCAGAAATTCGGTATAATCCGTTAAAATATGTAACTGGGGTGTGACCTTGTTCCAAACCATTTACAGTAAGTGGGATGCATATCCAAGTAGTAGGGGCCCCATATCCCAAACTTATGGAGCTTATTTCACCATGATTCTAGCCACAAAAATCATCTCGCACCCCCAAGTGGGTGGTTTAAGGGAAGATCTACAAGAAACACCGATATTTGGACTATTTTGGATACACAGTCCAGTATTGGGGAGTTCATCACATAGTGAGGAAGTTTTAAGACCTTTAGGACCTGGGGATTCAAGACCGACGGAATTTGATGGAATTTAACTAATTATAGTTTCTATAAAATCATATAAATATGGAGATAGAAATTGCAAAGATGGCGATGCAGCTTACGAGTTCATCAACCTTTCAAGTGACAAGGGGTGAAGTCACCCACCAAAAACCGTTTCAACTAAGATCCATTTTTGGATGGAGGAAGTATGCCACTGGCAACCGCGCCTCCCGGATCAAACTTTCTGGTGGACTTAAGCCAGAACCTGGCCGAAATCGCCCAATTTGACCATGTCATGGCCAAGTCACAGCTTGAGATCTAAGGTATGGGGGATACCCAGCCTCAGATGGTCTACGTCAGGTGGGTTTTTTTCGTAGCTTGGATGTATCTGTCTAGAGATATTATAATCATAGTGATAATGATACTGATAATCATGATCCTCACCATCGTCCTCCTCCTCCTCCTCGTCCTCATCATCATCATAGTAATAGTAATAGAAGCAGTAGAAGCAATAGTAATAGTAAGAGAAATCAGTAAGAGTAAAAGTATGTAATAGTAATAGTAATAATGATGATAAATAATGTTCTTATGATATATATATACATATTTCATATGATTGCGTATCCATAAGTATGTTTGGCTACGTATGAAGGCATCACCCCCCGCGAATGGACGATTTCCATCCAGTGCGGGAAATCATTCCGGATTAAGCAACGTCTCCAATAAAAAGATACCGAAAGAGCTGCTGTCCACGTTGCTAAGGGTTGGTGCAGGGATTCCCATGGTAGTGCTGTAGAAAAGGGAGAACAGCCGTTCAATTGTCTTGTCTCACTAGAGTTACAATCCTGTGGCTGAAGTTACCGCGGTCTACATTCTCCATTGGAGAACTGAAGAATCCCTGATCAATTCGGCACCAATTGACAAAAACACGGCGCTGATTCGTTGGTAGCTCCAAATTTCATCCCTTTTGGGATGATGATCCCAAGTGACTCATATTTTGTGGGATGGCAGCTTAAACACCTACCCAAAACTTCACCAGGTCACGCGATTTTCCACGCCAGGATTGACCCAAATGTCCAGGAGACAGGCAATACGTGTCTTGGCTTGTCTTGGCCATGGAGGGATGCGGATGCAAAAAGCACTAGTCTGGTTCCTGGGTGCTTTAAAAAAGCACGAGTTGTTGTTGTTCAATGTTGTTCACGGTTCATTTCGCCCTGGAAATCCTGCTTTTTTTGGTGGCCCACCAAAGGGGCTGGGCAAAATGTTGATAGTCAGAGATGTGATTTTGTATCAATAGTCTCTGGACCCACAAACTCCACTGAAAAACCCTAGTGAGTCGGCTATGCGGGATCCAGCAGCTAGCAACGATTGAAGGCATACTACAAAAAGACAAGCGTCATCTTGAAATCAATTGACATGCAAACATTTTTTCAGAGAAAAAACAATCAAACATATACAACACAGTATGATTTTAGTGCGCAGAAAAAACTACACCCTTAATCCATCTAAAGCTGCTCAATGCCATACTGAACGTGTTTACACGCGTAAAGACATGACAGTCAACAATTGTGTGGTTGTCTACCTGCATCGCTACTCATCAAGCATGCCACCAACGTGAGATTGGTTGGGTGATTCCCCTTCTCAATTTTGGGACTCTGCTTGGGGGTGCAGTTCCACTAATGAGTGATATGGGTATGGATCAATACCTATTAATACCATTTTTAGGGGGATGAACATTCATTTACCAGCTATTTTGATGTTTACCAGGGGTACAAGGTTTTGACACACTGCCATATAATGATTTATGTATATATATATACAGATTTCACCATAGTTGTAGGGATTATATCCCAACTTATGGAGGTGAGAATCCCATAGTCATACCCATTCATAACCATTGACAACAATGACTAACCCGAAACAATGATTCCTAACCCCTATTAACCATTGTTAACCATAGCTACATATACCTATGTTTAAGCATTAATACTGTAACCATTGACAACCATTACTAACCCCTAATAACCATAGTTGTCCCGTTATAGCCATGGTTTTCCCCAGGATCAACCTGGTCCCCGAGACCCGGGCTGCCAAGAAGACGTTGAACGTGAAGACCAAGGAGATGCCGATGTCAAGACATGGGGACATGGAGTTTTGATCTGTGAATGGTAGATCAAAATAGCTCTAATGTAATATATATATATCTGTGTAATATTATCTGTAACACTATATTATATGCAATATGTTAAGTAATATTCTATGTAATATTGCATGTAATATTTTATGTGTATAACATTATATGTAATATTCTATGTAATATTATATGATATTATATGTAATATTATATGTAATAATATGTGACATGATATATATATATGTATATGTATATAATTATACGAGTTACCGTATATATATATATCATGATATACATATAGAGTAATACAAATATTTATATATACTATTATAATATGGAGGACTCATAAAATGGAGGAATCAAACAACCGGACAATGACAATAAAACCATCTTATTTGGTCATACATATGGATCGATATCTATATATATATTATAGATTATTAAACCAATCTATACCCGATGTCCATCGAACATTTCAATATACATATATATATATATACACAAACCCATGAATAGTTCACACGGTCCATATGATCCAGATTGCCCAAATCATCCAAAATGCAATATCATTATAATTATATGATATAGCCATTGGATATTCATTTGGGCTTGTCTAAAAATGGGGTATACCATTGAAATAGCCATCGGGGAATATGATGATCAACCATCAACTTTTGGGGAACCCTATCTTCAGACAAACCCATTTACTAAGAGGTTTACCAATCCCTATGGCCATTGGAAACCCAAAAGGACGGCGCTCCCTTGGATGCCTGCGCTTGTGATGCTTTGTACCGGCAGCCGGGAAGTCAATGAGACCAGAAAAATCCCTGGACATTGGGCACCATCTCAAACATGTTACCAGAATAGACTATGAAATCTGGAATCTGGAATTCTGGAATGATGATTAGTAGGGGTAACGATCCCAAAATAGCCTTATTTCAGCTTGGTAAATTATTAGCATCTATACAAAATCTATATACATCTATTATATCTGTTAAATGGGACACTGGGATGGTGCAAATTCACCGATTTATTCGGAAAAAAAACGTGTTTTGACCCATAGCTAATATATTGACATCTACTGATTCTAGTGGTTGAACAGTAGCACTTGCCTCCAAATTAGACAAACACAGAAAAGGTTGAACAATGAAACATCAGAGTTGGAAGATCTTTTGAAAACTCGCAGCCTAGCAGTGCATGGCTTCTGGCTGTGCTCCTGGCCAAAGTTGGCAGGACCCCTGTACAGCGTCCATGGTGGCGTTCAATCAACTTGCTTGACTTGCATTGATTGAGCCTTTATGAATTATTTTTAGCTGGCTGGCGGACTTTGGCATAAAAGTTGTTTGTCCCTTGGTTTTGCGGGTCCTGATGATCTGGGACATGATACATCCCAATAAACCTTCCTTTTCCATCTTTTGTTGGGACCTGTTATGTTTTGCTGGGTCCCTAACCAGAAAGTGGCAGTGGTAAGCAGACCTTGCCCAAGCTTCATTTTCGCTCGCGTCAGCCATAGACCATGCGTGAAAACCTGCCATGCAAGGACGCCAGAAGTGTGCATTCACAGTTCACAAACTAAGGATAACAAAGCCCCAAAACAGCAACTCTATACCGTGAAATATTGTAATGTAGTGGAATGCGTATGAATGCGTATGTTTGTGTTATATGTTAAGTTATATATTGTATACAGACAGCAAGTACAGAATAGTGTGTATATATATAATTATATATACATAATGGGGTTCGGTTTGTCTCAAAAAGAAGGACCAGAATCCCAAGGTTTACATATATCATTATTTCCCCCATCCAAGTTGCTATAAATAGGTTGGCAGTGGTAGGTCAAAATTGGTTTATCTTTGCCAAACAATAGCTTTCGTGTCCGGCTCAAAAATAGCTTTTTGGCAGGGTATCTAAGATCAAACGGCATGGGAAGACACATTGCAGTAGTTCGTATCGAGTCATCATGAGTACCAGAAAATGCCAAAAACGAAATGAGGAACTCCGAAATTCACCATTATGTCCTCTAGTCAGTTATCTTGTTTTCAGTAAGAAACCAGTCTTTGGGGACCCAATTTTTGGGACTGACCCAATCTGACCTCCAAACAAGAGTCCCTGTACTTGTGACAATCTCATACAGCTTGAGTGCGGCAGCCATGCTCATTAAGAAAAGGCGGGATATGACCGGGATCAACGGTGACTTTGGGCGATGTGGTGGGAAAGCAGCATAGCATCAGCCGGAAAAAATCAATTGCTTGAGGGATGCGCAAGCAAGGACAATCACACAACATCTCTCCTTAAGTGGGCATGGGCATGGCTCATTTTTTTTGAAGCCACGGTACAATGTGGGGCCTCCCAGTTATAAACCACATTAACTAGAGTTGTAAGTACCATAAACCATAGTTATTGTAGTTGGCGGGTTCAAACACACCACCAATTTCAGGAAAACCAATCCACAAGGACAGAAAGTCAAGTACCAGAGCCATGATCAGCGGGTCCTTCATTGCTCAATCTGAGGATTCTTAATCTAAGGTTATACGAGGTGACATAAGGTGACGTGGTTTATGAAACCAAAAGAATCAGACTTCCGAACCCAATCGAACCAACAAGTCCATAATATAGAATCCCGAGGCGTTTCTTCATGTCATCTGTTTGAAATCGGCCGATGGATCAGCCTTGACCCATCCAGGAAGCTAACGGCCTCCTTCTTGGAAATTCCGGAGGAGAAGGAGTGCCATCGGGAACGCGGCAAACTTGGATGGAGTAGGCCAGGGCCAAAAACATGTCTGATTTTGACCTGCAAAGTCCAAGAAACAAACTCTACAATCAGGAATGAATATATGTGTGGATAGCCTGTCTTGAACTTCCACCAACAGCCACCAGTTTGTATCAGGCAGCGACCAAGGCTACAAGGCTGCAGCCATGAGCTAACTGCACCCTGGGTTCCCAACTCACTGTCATATGGTGGATATGGGTGGCTCAACCATCAGATGACCATTGTCGCAAGGACACCTTGTTACGGAGTTGGAGGAGTGGTGAACACAGCCGTGCACCTGGTGGGCTGATTCGACAACCTGCAGGAAACATCAGGATAATCGAAAGCCAGTATTTGGCCGGTGAAAATTGCGTTGTTTCATGTACATTTTTCCACGGTCCTTTTTTTGGTAATTGAGTTGTCAATAGGGTACCCCACATACCCCCAAATCCAATGGTTTAGAATTCATATAATTAATTTAATGGCCAGACGTTGGTGGAACTTCATCAGTTTGTTGACCGAAAAACCGTATCAAACAATGTTCGACTCTTTGCAAGGGTGACTGGCTTGGTACCCCTTATGTGAAATTTGGTTATGGTTGCAAAATAGTCTAAACCTGTTTCCCGTCCAAATGGAAGGTAGTTCACATCCCAAGCACTCGACTTTTCAGCTCAAGTTTTGCATATTCTTGGGATGTGAACTACAAGGTGACAAGGTTTTGACCCACAACTATTGCAAAATAATGATTATATATATATATATATGGCTTCGGGCCCGTTTCCGGCGTTATTTTTTACGAGGTTTTCTACACGTGGTGATTTGCACTCAAAAGTCGTGTGAGTCAGACAGTGTTTCTGTGTGTTGCACTTCGAAGCATTGTGGGTGGAGACATCTGAAACACCGCAGGGGCTGCCTGGCGTCTCTGCACATGGTCGCGGAGCTTGGTCGCGGAGCTTGGTCGCGGAGCTTGGTTGCGGAGCAATTGGTAGGCGGAGCGGAGGCGGTGAAGAGAGAGATCCAGAGAGAGAGGGGAAGAGAGAGGGAAAGAAAGAAGCCCCACAGTGCAGAAGCAAGGTGCTAGCAGAGGATAGGAAAGAGACTTTTCTCCAGTGAAGGTTTTGTTTGTGTGGAGAATGTAGGGGGCTCTTGTGGCCTTTGGGGGGGGGTGGGGACTCTTGGGGCTGGTGGGGGTATGTGGCTGATTTGCAATTTCCACCAGGAGTCCCCAGCCCCCCCCCCTAGGATGCAATCCCTGGGGAAACGGTGCATTACAAGAACACATGACCATATTCTGATTGGACACTCTTGTTGGCCAGGCCGCGCTATCCTATAGTGGATGCAGGCTCTGCGCGAGTTCTGGCGCGTTCTGACAGCCAGTGTTTTGCCAACACGGTGTTTTGCACTATACTAGTGGATGCAGGCTCTGCGCGAGTTCTAGCGCTTTCTCAAGGCCACGGTTTTGTAAATATGGTTTGCTACTATTTTATTACTGTTGGAAACGAGCCCGGAGCCCGTAGGAACATAGCGGTTTCATCCTTTAAAGTCTAATAGTATAACCCCGGCAACATAAAGGTCATGAGGTCCCCACCCCTCTGCAGGCATTTCAGGCGGGCTGCCGCGCGGCGTGAATGAGTGTGTCTGGTGTGTAAAGAAGCGCAAGAAGAAGTGTTTACCTAGTTAACTCCTTTAGAAAACACATGATTTACATGACTCACATAATGCTACACACAGTTACAAGCACATAGATGTACAGGCACTATGTACCACGCTTACGCTTATTTTTCGGGGGTTAGGAGTAAGCTTGCCGAACGCCATGGAGCGTCTGCCATACGCCGTAGTCGCCGCACGTGGAGACAGTAACGAAGACACGGGGGTGCCTGCCCCGGGGAACCCGGCCGGCAGGCGCCCACGCAGCACCAGCCCGCAGACGCCGCCGGCAAACCATTGGCAGTTGATGTTGGGCCCTACGCAGCGACTACCGCAGTCACCACGCAGCCGAGCTCTGCAAAACTTGGTCAGGCGTGCCGGTGCCTGAACCTGTCCAGGAGGATTGGCTGATGGTACTTTGTATCCTTGCTGTACGGGTACTGTGATGGATAAGTTGTGGCAGGCAGCTTTCAATTTTTGCGTGGCGTGCCCATGTTCGCCTTTTTTTCACCTGGAAACAAACCAGGGACTGTGGCCGGCAGGTACAAAGAATTAGAGTGGCAGGCGCACGTGACTTTTTTTTCACCACGGTGATCGTCGTTGCGACATGGATGCGCGCTGCAAAAACAAAGGCTGCGTAGACGTGTGTGAAAACACTGCAAAAAAGAACGCCTGTAACAGGCCCTACACCATATATATATATATATCCTGAGATGTTTAGCAGTCTAGCCGGGGTGCTCATTTTGAGGGCCACTTAGCTGAACGGTCTAAGGTGACTGGACTTTGACAGTTGGGGAGAGCACCTTCAAAGTGCACAAGGCCATGAATTTGGATGCAGAGGGTGGCATGCTGGGCCGACCTTGTGGCACTTGAACAGTTGTAGCATGCTGAAGGGGATGCTGTTGTTCAGCCCATTTCTTCGTGAAGACAGCGGGCCACTGTAGTCATCCCTGGCCAATTGCACCATATGCCAATTGCACTATATTCCAACAAAATGCACTTTATCTACATGCAAAATTTGCTTCCAAGGTTTGGTTAGTTTTTCCCCACCTGCCAGGTGAGGGTTGTTAGATTTTATGTCAGTTGCCTCCTCCTCCTTCTCCTCCTCCTCCGCCTCCTCCGCCTCCTCCTGCCTCGTCCTCCTCCTCGTCGTCCTCCTTGTCATCCTTGTCGTCCTTGTCGTCCTCGTCGTCCTCGTCGTCCTTGCTCAACTGCGATCCGCGATCCACAGTGTTCTCTGCCGGACCTCAACCACGACCACCCACGCCCAGTGTTCCCTGCCGGACCTCAACCACGACCATCCACGCCCAGTGTTCCCTGCCGGACCTCAACCACGACCATCCCCGCCCAGTGTTCCCTGCCGGACCTCAACCACGACCATCCACGCCCAGTGTTCCCTGCCGGACCTCGACCGCGAGTATCCACGCCAAGTGTTCCCTGCCGGACCTCATGTAGGAAGATATGGGACAAAGAATGTGCAGAAGAAAGTTAGAAAAAATGTCAGAAAGAATGTCAGAAGATATACCAGAAGATATGCCAGATAGAATGCCAAATAGAATGCCAGATAGAATGCCAGAAAATATGTCAGAATATATGCCAGAAGATATGCCAGATAGAATGCCAGATAGAATGCTAGAAGATATGTCAGATAGAATGCCAGATTGAATGCCAGAAGATATGTCAGATACTATGCCAGAAGATATGCCAGATAGAATGCCAGAAGATTTGCCAGATAGAATGCCAGAAAATATGCCAGAAGATATGCCAGATAGATATGCCAGAAGATATGCCAGAAAATATGCCAGAAGATATGTCAGAATATATGCCAGAAGATATGTCAGATAGAATGCCAGAAGATATGTCAGAATATTTGCCAGAAGATATGCCAGATAGAATGCCAGATTGAATGCCAGAAGATATGTCAGATAGAATACCAGAAGATATGCCAGATAGAATGCCAGAAGATTTGCCAGATAGAATGCCAGATAGAATGCCAGAAGATTTGCCAGATAGAATGCCAGAAAATATGCCAGAAGATATGCCAGATAGATATGTCAGAGGATATGCCAGAAGATATGCCAGAAGATATGCCAGAAGATATGTCAGAATATATGCCAGAAGATATGTCAGATAGAATGCCAGAAGATATGTCAGAATATATGCCAGAAGATATGCCAGATAGAATGCCAGAAAATATGTCAGATAGAGTGCCAGAAGATATGCCAGATAGAATGCCAGAAGATTTGCCAGATAGAATGCCAGAAGATATGCCAGAAGATATGCCAGATCATATGCCAGAAGATATGCCAGATAGAATGCCAAATAAAATGTCAGAAGATATGTCAGATAGAATGCCAGAAGATTTGCCAGTAAGAAAATGTATAAATGTCATGGTGGGGATCACACGAAGTGAAGTAATTTATTTTACAAGTGCAGCTGTGGCCAGTGCAGTAATTATATAGCTACCTCTTCCTCTCAGCCAATGGCGTCATGTGCGAATTCAGAGCCATGGGGACGACTTGAGTCATTTGAAACTGGATGAAACATGATGAAACTGACCGTCATTTTAAGGGATGATCTCCACTTGAAGCCAGCATGTTGGCGAAAGATGTTGAAGAATCGCCCGATTTTGGGGCTTTCTTGGCCATCACCATTGAACACGACCTAATGAAATTCCAAGACATGAGGGAACATGATTCTCCGTCCCCCATGCCACTTAAGAATTGATCATCAACTGTCGGATATTTAATTGCCTTCGGCAAGCCCGCCGGCCATAGAGAGGTGGCCCCAAGGGAGTTTGATGTGCATTCTAGGTGGAAGCCCGCGAGAGAGGAGAGAAAAGAAGGAGAAGAAGAATAAGAAGAATAAGAAGAATAAGAAGAATAAGAAGAATAAGAATAATAAGAATAATAAGAAGAATAAGAAGAATAAGAAAGGAAGACGAAGACAAAGCCGTAAAACGGAAGCGGCTTGTGTCCCAGCAAAGTAGCGCCAGGTACTATGTATGAGCCTCTGTCTTGACAGCAGACCGCTGCATGGAAGTAGACAGGGGAGAGAGATTGCCCCAAGGGAGGTTGACGTGCACATAGGTGGAAGCCTCAGAGAAGAAGAGACGAAGACAGAGCCGTAGATCAGAAACAGCTTGAGTAGCAAGTGCGTGCTTGAACAACCAATGGAACGCATACCAAATGAGTACTGGTCGATCAGTACCGTGTGCGTCCTGTGACGAGTACCTGTAGACGACGGCAATGCTGTAGGCAATGTCATTAGCTACCGGCACTACCAGTGTAGTACTGGCGGGAAGGAGGGACGAAGGAGTAGAAGAGTAGAGGAGTCGGAGTAGGCGTCCGAGTAGGCCTAGGAGTAGGAGTAGGAGTGGTAGTAGTGGTGGTGGTGGTGGTAGTAGTAGTAGTAGTAGCTACTACTACTACTACTACTTCTGCTACTATTACTACTACTACTACTACTACTACTACTACTACTACGACTACGACTACGACTACGACGACGACGACGACGACTACTACTACTACTACTACTATTACTACTACTACTACTACTATTACTACTACTACTACTACTACTACTACTACTACTACTACTACTACTAACTACTTGTACTTGTACTTGTACGAGTAGTACTTGGAGGAGGGGGGAGGGGGGGTGACCTTGATTCAGACGAAGCAAAAACGCGCAGCAAGAGAACAAAGGAACAAGTACAAGCCAAGAACAGAAACAAGAACAACACCTTCCAATCAGACACGCCGGCAGGCCGGCGGATTTCGATCACAAATGAAAGTCCGTGAAGACATAATGATATCAGAATTTCACAAACAGTATTTATATATATACACATTCTGTTAGACTTAGACTATACTTGACTACAGACTTGTAATACATATGCCGTATATATTTTACAAGAATGTACCAGATATGTATCTATCCACACACACATACATACATACATACATACATATATATATACATGTCTATGCATACATGCTCGGCTCAACCCCCACCCGAAAATACAATTTTCTTCTTTCATCTCACGTTTCATTGCAATGTTAACCATCTGCCATCTGCCATCGGCCACAGACCAAAAAAGAACGTCGCGTCGTGAATTACGGTCCCTTTGTTTTTGCGAGTTCTCAACATGGGCCATGCATAAAATCGACAACCCTTACAGGGTTTCTGTTTTCTCTTTGAAAAACCATCATCCATTTTCGATGGTATTTGCATGACTTTGAGGCTATGAATTCGCAGTTCCACTCATGTTTAGCATCCATGTGCAACACACGCGTTTGAAAAAAAACCGGACTTTTTTGTCTCAGCACGTGGAGGCCAAGTCAGCCAGCTTGTTCAACGTGTTTGCGTTGCCGCAGTTTGTGCGACAAACAAACGCAAACACCTAGTCTCGGATGGATCCAAATTCACATCTCGAGTGAGCTTATGCTTGTTGCACAGCTCCTTGGGCACATTTTTTTAAAAAAGAGACTGCCACTTCCTATCTATACACTGCATGAAACATGAAACATGTTTGCAAGTGCAAGAGAAGATGTCATAGCGTAGCATGAAACATGTTTGCAAGCGCAAGGAACGTTATTACGCCCCGCCACCCCCCATAGCGTAGCATGACACCTGGCTGCAAGTGCAAGAGAAGATGTCATAGCGTAGCATGAAACCTGTGTGCAAGTGCAAGAGAAGATGTCATAGCGTAGCATGACACCTGGCTGCAAGTGCAAGAGAAGATGTCATAGCGTAGCATGAAACATGTGTGCAAGTGCAAGGAACGTTATTACGCCCCCCCCATCACCCCCTCCCCGCCAGCCACCGCCCACACCCCACCCCATGCGTGACAAGATTTGACCTGAGAGGAGAGGTGAAAATGTGCAAAAACGTAGGGGTCATTAATAATGCCGTCGACAAAAACAAGCATATTCCACGGGGCCGTACCTTGGGCGTGAGCAAAAACAACAACGAATATGAATTTGAGGTACGGCTGTTTTATGTGCGGTTTTATCCACGTCTGTCACGCGAGAGAGGTTGTGCGGGGGGGTGGGATTGGTTTTTGATGGGACAATTGTTTATTAATGGATCTTTTTGTCGTGGATTCTGCATTGCCAGGTTCAATTTCCTCATACCATCTCCATCTACATCACGTACACATTCTTCATTTATTTTTATCACCATACCTATACACATATACATAATTATATATATATATACTATAATACACGCAATCCCCACGTCTGAACCTAATCAGCCATCAATTACGGCCAGGTCATTGTGGCCACCGGTGAGCGTGCCAGCGCCTTTCTGGCTGCGGCCTTTCGCAAGGTGTGGGCGGCCTCAATAGCTGGGGATAGGCATGGGAAAACATCGGTAACCACACCAAAAAAAAACAAAAACACATAGAAACATGTAAAAACTATGTTGTGATGCTAGGGTTATATATAAGATCCAGATCCAAAATTGTGACAAATGGATACAAATGGTGGCATACATAGAACATCATATAGCATCTCACCTTCTTCATTTGTTTCAGGGAAGACTTGCAAAAATGTGGGCAACACCGAATGAACATGTGGAAAGCACTGTGGACAAAACATCATAAAGGTCGAACAATACCTTGAAAACGTGAGGATGCAACCCAAACATCGCCAAACCCTAAGCATGTCCAAGAAAGGCTCCTTTTAGATGGGCAAATTGGTTTTGACCAGCCTCGCCAAGATTATACAGTATGTATACATGTGTGGACTTGAGTAGATAGAGGGGGGAACATAAATAATAAACAAATATAAACAAATAAAGATATCTAATTTGTTCTGGCAATAGGCCACCCAGCAACAACTCACCATTTCCCTCCCGCGGGCGGCCACGCTGCGACTCAGCACTTGGGGGATGTGGAAGAACACACCGACTTGACCAAGCTGGGCACCTGAGGGGTCCGGTGCTGGGAACATGTATGTACTGTGTATATATATATATATGTATGCCATATGTAAATGATTGTATGTATGTAATGTAATGTAGTGTAGTGTAGTGTAGTGTTGTATTGTGTTGTGTTGTGTTGTGTTATGATGTTATGTATGTATGCAGGCATGCCTGCATGCATGCATGTATGTATGTATGGATGTATGTATGTATGTCATGTATGTAATGTATGTAATGTATGTATGTATGTAATGTTGTGTTATGTTATGTTTTGTTATGTTATCTTATGTTATGTAATGCATGTAAAGTAATGTCATGTACTGTAGCGTAATGTACTGTAATTTAATGCAATGTAATATACGTATGTCTGTGCGTGTATGTATGCATGCATGCATGCATGCATGCATGCATGGATGTATGTATGTAATTAATGTATGTATGTATGTACGTACGTACGTATGTATGTATGTAATTGATGTATGTAATTCATGTATGTAATTAATGCATGTTATTAATGAATGTAATTAATGTATGTAATTAATTTGTTGTATTGTATTGTAGTGTATTGTGTTGTATTGTATTGTGTTGCATTGTATGGTATGTATGGTATGTATTGTATGTATTGTATGTATTGTATGTAAAGTATGTAATGTATCTAATGTATGTAAAGTATGTAATGTATGTACTGTATGTAGTGTATGTAATGTATGTAATGCATGCAATGCATGTAATGCATGTAATGTATGTAATGTATGTATGTATGTATGTTTGTATGTATGTATGTATGTATGGTAATGTAATGTAATGTAGTGTAATGTAATGTAATGAAATGTAATGTAATGTAATGTGATGTATGTATGTATGTATGTATTTAATGTAATATATGTAATGTATGTATGTATGTATGAATGTAATGTATGTATGTATGTATGGATGGATGGATGGATGGATGGATGTATGTATGTATGTATGTATGTAATGTATGTAATGTATGTAATGTATGTAATGTATGTAATGTATGTATGTATGTATGTATGTATTTAATGTAATGTATGTAATGTTTGTAATGTTTGTAATGTTTGTAATGTATGTATGTATGCATGCATGTATGTATGCATGTATGCATGTATGTGTCTATGTATGTATGTATGCATGCATGCATGTATGTATGTATGTATGTATGTATGTATGTGATGTATGTAATTAATGTATGTATGTCTGTATGTATGTTTGTTTGTATGTATGTAATGTATGTAATGTATGTATGTATGTATGCATGCATGCATGTATGTATGTATGTATGTATGTGATGTATGTAATTAATGTATGTATGTCTGTATGTATGTTTGTTTGTATGTATGTAATGTATGTATGTATATATGTATGTATGTATGTATGTATGTATGTATGTATGTATGTATGGTAATGTAATGTAATGTAGTGTAGTGTAGTGTAATGTAATGTACTGTACTGTAATGTAATGTATGTATGTATGTATGTATCTATGTATGTATGTAATGTAATGTAATGTATGTATTGTATGTAATGTATGTAATGGATGTAATGGATGTATGTAATGTATGTGATGTATGTAACTTAACGTAACGGAACGTAACGTAATGTAATGTAATGTATGTGTGTATGTATGTATGCAATGTAATGGTATGTAATGTATGAAATGTATGTCATGTATGTAATGTATGTAATGTATGTAATGTATGTAATGTATGTAATGTAATGTAATGTCGTGTAAATGTAATGTAATGTACTGTCATGTAATGTAATGCAATGTAATGTAATGTAATGTATGTATGTATGTATTTATGTATGTACGTATTGTATAGTATAGTAAAGTATAGTATAGTATAGTATAGTATTGTATGTAATGTATGTAATGTATGTATGTATGCATGTAATGTAATGTAAAGTAATGTAATGTAATGTAATGTTTCGCATGTTAGTATGCATGCATGTATGCAATGTAAAGTATAGCAAAGTCAAGTCATGTAATGTAATGTATGTATGTATGCATGCAATGTAATGTATGTAATGGTATGTAATGTATGTATGTATGTAATGTATGTATTGTATGTATTGTATGTAATGTATGTAATGGATGTAATGGATGTATGTAATGTATGTGATGTATGTAATGTATGTAATGTCATGTAATGTAATGTAACTTAACGGAACGTAATGTAATGTAATGTAGTGTAATGTAATGTAATGTATGTATGTATGCAATGTAATGGTATGTAATGTATGTATGTATGTAATGTATGTATTGTATGTATTGTATGTAATGTATGTAATGGATGCAATGGATGTAATGTATGTAATGTAAACGATGTATGTAATGTATGTAATGTCATGTAATGTAATGTAACGTAATGTAATGTAATGTAATGTAATATAATATAATGTATGTATGTTATGTAGTGTATGCATGCATGCATGCATGCATGCATGCATGCATGTATGTATATATACGTGGTATATACAAATATACATATATTTTTGTTTAAAAATGAACCATATATCAGTATATGATTGTACAGTTACACATAATATATTTTACTTACAATATATGACCAAATATTGTTCGAAATGGCAGCTGACATCTAGACGATGCAACCTGCTCAGCCTCAAGAAACGAAGGGGCAGTCACCTGAAATACGTGTTACGTCCTCATTTCCTTTTTGATATCTACAAATAAATGATGATATAATATATATAGATATACATATCCATATATATATATATACATTGTTTATATATATATATATGTAATGTATGTATGTATGTATTGTATTGTATTGTATTGTATTGTAATGTAGTGTAGTGTAGTGTAGTGTAGTGTAATGTATGTATGTATGTATGTATGTATGTATGTATGTATGTATGTATGTATGTATGTATGTATGTATGTATGTATGTATGTATACACATGTGCACTGCAGTTACAATAATTGAGAGATTGGCTGCAGGTTTCCTGCAAACCTGTTGCCAAGGCTACTACCCAAGCAGTGCTGGCCGCACTTTGAGGCGTGGGGGGGTCCACCCTTGGTCCAAAAGGGGCTTCGGGGCTTTGGTCGTAGCTCCAATGCAGGCCGTGCTGGACTTCATTTACTCTGACAAGTTGGAAATCGAGGTACATCGCCTGGCCATTGCTACTGGGGATGGCCCAAGGCAATTGCTGCTCCAAAATGGTTTCAAACTCTATGAACATTCACGAATGGTTCTTTGGGCATGTTTAGACTCCCCTTTGATGAACCATACCACATGTGGATGGCAACCGAATGGACATGCAAAACCATTGCCTACAATTGGAAAACCTCTCAAGACGATGCTGTTCGCTGTTTGGTTTTGATTAGGTCCTTTTTGTAAAATGGTTTTGCCTGTAGGGATCAGTCATCTTGGGTGGAACCATGTCCATACTTTCTGCCACTTTTGTCTATGTGGTTAGCGTCTCGTAATCAAACATTTGGTTCGAGAATTTCCCAGCTATAAATGCCCATGTAGTTCAGGGATTTCCCAACCATGTTTGATGACTTGCACCACTGTTCTCAAGGCAGAAAGCTGGGGTCCACTGGTGAAGATGGCCAGAAACTCGGGCAGAGACTGCCAATCTACCTGGACCCTGTAAATTGGGCCCACAAGAAGGGGATAAAAGTCTATACCATCATGTACCATCCTTTGGGGCCATTATCCGCATTTCTTTGAGAAAATTTAGGGGTCAAGGTATACAAGAGTGACATGTTTTGAATGTGTTTAGAGCTTCCGCAAATTTGAGTGAGAATCCAGAAGGTTCGATGGAATGTTCATGAACGTCACGCCCTCATCCTTACCCTTTGGGTGGGCTACTCGGTAGAATGACTCTCAAATTGCTTTAGCAGACGGCAAACTCATAACTTCTGTGCAAGTTTTGCAAAGGCAGATGTGTTGCAAATGGGCACACTCTACACCAAATGTGTGGAGGCAGATTTTTTCCTTGTCCAAGTTTGTGTGCGAAATCTTGCGGCTTGAGGAAGTTGAGCTCATCAATCAAATTGAGCTCTCGGGTTTTGTAGATAGATGGTCACTGATCGTTCCTACTATAGGTGTTCTGCTCAGAAATGGTCATGTGCGTAAGACCCACATTTTATTGCCATCGGTTCCTCCAAGGACATGAGAATTCCTTCAACTTTCTTGGAACCGAAGTCTGTCAACGGATGATGAGACTCACTGAAATATCAGATTGAATCAAGCTGCAAGCTGGAATGAGCATTCCACTTGGTGACAGCCAGATGTTTTTGCAAGTCCCCTGGGGGAATTCAGAATGGGAACCGGTCACTGGCCAGGCCGGCAATCAGTTTCTGTGCAACGAAGATGCTGACAAACATGCGCCCAGGTTGAGCTGGGTTGAGCAGCCTTGGCGTTTCTGAGGTTTTCTGATGGTCTTGTGTTTTCATCCCAGCACAATGGAAATGATTCCCACTGACTCTATGATACATTTGTTTGGTAGTTCCACCGCTCACCAGCTTCATGTGTATACAGACACATAGATATTCATTGATTAATGTATATATAATATGCCGTTATAATATAGTGCAATAGGAGGCCTGCGTGAAGCTATGACCTCACTGAAAGGACCATCAATTAACCGTTGCATTTGCAAATGACTCTCTGTTTAAGGTTTTTGGATCAAAAACTGTGCCAAGATCATTCCGTTCTGTTATATAATATATCCCCATTAGATCAGCATAGAGAATATATTCCCTTGGTCATTGCTGGTTCCCTATATTTCCAGGTTAGCCATGGACGCCGCGCGGCTACAGCTGGGCGGTCGGCTGCAGGACGAGGTGTTCCGGGACGATCACCAGATGCTGGGATGAACATCCAAATCCTTGTTGGGTTGCCCATTCATGGGAACATTAAACTGAAAATTTGGGGCTCCAAATTTATCATCCAAGTCGTTGGTCATTTTTCATGTGGAATCCAATGGTCGCACGGGGTACCCCAATCTTGAAACAGCCGTGCAGAAGCTATGGAGAGATATCCAACACAGTGCCAGGGTCTTGTTCCACAGGCAGATTGAATAAAAGTCCAGGAAAGGGTGAGATTGAAGCAACAGCAATTATGGGCATTTCATGAATGAGAACGGGCATTTGAAGTCTTTTCAGTGACTTTAAGTGCATGACATGGGAATTGATGCTGAATGTATCCATCAAGATGTTGACTCACAGATGCAGGTGATCCAGGTCGCTGTGGACTTGATGGCGAGTTCCTTCGCCTTGGCGGATCAGTGGCGAGTAGATATTTCCCAGGGGGGAATGGACGGACCCTAGAACCATAGGGTTTTCAATACCAAAATGCAATTTTAATTTCGGATGATTTTGGGGCTGGGCCTGAAATATAGGAAACACCCAAATAGTCCGCCCATGTTTTGGTCCCCACTAGTAGCGGGCTGGGGGTTGGTCGCATCTTCGATGTTTTGACGTGCCACTTGCCAAGAGGGGCAGTCATTGTGTGATATGCTATGCCAACAGGTGTTTGCAACTTGGACTAGAAATCAAGCCGTAGACAACACAGGCCAAATCAAAACAACTATTGTTGAAGGACTCCTGCGGTTGCCTGTGTTTCCCTTCGTTAAATGTGAGGCTGTTTGGTCCATGTTTGCTCCATGCTGCTTGTTCCATCTTTCGGGCCTTGAATTGAAGGCCTCCAATCTGCAGCACAGCAGTAAAATGGAGACAAGCATGCTGTCGCTACATGTGGCTACACCATGCTACAACATATTGGCAGGTTTTTCTTTGCCTTGTGCAGTGCCAGGCTCGCCATGTAGTAAAGGTAGGTGTTGTTCGTCCCTATGATGGGAATTCATGCTTGTGATAGAGATGCTCGTGACGTCTGTCTTTCAACCCAGCTGATGTAATATGCCAGATCGCCACAATACTTAATTAAACCGTTATCATTGGAGGAATCTTGCAATCAAGAATCATTGTGGTCATATGGTAAACTATAAACTAAACATGTCCGCTGCAACTTTGCCCGCCAGTCATCCTTCTATATAATTTTTGCATACAAAACTCTGAACTTTGACTTGGGTTTTCTCCCACACAACCACCAAGGAAGCCTTAAAACCTGAACCCTCAGACCCTAAGATCTCAGAAACTCCAACCCCGAAGCATCTGAAACCCCGAAGCCGTAAACCCTAAGTTTCTTAAGCCTGAATTTGGCCTGAATGAGCAAAAACAAGCAGAACACGTTTTTTGTTTCCCGAGGAAAGCTTGACTAGATGCGGACATTTTTCCTGGAGCATTTCTATCATTCTGTGGGAGAACCAGGGGTTGTGCATTGCAGGCAACATTTCGTTGGATATCCCCATATTCATATTCCTAGGTTGCAAAGAATATTTGGGCATCCGGTGGGGCTATCCCCATCTCGACCCGTCCCCAGATTCTCCCTACAGCAACCCCAAAACAGATTGAACACTTGGCAACCTGGAGATTATGAGGGCGATGTCTTCTGTAGCATCCTGGATTCGTTTTGATTTCTTGGCACCCTTATCTACCTATCTGATTCATTACGACTCTATTTGCACATACATGTCTACATTACATATGTAATTCTATGTGCAAAACAGAGATCTCATCCTTACAATAGCACTCCGGAGATCCGTGCAGGTTGCTTCAAGTCCATCCAGACCACTGACCTAGTGATGCAGCCCGTTGAGGCGATCTTACAGATCATACCGCATGTCCAATACTTGGTATATTATCAAACATATGTTACCTGTAGTACCGCACAAGGCGGTGGCGGAAGTTTCAGAAATAGGAAACCTATAGGAGAGGTTGGTTGTTGTGAATCACGGATGGCAGAGCGAAGCCACTGATGGACCGAAAGGTGATTGATGTTTCCTCTCTTTCTCTCTCTTTCTCTGACTATCTACCTACCTACCTACCTATCTATCTATCTATCTAACTAACTAACTAACTACCTAACTAACTAACTAACTAACTAACTAGCTAGCGAGCTAGCTAACTAACTAAACTAAACTAAACTAAGCTAAGCTAAGCTAAGCTAAACTAAACAAACTAACTAACTAAACTAAACTAAGCTAAGCTAAACTAAGCTAAACTAAACTAAACCAAACTAAACTAAACTAAACAAGCTAAACTAACTAACGAACGAACGAACTAACTAACTAACTAACTAACTAACTAACTAACTAGCTAACTAACTAACCAATCTGATCTATCTATCTAACTATATCATCTTATCGATCGATCGATCGACCTATCTATCTATCTATCTGTCTGTCTGTCTGTCTATCTATCTATCTATCTGCAAGCTTGAAAACGAAGCTATTCTGCGAGACTGCCTCAGTTTTTTAAACTTGACAACATCAAAAACACAGCAATGCAGCGAGACTTCCTCAATTTTTGCACTTGACAACATCAAAAACGAAGAAATTCTGCGAGACCTCCTCATTTTTTTAAGTTGACAACATCAAAAACGAAGCAATTCTGCGAGACATCCTTCAAAATGGAAAGTTGAGTGCAGAGCTGACGGCCTCGTACCAATGCGTTTTGCAATTTTTCCAGTCCATCTGTCCAAACTTCTGCGCCTGCCACGAAAAAGTGATGCCAGGTCATACGAAGTGCTGCGCCTGTCACGCAAAATCATCTCAGCAAACCTGAAGATCGGAGGCTCTGAAATGCAAGCCCTCTCAGGAAATCAGCGCCCGGACCTCCTAACAGCTCTGATGAACATGTCTCTTGTACTGCGCCTGCCACGGAAAATGCATCTTTGCAGATCCTCTTCAAATGTCTCACGCCTGCCATCGTTTTTGGACATGCTACAAAACCCTCACGTGTTGCTCACTTTTGACACGGTCCACAATCCCTTGCGCCTGCCACACGAAACGACATCTGAACGTCCAAAAGCGGCGCGAACATGTGGAGTTTTCAACATTTTGACTTCGAAATGTGCTTCGAGCCACAACGGCGTGCACTTTTTCGACAGCGCAACTTCCAAAGTGGTCCGAAGCTGAGGTGTTTTGTACATTTTGACTTGGAAATGTGCTTCGCGCCACAACAGCGTGCAATTTTTCATCTCTCATCTGGCCAGCTGGCTCCGCACCTGCCGCTTTAGCGAGCCTACTTTTCGACCCTCCGGAGCCACAAATCATTGGAAAAACACAGTGTTTCGCGACTTTCCTACTTTTTTGATCTTTTTTGCGCACCTGGATCTTCTTTCTTCTGAGACTTTCTCTTTTTTGATCTTCTTTCTTCTTCTCTTCTCTTCTCTGGCTCTTCCCGTCTCTGCTTTTCATCTGTCCATATTGTCGGAAGTTTGACTTCTAAACTTCCTTCGACTAATTGTTATTATATGGTTGGTGGTATTACACCAGATGGTAAACGATATCATATATTTGGTCTGAGTCTATACCAATACAGTGTTTTTTTTGCCTTTTTTTTTCAATTGTTTATTTCTATTTTTCCCAAATGTTGTTGTTGTTGTTGCTGTTGTTGCTGTTGCTGTTGCTGTTGCCCTTGCTGCTGCTGTTGTTTTGTCTTGTTTTGTGTTGTGTTTTTGTTGTCGTTGTTGTTGTTGTTGCTGTTGCTGTTGCTGTTGCTGTTTCTGTTGTTGTTGTTGTTGTTGTTGTTGTTTGACTGCATATGTATATGGATATACATGTATATTAATAGGTATGTGCTGGCAACTATATTTCGATATGGATACGTACATATCAAATATCTATATCTCTATACATATATATATACATACATACATGCACCCTTATAATTTGAAATGTATTTTCACGTGCAAGTGCGTTAACTATGGTTGGATCATTGATACTTGACAACACCTTGTCAAGTATCAGTGACAACTTCATCCATAGGATAATCGCCCAGGCAATCAGCCAGGCCAGGTACTATGGATATCCTGCATCTTCGACCTCTAGCAGTATAGATATGAGATATACCCTCCTGTAAACTAACAAAGCCACAATTCTGGGATTTTCCTCATGAGTTTTCCACATCTATGTCAGTTTTCCCAGGGATATATACTTATTTATTTATATATACAATATACTAGTATATATATATATATATATATGTATGTATATGTATATATATATATATATTATATGTATAGACATCTGCTCATCATGCATCCGGATGCCGACATTCGCAGGTCCTGCAGCTGCTACTCCAGAGAGACGATCTCGAGGCTGACAGTGGACCAAGTGGACCCCCGGAAAAAGCGGCCTTGAAGGCCATAGGAAACTGGGGGTTTCCTAAAATGGTGATGCCCCAATAGCTGGATGGTTTATAAATGTTTATAATGGAAGATCCAAAAATAAAATGGATGATTTGGGGGTAGCCATGGGTAGGCCTATTTTGGAAACCTCTAAACGATCTTCCGAAATACATCTTTGGCGATTTCCTGGGAAGTGGCTCAGGCAATCCTGTTGGGTGACCTTCTTTACATTACTTCCAGAGGGAAGAAGACTGAGAGCACAGCATGGCTGTTGGTGTGACCTTTCAACATGTCATACTTCATTTTGCAACCATTCATAACCCCAATAGTAACCTCACAATAAGGGACTACACATGTATGTACTGTACTGTACTGTGCTGTGCTGTGCTGTACAGGCAGATGTTGAAGACGGTACAGTACCGGTGGTATAAAATAGAGCTGTTCCCTTGTAGAAAGCATTCAGGTGAAGGCGGTACCTTTAGGGTTTAGTATGCTTTGCACAGACATTAGATTAAACAGCCAGACCTTGGATCATCAAAATCAAAAGACATGAAATTAAAATGAAAGGACATGAATACGAAGCAAAAACAAAACATGAATGCAAAATGAAGGAAATAAATGCTAAATGAACAAAAGCAATGCGAATGAATGAAAAATAATGCAAGTACAGTAGGTGGTGAAAGGTGTGCCTGTTGCATAAAGATCATCTCAATAGGTGCAGGGACAAACCATATAGGCTGACCTTGTATTGACCTCGTATAGGCTTCGTATCCGACCTCGTAAAAATACACCCTTCCACCACAGTTTTTGATATGCAACCACGGAGTTCACATGGGGATTTGCTCAAGTGGTTTGGGCAAGTCTGAAGCATCAGTAAAAGCCAGCGTTCCATGGGAACGGCGAATTACCAACCAAATAGGTTTAGTAGTTTGGGTGCCGGCGTTCCATTGGAAAGAGGCTTCTGGAGGTGAGTGTTCTCACGTCTACAAACCGTAAGCGTTAAAGCGTTTCCATTGGGTTTCATAGTCCAGGTCCTGCCTTTTCTGACTTAGCCGTCGCCACGGCGTTCCATCCAGCAACACGTATGCTAGCACCACTGGTCCTGCCTTCAACGTTCACCTGTACTGTACTGGTACTGGTACTGGTACTGGTACTGGTACTGGTACTGTACTGTATGTGTGTGTGTGAGTTTGTGCGTGTGTGTGTGTGTGTGAGTTTGTGTGTGTGTGTGTTTTTGTGTGTGTGTGTGCGCGTGCGTGTGTGTATGTACCTAGACCATCAGTTTGTACCACAATGTCGCAAAGTCAGCAAATTGAGTGTCTAGGTCTAGGATGGTTCAGGTACATACAAGATTGAAATGTGTTCACCGGGTCTGGGGTTTCCAATGCTGATTCTTAAGCCGGTTGTGAGTGTGAATCTAGAAGGTTCTATCACATATTCATAAAGTGCAGGGTCATTGGGTTTCATTCGTAATTTCACCAACTCTTACCAAATCTGATATATATATATAATATGTATCATATATATATATATATATGTATGTATGTAGATATGCAATTACATACTAATTCTACAATGATAGACAATATGATATTTCGGCACGTATGTATATATATATATATGTACATATATACACATATATATGCATACATACACATATACATGATATATGATACACGGCACACGACACATGACACATGATACATGACACATATGTGTATATTGTATATATGAACATATATATATATATACGTATTTATGCTTACGTACAAATGTATACATATGTATATATAAATATATATAAATGTCTGTATACATGTAAATAGATACATACAGACATACATACATACATACATACATACATACATACATACATACATACATACATACATACATACATACATACATACATACATACATACATACATACATACATACATACACATACATACATACATACATACATACATACATACATACATACATACATACATACATACATACATACATACATACATACATACATACATACATACATACATACATACATACATACATACATACATACATACATACATACATACATACATACATACATACATACATACATACATACATACATACATACATACATACATACATACATACATACATACATACATACATACATACATATATATACACATCTGTATATATATATATATGTATATTAAATTATGTACATCACATGTACATAGCAGTCCTTGGTTTCCCACTCAACTCGCACCTTCGTCATAGGTTGACCATGAGGATGCTGTCTTCGATCTCCTGTTGGAGCTTTCCTCAAGACTTGAGAAGGCGGGGGTAGGTCCCGGATACCCGAGAAGATGCGGCTGATTAGCAACAAAAGTGGTGCTTTGGCCATGCCCAAACTGGATGACAAGTCGTGGTGAAAAAATTTGATTCAAACCTGAAAAGGTTTTAAACATAGCAAAATTGAGTCAATTGACTCAGTTTTCTCAAGAACATTATTGGGTTTTACTAGGGAACATTGTAGTTTTCCTGAGAAAACGGGTTCGTCACAAAAACAACGGTTATATATATATATATAATTACTAGGAAAGATGGTGGTTTTAACCCAAGACAGATTGGGGTTTACTGACCATATGTATAGTCTTACGCAAAAGTGGCTAAACATGGGGGTTGAATGGAAAAGGGTTTATCTAACCTGATTGAAACACCTGCGGAAGTGGACATCTCCGCTCTGCATCGAGAGGTAGAACCATTGTTTTGCCATCATACTGTACTAGTGTTTTGTCATGACATTGGGATGAACAATCATGCATGATTGCCTCTCATTCTTGCAGTCAATATGATTGACCTATCTTTTTACCATAAACTAGCGCGCACTTCCCCACCTCTTCCACCATTTGCCAGTGACATCCAAACACATAGCACTACAACAACATATCCTAAAGTTGACATCACTTATTCAAAGGATTTTCATGGATTTTCTAAAGGCATTTCGGACACAGGAATCCTCTTTGAGATCCTCCAGGTTCAAACACCTTGACGCCCCGCAAAGGCACAAATGGAATTGCTGTGGAGGCGTTTCTGTCTGTTGTTTGCTTTTCTCTCAAAATGGCCCAGCTAAAATTTTAAATATATTTAAATGGGAAAGATGATAATAAACAGTTGGAATCGTTCTACCGGATTTCTCGCAGGGGTCAATTTGTCATTGAACTGGAAATGTAGAACGAAAGGACTCGAACATTTTGTTGAACATGCCTTGTACTTGGCCAAAATTTTCATTCTGTAGAATCAAAACCAGAACACCTCAGACCCTTCCGGATTATGCGGACAGCCTGGGATTGTTGTAGGTGCTGCCGATTGCAGAGACTGTCTCCAAACAAAGTTTTAAAGGCTGGGATTGGTCATGGCAGTTGCCGCTAAATGCTTGGTTTGGTGAGAGTTATCCCTGCCACCTTTACGCTTGATACTCTGTGTCATGCCAATGTCCCATCATGTCCGCTCCAGACTTTTCCTGAATTCTACACGTGCTTGAAGTACACAGCAACTCTCAGAGTGAGGTTTCATGTGCATTTGCAGAGAGTTGTGTTCGCTGGCGCCATGCCGTGGGACTAGTGTAGCGAAGCAAACACGCAAAGAAACAAAGGAAGAAACAAACAAACCAGAAGACAAACAAAGAAACAAGAAACAAGAAACAAGAAAAGAAAGCACAAGCAAAGAAACAATGAAGAAACAAGGAAACAACGGAATAGTAAATAGAGAGCAAGAAACAGACAAAGAAACAACGAAACATTCACAGGCATACTGTAAACAAAGAGGTTCTTGACCGGACTGGCCGCTTTCCACATGAACTCAGAATAACTCAGCTTTACCAAGCAAAGATGGAAGGGGAGCCTTCAACCGACCGAGTGCGATTTTGGACAGCTGCATCAACAAGATACTTCGCGGATCATCACATGTATATACAAAAAGTTTAACAATTCTGCGGACGATGTGAGTCCGTATGAAACTCGCGTTCCCAAGAATTCAATGGTAGTCCTCCCCAATAAATAATACGCCGTAGTAATACGCCAATTTATGGCGTGTTCCCCCCATTTTTTGACAACCCAAATGTCCCCATGCTTGCTGGCTGATAGCCCCACTATCGCTTCATACCCATAGAATTCGAAGGTATCCTGATTTTTAATGGTTAAAATCACCATCAGAATTTTGAATGCGGATGATTAGTATTCCGAATCTTCCCGCGTAATCCATGCACTTTTCCCATAACATCAGCATTTTTCATGGTTCAATATGTTCAATCACAACTTTTTGATGGTTGATGGACGTTTCAGCATCGCGCAGATTGCTGACATTGAAGAGATCCCCAAAGAAGCGTTGGTTTGGGCCGGGATTCCATGGATGTCGGGATAGTTGAGGATAGACGGGGATAGGGATGGGGACGGGAAGATATTGATTGCTTTCAGGGAATTATTGAAAAACACCTACAGTTTTGATGTTATTTGTTTGCTCAAAAGCTCATCATATCTCGGGATGAAAAAGATAAGTGTCGCTTAAATCAACCCCGTCAGCAATCTTCGCTGTGAATGGAGATGGGCAGGTGTACTGCCGATGAAAAAAGGCCATTGCCCATGTCAGCCCTTAAGATGTCAAAATGCAAATTGGCACCCGTATTGTCTGGATCTATATATGTTCTTCTTGCGGCCAACAATTATGCATACAATTGGCGTAGTTAGTCTGTGTTCGTACATATACACAATAGATTTATAGATCTATGACTCTATGACATACATAATAAATAATTTACACATTTGCATATCATATTATACATCATTATATAAGTATATATAAGATTATATAAGCTATGTAAGTATACATACAAGTTAGTTCTTCTCCCCATGTATAAGCGCCCAAGGCCTTGGCGAATCGCCCTGCGGCGGTGAATCTGGCACCACCGAGGTTTTTTCGTGGTAACGTGGAACAGTGGCTGCTAAACCCTGGTTGGTTGATGATTAGTTGGGGGATTTTATTAACCAATATATTGGGGATTTTTTTGATAGTCGAAGAACGGGGAATCCCTATTAACCAACCAGGATTCAATAGAAAGACAGAGTGATTTTGAACACTGATTAATTGAATGATTTGATCCTTTGATATCATTTATAGAATGGGGATGTACACATACATATATAATTATATATATACATTTATAACCAACGATGGGGACATAATGTGGCTATAAAGTAATAATGATGGATAATTAGTAGATAAGTATAATGGATAATTAGTGGATACTAATTGAGAAAATAACATTAGGTATAGATGGCCCCCAGGAGTGGATGATTTGCCTATGACTTTAATGGTGGTTTTCCGTGGCTATGTCTTAAATTACCAGGGGATACATATATTTATTATAGAATATACAATACATCAATGCATCTGTTACACTGTCTCCCCATGTTTTTTTTTGTGCAATCGTTGGAGGTACAAAAATGATATTCAACCCACAAAAAATCCCATCATCTCTGACATAGAATATTCAGTATCTATGTACGTGTATAGTTGTTTGAAAACTATTTTTACACATATTTTCAGACAAATATATTGTGTATTATGCGAAGTTGGTTTTTAAGGGTCTTAGTATGTCTTAGTCTTAGATTGTTTTTCCATCTAATTTAATTATCCCCAATTGTTGGGTATTATCCATAAATGTTTTTCTTAGATCCTTGGGTTTTTATGGGTACCCTCTGGTAAACTAACATAACTATGGAAAGATCCACCATTTTTTATGGGTAAATCCACTATTTCTATGGCCATGTTCAATAGCTATGTTAGTCATTACCAGAGGGTACATTGTTTTTATCGCCTGTTGATTCTGATTCCGCACCACTGCCCGCAGTTGGGCGAATCCCTGGTCCCACGGCACTGCTTACCGCGGCCGCGAGATCTTGTTCGTGGCGGGGCGGAGAACGGGCGCAGGGGGAAGATGTCCTGAAAAACGACGATTTTTCCACGTGGAATCCTGGAGCCTTTTTTTTTGGATGGTGCCATGTTAGATATTGTTAGATTATCTTTGGTGAGCGGATTTTCGAACTGATGTTGCCAGCATTTGGTTCTTGAATTTATTGTGTTTGAAGGATTCTGCTTGCATGCATTGAAAGATGCAAACAACTTAGCACAAGACAATAGTTGATCCATGACCAGATTTTGAAAGGGAAAACCAACTGCTGAGCATTTGAGCAAATATCCTGTATGTGTCACCATTATCGATATTGTAAAGGCAATTCTGGGTCCCACTGAATAATGTGGCTCTGGGCCATATTGCCCATGATATATATATATATATATAAATATGGTCACCAGTAGCCTCAAAATCACCTATTCAATCCTATTCATATATACATACACATGGACTAATCACGAACCCTTCCTTTTTGTGAGGGCAGCCACCCAATGATATCCTCCCAATGATCCCGTCCCCGGCACGGGACGCAGATTCCCAATGCACGGGACTACGCTGCCAAGCGCTATACGCGGAGCGAAAGCCATCGCTTGTTGGACAAGTTTGGGGATCCAATGGGGGCTGTGACGCTGAAACGTGGCTAGTTTAACTGTCAAAACTGGGGCTTAGTGATGGTTGTCAAGTACCAACATGGGCATATCGTGAGGATATAATTTGATGTCTCAACTGGATGTTTCCCTGGCAATGAGGTAAACCCAATGCCATTGTCATCATCCCCAAATATCAACCATGCGAGGGCCTTGACATTCATCATCCCATGTATTTTATTGTCCATTTTTTTGGCACGTTATTTTGACCCACAGCTGGACATTTGGGTCTTTCTGGTGCACGTCGAACGAAAATATCACTTGGACGTTTCGCAAGAACCAAGAGATTCTGCACGGGGCATCAAACTATGGCGAAGGGTCAAACTTTTTGGCATCCCTTAAATAGATTTAAATAGTAAATGATGTAAATGAGAGATGTTTTACCAACAAAATACCGAACCAAAAGTATTTGGCTTGAAGGTGAGTATTTTGTGACCCAACTTACTTGCTCTTTGCTAGTCAAACATGACAATGGAACACACCAATCGTTCCTAGGAAAAACACCTTGCAATTTGCCTGTAGCATTTTGAACTACGAAAATCAAGTTGTATGAATTTATAGATGGTTTTAGCTATAGTATACCCAATGGCAATCAAACGCGGCAATGGAAAACCCTCCCATTTAGTTCGATGATTTTCCATTCATACTAAAACCTCCATTCAGGACAATCTTGCAGGTAGCTGCCTTTGATTGCTGTTGGGGTACATGTTACCAGGTTCAGCTGGCGTCTCTTGATCTTCCCCCACGGCACCGGAACAGAGTCCACCCCTGGGACCGGGGGAATGGGACAACGCTTGCTGCAACGGTTGCTGCTTGGTGAATGCTAGGTGAATCCCTGGAAACGTGAACAATCTATGAATATGTCATATGAATTCAATTGTTAGTGGAAGCCATAGTCTAGTATTCAAAAAATGTTCATTTGAGCGGGGGTAGTTCAGATTAGGAGGATGGCATTATTCGTCTCCGTTGCATTTTGTCGTGTATTGGTTGCAGGAGGAAAACCAGGAGATTCACCACTCAAAATGGGGATTTCAGCAACGCAATTTCAATGGAGTGAGGGGAAAAACTCGTAGGATGGCCCTGCAACACCCCATGAAATGTAGGATCATAAATTCCACAATGTTCTGCAGTCAACTTCCATCCTTCCAGAAACCACAAGAAGACGTCCTGGAAGGAGGGCTGTTGGTGCCATATAAGTCTTCAGCAATGTGGATAGGCCATCCAGTGGGCTGCCGAAAGGACCACAGCCATCTGGGTCGGTACCCATCGCTGCAGGAAGACGACGGCCGCATTTGTGGAACTGGTGCCGGATGTCTGGGACCTCAGCTGGGGCAGATATCCAATGTTTTGGAGCTAAGGAGCTGGGGGTATCTCTATTCCCGTGGGGAGCCAAGGAGCTACTAGGAGTTTTCCCAACCACATGATAGAGACTAGTTGGAAGTATGATTGCCCGCCATGAATGACAGACTCAAATTTGCAGGAGGTTTAGGTGCAAGGTATTGTTGGCTGATCTGCATGGTTCTTGAGTCATGGTGACAGGTCTGTTTTCCAGGGGGGCAATACATGGCTATGGCTCAAATCATTTTCCAGAAACACATCCTCTTTACTGAAAATTAAAGCTGAAAAGTACTACTGCAAAGAGTGCCGAACCTGCGGCCCTTTTGGCTGCTCATGTTTGAGTCATGTTTGAGTCATGTTTGAGTCATGTTTGAGTCATGTTTGAGTCATGTTTGAGTCATGTTTGAGTCATGCCTGTATTATCCCAAGTTGATTCTACCAATACCTACTGACTCACACAGTAGAATGCTCCTACCAGGAACCCTCATCTGTTGGCAAAAGGGTTGTGCTTGCTACTTGCTACATTTGTTCATATTTGGGTATGTCTGAAAATGGGGTATACCCCCAATTATAGCCATTTAGTAGGGATAATGATCAGCAAAACCATTGGGTGTAGGGGTACACTATTTTCAGACAAACCCATTTGTTCTTTGTATGCAGATGCACAATTCCGTGTTTTGAGAAGCGCAGCTGCGTTGGATGCGCTGGCTCACTGGAAGGCACTTTGCCGTTTTAGATAGGTCGAACTACCAACAAGATGTCAACTACAAGCATCATCAAAGCAAGGATTAAGAGGTTAAGTTGAACCTATAATTACATTTCAACTGCACATCGTCAACTACATTCAACACATTTGAACTATACATCGTTGTCCCAGAATGCACACGCTTGAACTTTGTGCAGCGAGTGTTTTTTGGAAAAGGCCCTTAGGATGCTACCACACCTTGAGATCCATTTATAAATGATTGGCTGATTTGTAATATATACACACAATCATTCTAATCCCAGTATTTTTTGTTGGGCTTCAACTATCTAACCCTAGGGAAGGACACCAACTTTACTGTATTCCGGGCGCTGAAGAGCCCCATGCTATGGCTCAATCCAGGAATGAGGAGGCGGGGTGGAAGACGCATGACTAGCCCAAGAGCTGACACTGGGTTTATGCACACATTTCAGGGATTTGCTGGTCGGTTTATATACATACATATATATATATATATTATTATATGATATTATATGTATATAAATTGTTTTTCGGAGCTTGTGGGATTTTCATGATCTTTTTCGGTGACCTGTACCATCAGAGAATCCCAAGCTCTAAATCAGCCGACATTTGTAGGATTTTCACTTGAGTTTGTCACTGCTGAGCGATTTTGCTTGGACTCCCCCTGGTAGACTGGTAGACCGAAGTACAAGACTGCTGTGAATCATACAATGCCGACTTGATTTTGTGATCAGCACTCTCACCCAACACAACATCGTAAGAGTTACAGGATGGATGTAAGTCAGCCATGTTGGTTGCATGCTGAAACTCTTAGCAATCTTGACAAATGCGGACTCATGATGTGGATCATGAGCTCATCTTATACAGTAGCTGTTTCAGGCATGTTTGACCGCAGGTGCCGAGCCTTTCTACGCTGTTGCTGCGCAGCCCATCGGGGCGCCTATGTACATGGCGTGCGAGGTGCGATGAAGCAGGGAAAATGGGAAGGTGTGGACAATACTATATAGCATTATAATATATGATACAATATCCTGAAATTTGGCTATTTTAATGGGGAATGATGATCAAGCAGTACAAAGGGGGTAGCATGATGTAGCATGGGTACACTACTTCCGACAAATTCATATAACCCCAAATTCTTGATGTTTGAAAAAGGCTAGCCATGGTGAGATTAGCCATGTTTATCAATGCTTATTGGGTTATGGTGAACAGATGTCATAGTTCCAAAGGGTGAGAGATAAAGTTATTCGCAAACGGAGTTGTAGGTAGTATGAGGGTTCTCGGAAGATTGCATCTACTCTAACAAACGCGGCTGCAAAATTTGTACCGCTGCACAAATTCGATCATTGACAGGGTCCGTTTCTATTGAGGCTCAGTGACACCGTGGGCAGCGTGGAACGAACCATTGTCAGGCGGGAGACTGACGATGGGTGGGTTGGGCAATCTCATCGCTTAGGCCATGTTAGGCCCGCGCTCGCTTCCCTTTCATTGAAAGAAATGGTCAACAGTTTTTGGACATGGTCCGACATGTTTCAACTATTTTGGCAGTTTGACTTCCACAAAGAAGAAGTGTCAAATCCTCAAGAGGGGTTATCCGAAAATTGGGTACCCTTAACCGTCTGGTCTTCACCATTTTCCCTATTAAAGTGGCCAATTGAAGGATAGATCCCACATTTTCAGACACCCAGATTTCATATAGTTTGAGATAGTTAGTATATGTTAGGTTTACTTGGTATTAGTTTAGTTTAGTTTAGTTAGTTAGTTAGTTATATCTCATGAAATCCCCATGGAATCCCCATGGAATGGGAGTTGATCATGTTTTCGCGTGCATCGTTGCACTGCACCAGGCAGAGAGGGATTCCGGCAGGGTCCCTACGACTCTGGGGTCGGCCCTTGGCACCGGAACGAACTTTGAGGTCCTATGGTGCCCCGGTTCCACAGCTTTCAGGGTGCCAACATGTCAATGTGCCAACCACAGGGCAGGGTGATGGCAATGGATTGATCTTTAGCCATATTAGGGTATGGATCAATACCTATAAATGCCATTTTTAGGGGGATGAACATCCATTTACCAGCTATTTTGATGTTCACCAAGGGTACAAGATGTACAAGGTTTTGACATACTGCCATATAGCCATAGAAGGAATGTGTACAATATAGCCATAATTAATAATTGTAATAATGGCAATTTTCCACTCGAAGAAACACACATGTTCAAACTTCGAACCCTGTCGGATATCTCACCGCAACCAGGAGTGGCATGGCAGCATTTTTCCTATAAGTGTGGGAGACGAAGCGTCTGAGTCAGAATGACCAATCCTCCTATGGCCCCAATCATCCCCAATACCAAAGGATAAGGAGGAGGACTTCCCAACAGCTTGAGATGGAGTGGTGGGATGATATTGAAGGTTAGACTGTCCAACCAACTACTGTATATAATTAGCAAGGTACTCTACCATGAAAAACGGAACAACCCTTAAACTTAAAATTTGACATTCCCCAATTCTGGATTGGTGCTGTGAAGCCGACATATGTGGCAGCATTGGCCTGCCACGCGTGGCAGAGAGAGCTGCCACGCTCTGCCACGTGCGTAGGGGTTGCGTGGCAGAGGTGTGGCAGAGAGAGCTGCCACGCAACCCCTACGCACGTGGCAGAGCGTGGCAGCTCTCTCTGCCATGCGTGGCAGTAAAAGGTTTCTAGTGTGGCAGAGGGTGTGGCAGTAATAGGTGTTTTGCGTGGCAGTAATATGTGTTTTGAAAGGTTACTGCGTGGCAGTCAAGGCTTCCAGGGTGGCAGAGGGCGTGGCAGTAATAGGTGTTTAGCGTGGCAGTGCAAACCCTGCTGCTAGACATTCTGTGTGCTAAACTCTAAGTAAATCATGGTAGAGGAATCTGCTAAGTATATAACTAGTAGCTTCTTAGAGATGTTCAACCAAAACAGCCTCATGCCGCCTAGAACTACAGCAAATGATGGCGATAAGAACCAATACGAGCTTCAATGGCAATGAATAGATATAATACGAAAAAAGATGAAACAAGTACAGGATGAAATGGGTATATATAAACAATTTATATAATTATATGATGTTTTTTATTCACGGTATATACTTCGAATGTATGTATATACATATATATATATATAGGTCAGTAGTGAAAATCACCCAGAGCAATTCTTGTAACAACGTCAACGACAACTCTGGAGCTGTAGCGTGCTGAGGCATTCGTGCCATGTCCGAAGTGCAATGGATCCTGGGGCTGCAAAAGGTGAATTTACACCCGTAATGGATACCGCAGCAGTTTTATCAAACATATCTAGCTGGGAAATCCCCAATCGAAATGAAGGTTTCCAGCTGGGACAATCATGGGAATATCATCTTTTTGGAGAGGTTTCCAGCTGGGAAAATCATCGAAGTAAATGGGGGATTGCCCAGCAATGTTTGATGAACCTGGAGGGTTCCTCTCTCCTTGTTATCTGAAAATTCCATGAAGGCATGGATCCCCGTTCTGATGTGTGGCAATGTGTGCTGAAGACTCGGGCAGAGTTTGATTCCCTTCGCACATTGCCGGACATTTCAACCTCAAAATCCAATAAGATGGTCAAGTTTGGCAACTACAGGTTGTAGTTGAGCAGGTTTCCATCACATGACCAGTGGTATCGGTGATGGGTATCTGGGCATCGCATCTCCCCAACTGTTGCCCCCGCTATTCTCAGGTTTTCCGGTGGTTTGTGTGGTGGTGGTGCATGTCAATCTGCACCAACCCCCAGTGACTCTGAGTTCAGCGATGCAGGCGTTGCGGGGGGGCGGAAGAATCACCAGCGATTGCGTGTGATTGGTGACTGTTTAAATTATTTTTATAGTATATGTATATAATTATACATTTATCATTATTTGACATTTGAGTCTGGATCTTCAACTTTTCATGCCGCCTGATCGCCAGGGTACAGTTTTGCTGTATTTTGCCCTTCCTCGGATCAAGCAAGGTCTAGTTGCTATAGTAATTGGTTTTAGTTGAGCATTAAAATGCATCATTTCGAAGAGACAAGAAGTTGTGACATTAACAGTTACAGGTGTAGAGTATACACACGAGAAATATTGAAGCAATTCAACTTGTGAAAGATTTTGAAAGACCATTTTGCTCGTTTCATTTGGATCATTTGGGTTTGTCTGAAAATAGGGCACCCTTAAATCCACTGGCTTATCATCAGGTATCATCAGTTATCCTAAGTTATCCTATTAATATAAAATTGACATTTGGAGGTATTACCCCATTTTCAGACACTCCCATGTTGAACCATGAAAGAGACAGGGAGATCTCCCCTCTCATCGGTGCATTGCTGCGCGAAGGTTCCGACAGTGATGCGGACAGCGAGGCTCATGGCAAAATATGACAAAGCTGGATGGATTACTTACATTCTTTTAGTGTTTTTTGGCTTAGATTGGTTGGAATATGTTGGAACATGTTGGAACATTGGTTGGAACATTGGATTTACCGTTTACCAAATTCATCCCACCAAGAATGAACTTTTAGCCGGGGATCAACAAACCATCAAGAAACCATGGCCAAACTCTCCCATGAAAACGGAGAGTTAGCACCTTTTTACCACCCGAAATGCCCCTTGATGTGATGCTTTCACCGCACCGCACAGAAATCCGTTGGAAAATGCATGGGCCCTTCCCAAGTAGCCCGGCCACGATATCTCCCACATTGTACAGCCTTTTTCTGCACATAATTAGGAGATATCAGGAGATATTAATCATTATAAGATCACAATATCATCTATGACATACAAAATATCAACCGTTTTTGATATGCTATCTCCACCCCAAAAATAAAAAGGCACGGAGGCCTTAAGATTTGCGAGTCCTGACATCTTCTTCCAGGCAAATGCTGAAGGAACCGGAACCGCGGGAACCGCTGCCGGGTGCTCAGCGAAGTTGGGAGTTGGTGACACAATGCCTTCTTCACTGGTATCCCACAGTAAACGTTTACGTATAGATGGAAATGCATGGGAAAACCAAAGGAACATGATCAACCTAATCCCCATCTACATTGTGTATTTATATATGGAGATTTCCTGAAATGGGGGTACCCCCAAATCATCAATTTTTATAGGATTTTCCATTATAAACCATCCATTTTGGGGTACCCCCATGTATGGAAACCTCCATATATACAATTATATATATACACATGAGATACGGTCAAAACAAGCGTAGACTACTTTTAGTAAGGGAGGGTCCAGTTGTGTCCGGAAAGTGCACCAAACCATGTAAAGCGATAGCCACCCCCAAAAAAGCGATAACTTGAAACCATATGAGAGTGCATTAAACTTGGTGTAAACCAAGAACATATTGTTTCCTTTATGTTCTTACCTTCCTTTTTCCTTTTTCTTTCCTTTCAAAACTGAACGCAATTGAATTCTGAAGTAAATCAAAATTGATTTTGAATCCAATTCTGAATTCCATCTATTTCATTTTTCCTTTTTGCTTCTTTTGTCCTTTTTATTTCCTCTTTCTCTTCCTTTCTTGATCATCCTGGTGATCTAATTTAGCGATAACCTCAGCGATAACCTAGCAATAACCTTTTGTTGAAAAGGGGACCCCGGACGAGGGATAGACTCATTTGACCACAGCGATATCCTTTTTCGTTTATTGATTTTATATTGGTTACTGTCATTCTAGTTTGGAGTTGTGATTGTAATAAATTTCCTTGCTTAGGAAAGAGTCTAGGAATGTGCTTAGGTAGCTCCCCAACTTCGTTGCAAACGCAAAGACAACGAGCGCCCCCTCAACCCATCCCCGGCAGTTTAGAGATCTGAATCCGTGAAGCCAATTCCGCTGCATTTTTGCATTATTTAGTGTTGATTTGAATAAAACGATAATCCAAATGAAAATCATCCGACTTCAAAGCAACTTGGAAGCCACCTATGTTTTAGGAAATCCATATATGGCTTCATAGTTACTTGGATTGCCAGAAGGCTCCGATCCAAGGCCCATTTTCAGTGGGTTATTGCACCCCGCTTTCACTGAGGTTGAAGCACGAGGACTGGGATCGTTGAGAACTCAACATGATCATAGCTTTAAACTTAGTGTATTTATGTGTATTTACTTTAAATATCTTTAAATGGTGTGATGTTCATAGCCCAAATTTGAAGTTGCCCTGCAAATTTGCACCAGTATATCTCTATATATAAATATAATATTAATATAATATTGGATCAATTAAACATGCACCAATTTGATCCTGTCATCAACCGAAAAGTGCCAATTCCCAGGACCAGTGCTTTTGCAGGAGCCGGGCAACGGGGTGGGCTGGAATTGGCTGGCAGACCTCTACTTGAATTCGTTCTACATCCTCCTAGAATAACAGTAGTTACCTACCCAAGCACTGATATAATCACAGTGATACAACACCATCTGACTATAGTTACAATCACCATCAACCCCACAGTATATGTATACGTATATATATATATATTATCTAGGGGACATATATCAGGAACCTCTCAATATTTTTCGATTGAACCTCCATCTTAATATGTGCTTAAAAGTCTTCGTCCCCTCAAAAAAAGGTTGAATTCATATGACCCAAATTCCCAATTTCCGGGTCTCAAAAGGTGCTTTGTATACCAATATTCCTCCAATTTCCATCCATTTCCCATTATCCCCAACCCAGGCCCAACCCAACATCCATATAAATTCCATATCCCATCCTCGCCAAGTGGATGATTTCATTCCCAGAACTGCTTCATGCAAAAAATAATAAATCGAAAACCGGAACACTCGGAAAAAAAAAAAGTTGTCAAATCTGTGGCTTTGCTGTATATTTTCTCTTCCACCAATCCATGGTTTAATGGCAAAAAGTGATGCCATTGGCGCCCCATAGAGGAGAGCGTGTCGGAGGTGCGGTGGCACGCACCGCGCTTCGCACATGGCGAGGTGGGGGATGGTTTGCTGCTGGCTAGATTTCTGGAATCTTTTTTGGTAAATGGATGTAACATGGGTTAACATGGCTCAACAAATCCCATGTGTTTTGGTTGTTGAAGCCACCTGTCATGGCCCACGAATCTTATTCTATGTCGTTATTTTGCATCACCCGAAACATTTTCCAGTAAAATATGGATCCATATAGTTACCGGTTAATATATGATTCCATAATATATGTACATATATATATATATATATTATATTATTGTATATTTGGTCTGTCTATGTATCTATCTCTATTCTTAACATATAAACATACATCATTCTAAACATACAGTATAAGGTCAGGTTTTTCAGTCCGTTTGCCACTTCGCAGGATGCTGCGCAAGATACTGCGACGGCTTCCTCAGTATCTTCCTGGGTGACTTGGCACGACATCACTGAACAAAAGCTGGATATTTGATGACATGCCATGATGGGGATTGGTCAAGAGTTTGAGGGAAGATCACAGGTTTTGATCATGATCCGTTTTAGGAGTAGACTATCCAAGTTTGGATGTAAGTATCGTATTTTTCGGCACATATCCACCTGATTTTATCCGTGGAATTCGCATGAAAGCCCTGTTCTGAAGAGTTTTAGTCGAATCTGGTTTCGACGCCATCGTGTGTTTGCATTGCGCACTACCCAAGCCAGTTTGAATATCTAGGCCAGGGATATGGACAACCTGCGGATATGATTCTTCAACTCAGCTGGGGAGGAGACCTCACTGAATTGCTTCGACCCTGTACTATAGTATACTATAGTACCTATGGTCCAATAGCAGAACTATCGCAGAAACACGTGTAAAGCAGATTTCCAGTGGATTTTAATCTTTGATAAATGATTATGACTGGACTCTATCATAGATAACAAGGATGCATCAGGTAAAAAACGCACGGTCAATTTCACAGGGTCCATGCCACTTTTGGAGCAGTTTGGAATTGAAGATGGACCAAGACTAGTCGGCTGCTCAAAGGCAGCCCTCTCTCAAAGTAAGAACCAGGGGTTGATTTCCCTGTAAACATAATATCTATATAATATATCTAAACACTGCATAAACATGCCATGTTGGGTAACCCCATTCCGAATTCCCTACCAAAGGATGACCAGCCTTGGCTGCCTCGGCAGAGGCCTCAAATTTGCCTCGTGCTGATGAGACCTTCTCCCATTTGCCTCCTCCAGGTAGCGTTTTCGGAGCCCTTTACGTAAAGGCTAAACTTGAGAAGCTTGGGAGATGCACGATTTTTTTGATTTGGAATTAAATTAGTGAAATTGTTTTGGTTGGTCACATTCGCAGTTTGATTGGATCTTCCCTACCCAAATTCATGGCATGGAGTTTCCGATTTCCAGAAGTCACGATTTCCGCGGCCAGAACGGGGACTCGCACAGCAATTCTTGGAGGACCTAACTGGGGGGTGGGAAGCGGTTCCGATGGCAACGTCCTGAAGAGTTGGTGAAAGAAGCATTGGGGCTCCAAGCATCCAATGGTGCATCGGGTTCTAATTTATTGAACAATCTACATATAGCATCATATATCATATAGCATATGATATATAATTATATATATATATATATTTAATTATATTTATATAAATTGTATAGATTATATGATAGTAACATATAGTAACTGTTAGTTATACTTGTAAGACAGAAAACGACCGCGTAGACCTCACAAGAATTAGGATGGCATCAGATCCGATCTGGGATGGCCTCAAATCAGATGAAGACCAAGGTCTAAAACAACCAGCAGCAAGTTCTGCGCCACGAAATAAGGAACATGCAACTATTCTAGATGATATCATCAGTTTAATCTTTCAAGTCGGATTCCAGATTTTCTCAAACTCCAGAAACTGTGGAATCTGGAAAAACCGTGAAAAAAACCCAGAAAAAACATGAACACACCATGGAAAAAAACATGTTTTCATGAGACTTGAGACTTTGGTGACTTCGCTTGGGTTATCAGTTCCATCCAGGACTGGGATGAACTCCAACAGCTGGAGGCCTTTATGAGGCAATGCGGTACCATCAAACATGAGGACATTACGGTCAAACATGAAGGTTTCATAGGGATTTACAGGAAATGTGTAAGGAATGAATAATCATGAATTGTGATTTATGATGATTTATGTTCATCATCGATCATTGGATTTAACATGATTTAACCATCAATCACTGTGATTGCATTTGCAGTCTTTGCTTTTTTCTGTGTATGTTGGTAAATGACATTTTTAAGCCAAGTATTTTCTTGCTGACAAACACCGCTTGTAGAGCCCAACGATGGACTGACGGAACATGATGGAACTATAACGGAACTATAACAGAGTAGTCAACAAACCAGCCAAAACGGGGACAGGACATGAAACAAGCAAACATGGGTTTTCAACCAACATTTTGCTAATGGGGCAAGAATCATGTACTCATCCTAGGGGAGATTGATCAGACGTCGAACAGCCTCGGCAAAAATGTTTGATGAGGTATCATTAGATATTATGTATAGTGTTTCTTTGCAAACACAAAACATGAAATGTTGGGACCCTGGGGGTTGTTGGGTTCAGTATTTTGTACTTGCCCATATCTAGGTAAGCCTTGGCTTGACAGTTTGGTGGTTATGGGTGTTTCCTAAAGTGATGGGGCCCAAATTCATTCAAATTATTGTTAATTTTAAGAGGGTAACCAAGGAATCCTCCATGAAAAGAAACCGTTATCCTCTGGTAATCTAAAATAGCTTTGGAAATTGGCCCATTTGTAGATGATGTATGAGGATTTACCTATTAACAACGTGTGATTTTCAATAGCTATGTGAAATAACTAGAGGGCAATGTTTCACCAAAGACAGGCTATCTATGGCCATGATCCGTGCCGTCCATGGTAGCGTCGTTTTCGACGTAGCGAGCCAGGCTGCTGTCGGCCCGTGGTCATGGTCAAGTTCAGCAGCGAAACTCAGTGTGACAGGGGTTGGTAACTGTCCCATTTTGGGTATATTAGACATCACCTAAAATAGTAGCCATGGCATAGACCATATACCGATTTTGGTTGGGTGATGTGAAAAATGGGGACATCTAATGATGACCCATGAATTTTTTGGGACTTGAAACATCAGGACTGATGTTGTGGTTCTGTATTTTTCAAGCAGCAAATGGTGTTCAGGGCGGCTCAACATCAAGATGTCGTGCATAGGACTCTGCAACTCGTTGGTTTGATTGCAATTGTTTGCATGCGCAGACGAATTGAGAATAAACAATTCCGTGGATCTGGGGCACCTAAACCCAAGAGGTACACCGTTAGATTTCAAGGTTCTTGAATCCATCAGATAGATAGTGGACTGAGCGCTGATAGCCAGTCACAGATGGACAGCAACTAGATCGAATCGAAGATGATTGAAGAGAGACAGATAGATAGGCCCGGCAGATCTACAGGTAGGTTTGTTGGAAAATAGGGTACTGTACCCCCTCCAACTGTGCAAAACATCTTTCTTCCATATTTTCCTTATAAAAGCCATCATTTTCTTTATTTGAAAACATAATTTTCCCCATTGACATATCCATAAATTGGGAGAATATCCTCCGTTTTGAGTGACCACCCAGATAGATGGAAACATTTCCCTGAGGTGGACCCGTCATCATATCACCAGCCTGGCTCCGAGTGATTGGCTCTGGTGGAGCGCGACCAAAAAATAGATAGGAACACCCAAAAAGATAGAAACGTACTTTTACTGTTTTAGCAGGATTGCACTTTTCCCCATTTTTGGGGGTTACTATGGGGATGTCGGGATATCACTTGTTTCAAGTGAAAGGAAGCCCAAAGATGTCTATGTCCAACCGGATGAATGTAAGAGAGATGAATCTTTCACTGGCCGGTGCTAAACAAAGCCGGGCCTCAAGTGTTCGGCCAGTGAAGGGTGTGAAACATCTCAGAATTCAGTTGATGCTGCAGAGGACTGTGTGTTCCTCAAAGATGCGGGGTGTGAGTGAGCAATATTTGAATATACCCATGCACAGACAACAGAAATACTGGTAGATACAAATAGTCAAAGAGCTGGATATCAGAAGACCTAGGAAACATAACTGAAACATATGTATCATAATGATTGGATAATGATTTATACTTATCATGTAATGCCATCATCGATTTTCGAAGAGACGTGAGATCTATAGCCCATCGAACTCGCTTGCGGCCGGCCCGGGCCTCCCAGGTGTGGTCCATGTGCCAGGGGAAGTTCAAGGCATCACGGTGACGGTGACGTCACGGGGATCACTGATGTAACTGATGTCACCAGTGACAGACACCAGCAGACTTGAGAACTTGAGATTTATGTTGAGTTAGTGACCAGTGAAAGTTGAGAGATTTCGTGAGTTAGTGACCAAAGTTGGGATTTCCTCTTTGGCCACTGAGATGCTGAAGCCTTTCAAGCCAGGCATAGCGAACAACATCATATGCATGGCGAGCGATTGGCCCCAAAATCATCCAAAATCACTGGGGAGACAGCAACAGACACTTCAAGCAAGGTAAAGTTGTTTGAAACAACTTAATTCATCTTAATTCATAATTCAGATTTATATATATATATAATTCGAAAGGAACTGGACGATATCCACACACCTGGAACCCCAGTGACCCCCTGTTGCTTTGGTGCACCTGGTGAACCCCCCAATTCTATTGGTCATCACATGTCAACACCATCAAACTAAGGCTCGTTTAGGTTCCAACATATATATTTATATATATATGAGCCACCGCAAAAACCCCGGCAATACTAAATATGTATTGGACGGACATTGGTTTATGGAAATTGATGGAAATTGTTAAAAACATACGGTAAGCGATGGGACCTTCCCAAATTAGCGATACCCCTTTTCAAGGTTATGTCATTGTATTTCTCTAATACAGTATCAACATTAGCGATACTCAACTTGGACGTTGATGTTTGTGAATTATATATATAAATGTAGCAGTTTCCTGCAAGCGATAACCCCCAAGTCTACCATATATCATTATTGTACAAACGTGTGGTAAGCGATGGGACCTTCCCAAATTTATGGATGTCCTAGGGTTTTCGAGATTGCTCATATATATATATAGCTATAACATATTATAACATATTGTAACATATTATAACATATTGTAACAAATTCTAACATATTGTAACAAATTCTAACATATTGTAACATATTATAACATATTATATATAACACATTAATGTAAAATATTACATATTTAACATATTCTAACATTTTATTTGTAACATATTACAACATAGTATATATAACATATTATATATGATATATTATATATAACATATTATATATAATATATATATGATATATTATATAACATATTATATATAACAAATCATATATAACATATCGTATATAACAAATCATATACAACATTATCGTATATAACATAGTATATATAATATATTATATATAACATTTTGTACATAACAAATCATATACAACATATTATATACATATTGTATATAACATATTATTTAGAACATATTATATATATAACAAATCATATACAACATATCACATATAACATATTATAGGGTCACAAAGGGGTTATTCAGTTTGTATCCCTTCCATTTCTCCCTTTTCGCCCAGTGAGTCCCGTGCAACGGAGTTTGGCGGCGTTGCTCCGGTTGGCCTCGCCGGAGAAAGGGTGGTTTTTTTGACGGCGTTCACCGTCGGTTCACCGGCAGAAAATCTGGAGGTTAGCTGGTAAACTAACAAAAAACTATGGAAAATCACCATTTCTCATGGGTAAATCAACTATAAATGAGATTTTTCTCCAGAAAATGAATGAAGATGCTGGGATTATCTGGGATTTACAGGTCTGATCTAGAAAAAATATGAAAAAATGAGGGATTCAGACTGGATTCAACTAGAAACATGGAGACTATTGCAAGCAAAGAATTGTGATTTCACCTGCTAGTCAATTGTATGATGTTGCATGGGATTGACCAACAGTCTAGGGGTCTACTCAATGATTATCACAGGCAAGCTAAGGAATCCGAACCCATTTCACCAGTCAAGACGGAGTCTTGCCCATGGCAGATGTAGCTCTACGTCGAACTCAGCACCCCCAACATGGGTGGTCGTTCACATCCCAGGTCAAGCAGGATTGTTTCTGTTCATCTTTCTGTTCGTGGAGCCAGCATCTTTGAAACATGGTTCGATTGCCATCCTCAAGACTCTGATAATGATATATTTGCCTAGACTCCTAGACCTTCAAGGTACCCTCTTCAAAATTAGCAAATTTCCCCAGTGGCACATGTCATTTTTCTATGGGTAAATCGAACATCTACAGCGCAGGAGTTGCCACTGGGAGCCGTTTCCCCACGCCCTGGAGGCCTTGGAATGGTGGGATTCCTGTACATTTTGCCACTAATTCATTGAACCTGGCTTAAACCATTAAAACTGGATGCTAAAAAATGATGTTTGCTGAGAAAAAAACAACATGTTTTGTGGGCCGGTACCCCAATGACTTGAACAGATTTAAAAATGTGATTTCCCTGCTGGAGGATGCTTCAATGAACTAAGCCCCTTGCTTTCCTCAGGCCTTTATTTTGCACCACCGGATCTCCGCTTCATTCCGGTGCGAGCGGCTGGTCGTGGCAACATGGGCGTGTCTCAAAATAGGGTGTAACCCCCAAGTGGCAATCGTAATATGAAACATCTAGGAAAATGATGATTGACCAGAGTGACAAACCCACATGTTTTTGAAGGATTTATGGGAAGAAGTCGAGGGATGCATCCAAATGATTCCAGGTTTGAACATGTTTTTTATCATGTGATTCTCCTGTGGGCGGTCTTTGTCCCAGCACAGGATTTGTTCCCCAAGCATGGATTCATCATAAGGCTGCTAGATCTTTGCTTCCTATGAGGCTGACGGTTTCAACATGTTTCAACCATTTTGACAAATTAGATCAGCTCGCCAATCCACCAATTTGGGAAATGATCCACAATGCCAATGACTAACAATTATTGTCCAACAATCATACAGAGTGGAGGATCTTCTCCGCAATTTTCCATGATTTTTCAGATGTTTTCCAACAACTTGGATGGTTTTTCTCCCCAACTATATACATAACTTTCCCATATAATTCCACCACCTTAAACAGAACCAGGTGCCGTGGCGCTTGCGAGTGACGGCGTATGATGTGGATACCATGGGTGCCGCGGCAAGAAATCACAATGGCATGGGTCATATATGTTTAATGTTAGTAAAGAAATAACGCCCTCACATTTTGATGGTTTATACCACCCATTTGTGGTAAATTTGGGGATGATTTACTATTGTTTTACGACATTTCTTCATTTTTTTATTCAACTTTTATTCTATGATATTTTATCTTATTTAAGTGAATTGTCGACCTACATTTCCAGCCTGGTTCTGTCAAGGTAGCCGGCTCAGGTGTGGGTTGGGGAAGCTGGTTGGTTTATACATGTTTATAGTGGATATGGATAATCTATGATAATCTCCCACGGATGATTGTTTGGAGTACCCCCATTTTTTGCAAACCCCCAAGTCCCCTGAGGCTACGAAGATCTCCTACAGTTGGCTGTGCCTTGTCGACTGCACTCATTGAGTCATCCCAGTTTTTTTGTCAAGGGACCCAGAAAACTCTTTATAGTTAAAATTTATAATGTTATAGCACTTCCTGAAAAGATAGAATATGTGAAATCCCAGTATTTTCAAAAAAATACGTTTCTATCTTTTTGGATGTTCATTGCAATATACATAGATATATGATATATATATATGTCTGATCCATTCATTAATCGATCATCAACCAGTCTGGGATGGTTGGGAGGAATCATCCCAACATCACCTTTTTTAGATAGATTGTACATTTTTTGGGTAGGTGAAAAGCCGTGTAATTTGGCCAACAAAAATAAACTTGTAGAATCTTGTAGATTCCTGATCGTCAAAGAAACAGCTCAAAAGACAGTGAATCTAAAGGAGCAAAGAAATCCGGCCGATTGGTAGATGTATTGCCATCACCTTTGAAATACTGTAGGCTGGCATCCCACCATGGTGGTTTGATGATGATTCATATGATTGATATGAAACCCAGAGAGGTGTCAAAATTTGAGCCCCCTGTAACCCAGAAAGCCTTCAGGAAGAGTTAGGCAGCGTTCCACACCGGAGGGCCACACCAGAGATGCTTCAGCGCCTGCCGCTGTGCTGCTGCCATGTTTTTGTTTTTGTAAACTGGTGGATGTTGGATGGGGCAAGGATGAGATCAGTGCCCCCATCTCAATGATATATACATATATTGAACATATATACTTAAATAATCTTAAATATACGTATTTCAGCAACACAATTGGATCATAAGTCAACACAAAATGTGATGTCAGCAGTCATGACTGAACATTTCTGAACTTATTGGTTGCTGTAGTAGCAGCAAGCTGGCACTTCCAGGAGAAGATTTATCACGAACCATATTGAGCCACAATATGATATCGTTGTAGAATGTTGTATGTGATGTATATTTTCTGCCCCTGCAGTTGATTACAAGGGCATGTTTTGTACTTTCATTGTGGCCACAAGTGACAGCTGGGTGCGGCGATGGAACCATTTGGAATCATATGTTTCTGCACGAAGGGTCCAATAGAAGACCTAGAAACCCAAGCCTTAAATGTGAGTCTTTCTCAATTCTGAAACTGGTCTTTCTCTTCGTTGTTCTTTTCCGTAGCAAACAAAAATAACAAAAGATCATTCCGCCGGCCTCTTATAGTTCTCGCAGGCATTTTCTTTTCACAAGTAGGGTTCAAAGGGTTCATGGGATTCATCCTGAAGCCACTAAGCCCACTGTTTCAACGTGGCAGGTTTCGATATTCTGGCAGTGAGAAAGAGAAGTGCGTCATTTGCCAAGAGGCAGGGCTTAGGACAAAAGGGGAAAACATCAATTTGATGGCCTCAATCAGGTTTGATGATCGAACTTCTGGAATGTCCAATTTTTGCTGTTTAATATGCTTATACCGATACCCGTTCTTCTGTATCCCTATCGTCCATGTATGATAGACAAAGGATTCCGGAATGGACAATGGAACACTCTTACCTTATGTGCGGCTCTGCGCCAGACATACAATGACATATATTGCCACGTCACAGTTGGGATTTTCTATAGCTCTGCATATTATATAGTATCAGTATGTTTAGTATATATATATATGCAATATAATAGATTATAATAGGATATAATAGGGATATTGATATAGATAGATGATTCAATATTGTTCGTTTCGCTGTATTTGGGAGGATGATCCACGCCTGTCTTTTAGGGAGGTCGCTCAACCACCAATCAGTACAAAAATCAATAGCTCAAATTTACCCCAAAAACATGGTTTTGAACAATAATTTATCTTGGCGGGGTCTTTCATTGGGTTGGTTTATGGGAAATTCGACAGGCACCTATGGGTTTCCGCACATTTTTTGCTTACTAACAGCAATTCTGAGAGTATTTTCACTAAGACGTGTATGTAAATTTTGGGTGATGGTATTTACAATATTTTACAATGCTATATAAACAGTACCAAGCATTCTGATTTGGCGTAGCACCTTCCGGGTATTTGATGCAACAGTGAGATTTTTCCATCGCAATCATCGGAAGCTGTTTTGTAATGCACGAATGTAGGGAGTGACCCTTAAACAAGATGTGGTGGTTCGAAGATATAGTTTCATCATGAGTGGATTGTGGGGATATTAAGAGGTGGTTATTTTAACCAACAACAAAAAACTATTAGCCAGCAAACTATTCTAGAGCGATACCAGCATGAATCGTGCTTGTATTGTTTCCAAATGATTTAAATGGCTTTGCTGCGGACTACTCATACCTTCCCAACTGGCTTTCAAAGGGACAGAGCTGCTGGGGATGTTTCACCTCCCCTTTGCCGTTTTTCCCACTCAGTTGCATGTGCCGTGCATGCACATGCTTTGGGCAATGTTCAATACTCCTGTTTGTTGATGAATTATAGGGGTATATACTAACCCATGTATTGGCGATTATCACAATCCAGTATGGGAATTCCTATCATGCAATCAGTGTAAAATTAGATGTATAAATGGACAAAAGAGGGTTTAGGATATTGCTCATGCGGAAAAGAATTGGACTTTGTGCCTAATACGCATAGGCGTAGATGTTGGAAGCCTGGGGTCGGTCCAGCTAGGCTCCATGGTCATGGCATGTCATGGCGAAACATCAGAGTAGATGCTCAATCTACACACCTTGTAACTTCGGCCTATGTATACCCTCTGGTAATTTAACGTAGCTATGGAAAATCACCATTTTTAATGGGAAAATCCACTATTTCTATGGCCATTTTCAATAGCTATGTTAAATTACCAGAGGGTACACGCAACCGAAGAAATTAACCATCCAGTACATTGACGCAGAGACAACACAGCATTTCTAGATCCTAGAGTCCTAGAGAAGCTCATAGATTTCCAGATGTCAATTCATCGGCGGAATCCGATGATCCCAGCTCTCCTGGGTGCAGGCATACGAAATTGGTGAGGAAGTGAGAAAGTTGCCATGTTCGCATACCTATCACAGGCCTGGAGCCAATGTTCAGTTGATGTGAAGCTAGCTCCCAAAACATGGATGGTAAATACATGTTTTATCCCAAATTATATAAGAGGTAGATATCTAATTAGATACAGCTAACAACCGTTGATATAGATCAACTGCTAATCGTTCTTAATAACAACACATGCACAATTGTTGGGGCATTTTTCCCGGAACTTGAATTTTGACGCGTAGTACAGTTTGAAACGACCTCACGTCCAAAAGTGAAATTTCAGGCCCCCTGGGCCGCCAGGTGAAATGTGGTGAGATCATGAAAAATGGCAATCTTCCCCCAGGTCTTTGGCACTTTGCCACATTTTTGAGTACAAACTGAAGTTGATCTAGAGTATACATACATACACAGCGCTTCTAGTGGGCCCCCAAAATGGTTGTCGGTTGTCAAGTTTGGCTGTTCAAGGTATCACAGATGTCCGAATGATTCACAATCTTTTTAAAGTTTGATTACAGTATGAAACCGCTGCAATTTAAATATAAAGAAATGATGGGATATGCAAAGACACTTGCATCTGAAATCCAACACCATGTAGAGTGCACAGGACAAATCCTGACCCATACATATTATATGCATATTGTATATACTATAATATGATATAGTATAATGTCATATCACATCATGATATCATAATTATTTATATTATATTATATTATATTATGTTATGTTATATTATATTATACTATATTATATTATATTGTATTATATTGTATTATATTGTATTATATTATATTATGTTATGTTATGTGATATTATATTATACTATATTATATTATATTGTATTATATTGTATTATATTATATTATATTATGTTATGTTATGTTATATTATATTATACTATTATATTATATTGTATTATATTGTATTATATTATATTATGTTATGTTATATTATATTATATTACACTATATTATATTATATTGTATTATATTGTATTATATTATATTATATTATGTTATGTTATATTATATTATACTATATTATATTATATTGTATTATATTGTATTATATTGTATTATATTGTATTATATTATATTATGTTATGTTATGTTATATTATATTATGTTATACTATATTATATTATATTGTATTATATTGTATTATATTATATTATATTATGTTATGTTATATTATATTGTATTATATTGTATTATATTGTATTATATTGTATTATATTGTATTATATTATATTATGTTATGTTATATTATATTATATTATACTATATTATATTATATTGTATTATATTGTATTATATTATATTATATTAATGTTATGTTATGTTATATCATATTGTATTATATTATATTATATTATATTATGTTATGTTATATACCATCTGTAGTACGCGTCGATGGATGGATGCATGGATGGATGGATGCATGGATGGATGGATGGATGGATGGATACCTTGCTTGATTAGACACACAGAAACACACAGATAGACTCATATCTTTAGATATTGGTCAAAATTATTGGTTGATACTCCAAAAACTGACTAGATATCATTGTTTATTGTTATATTGATATTTTTTGATATATAATTTTGGTCCAAATATTATGGATCACTGGAGATCAGCAGCTTTCTTCGGATCCAGGGCATGCATCGATCGATGGCTGACCACTGGCACTGCCATCTCACTCCAGTGCCCGTGGGGTGACCAAGTTGCCGGGCGATGATCATATGATGATCATTTATGGGTTGTTTATGTTGATTGTGGACCTTTCAGGATTTTTGGACATTTTTGGGAACATGTTTTTGGGTACCAGACTTTATAAGATCAAACATACCATTAAACACGTCTTTTCTTAATCAATGCAATGAAAGTCTAGGCATGAATATGCTAGTTTTACGAGGTGTATTCGGAAAAAGGGCTTCTTGGGCATTCTTGGGGTTTCCAAAAATTGCGGAAGGTCCCAAACTACCCCAATAATTCGGTTTCCACAGGATGATCCCTGCTAAGATCCAAGGTGACTAAGTGGATCACGTTCTCCCCAAAAAGATTCCCTTTACACCCCAATTTGGAAAGAGATGATAGCTTATTTCAATTTATTTCATCATATGAAACATTTATTTACATTTATTTACATTTATTTACCATGTGATGTTCCCAGCGGTTCATCATATCACCAACGTTCCTGGCGGTCCCCCAGCTGTGTCAGTGCCGCCAGGATTTGCAAAGCTCCTGCGGTAGATTGATCCGCGTGGCGGGACCGGCCGGGACCGGCGGGACTGGCCGGCGGCCCAAGCGAAATACCAAACGCAGCCCGTAGGTGCCTCGAGTGCCTTGCACGGAATTGAAAGTGCAACTGCACATAGTATTAAGTGATCTCATATGTAATTGTAAGATATTAATTATATTAATTATAAAGGTATATAAAGGTAAGAAGCAGATATGGCTATGGATGCTATGGGCCTTTGAGGTTCCTTTGAAGTCCTTGGCTCGCACCTTTGATGAATGCGCAGCGGTAGGTGAAGGCAGGAACCAGAACCATTTGAAAGATGTTGCTGACACCAGATTGGACCGTTTTTGTTCCTGTTCCTGTCTGACCAGGATTCCGTGCATTGTTCGCCCCGCCGGTAAGAGAACGTCCATGGGCTGGCCGCGATGACAAAGGAGTAATACGGACAAAGATGCTGGATTTTCCCTGGTTTGTTTCCATTCATCATTTACATCCATGTTTTCACTGTGTAATCTCCATATACTTCATTTCATAGTGTTTATATTATTTTATATTCAGTTGATGCCATGATTTTGCATGTATGATAGCGGGTGAGCACCAGAGACGGCCCAGAAATGCAGCATGAAATCTTGCGCTGCATGGGATTTGATGCGCCTCCAGATAGCAAACAGCTTCACTTTGGGGACCATTTCTGGTGTTAATACGAGGAAACCCCCATTCCAGCAGTTTGAAGAACCTTGTACAGTATATGGATGTATATTATAATATAATATATGTATATACATAATATTATGATATATATATAGATGTAGATATATATATATTATGTAACATGTACATATAGATATAGAGGAGATTGTGTTTGGCTTGATTTGGTTACCATAAACTCTCTGTCCGCCCCGATTGGGCTTTCCTGATCATGCCTGCTAGACCCTAACTTTACACAGAATCATCGGTATTTTTGCCCCAAGAAGTATGCCTTTGCCCCCATATTTACGCGTACTCGAGGCTTAGGCAGATTAGGAATGATGAACAAATTGCGGGAGAAAATCTTTGCGGCGTCCCTGGCACAGCGTGTGTGGCGGCTGCACGAAATCAGTGTACAGAGATCGGTGCAAGGTTGAAAGCACTGTGAATGCTTGAATGTTTTATAGGCTGGGATGAAACATTTTTCAACAATAGTACAGGATGAGTCCTGCTAAATCCAATTTTCTTGCTCCTAGGTATCACAACTCTGTTTGCGCAGGTATATATCCTGCATGGCTTACAAGAAGTACAGTACAGAGGTATGGAGTACAAGATGTCAAAAAAATGTAATATTGAATGATGATCTCCATCATAATTGTAAATTGCCATTTCAGTGCACCAAAATCTTGCATCGGAAAGTTGTGAATTACGGAGGAATTCTGTGTCGCAGCTGCATCCTGCCCCCTGGAGTGCAACGCCAGTTCAGCAGTGCCTGCTTCTGTAGGTGATGTGCAGGAACATGATTTGGTCGTGCACACACAGATGGTCTGCGATGCCGCATTCTGGATCCATGTATGGAAAATTGTAAATATATGAATCTACACACATAATTTGTGTGAGTATATGCATCTAGACAAATATGTGCTCACCTTTACTAAATACCCAAAATGGAGAGATACAGCAGCCACAGATTTGAATCTGCAGTGTTTGGGTTTTGGGTTGAATATGGACCCAGTATTTCCTAAGCGACTGGATGTCCGAATGATGCGCTAATGGCAAAGACCGAAATGGCGCGGCTCTGTCTTCTGACCCTCGCGGGGAAAGAAGCGCAATCCGGACTTGTTGGGATCCACAGATGTTTGGTTATTTTATTGGCACTCAGATGTAATCAGCCAATTCTTAGACTACCCCCGTCATATCCGGCCATATACAATTTTGACCCCCCAATCTGCCCACAATGCTCTGGTAGATTTGCAGATATCCCACAGCCACATGCGACGGCGTTGTGAGTGAAGCATTCATTTCCTATCACTCAGTCGGCCCGTATCTGAACGTTGCATGTCTGGTCACCAAAAAATACAATACATCCTTACCACAGGCAGAATAAGGACATGTAAAGTAAGAACATGGAAGAACCAACTGTTTCTGCATTTCTTTCATCATTCCTGGGATAGGTCGCTATCACTGGTGGCTCAAGATGGTTGACCCTCCAAGACTTGCACAATTTGGATAAACATGATTATTGCAGAACATTATAGATAATAAGTATATTGTGTATATTTATAATATATATATATATACATAACTATATATATATAACTATATATATATAGAGAGAGAGAGACAGTGTCCTTCCTAAATAAATGGATTTAATTGGATTTATGTCCTTGAATGACCAGCCTTTTCTGGCCCCAAACTGGTTCCGGAATGCCCAGGCGGACTTTGACGAATGGACTGTAAAGGGCATCAGGCCTGGGGCTTCCAGCAGCAACTGAAAGGTTGGATTACTGCGGGCATTTTCAGGGAATTTGTCGTGACTTGTATGATTGAACAATATTGAAATTCAACATCAGCAAAACAGTTGGAGGGATTGTCTTGTTGAAGATCAAGAAGATAAATACAAAACAATGCAAAACTTGCAATATCCCAGCATCCGACAAGAAGAAATAACAGGAAACTCTCCATCCTGATCCATCCTGTACAGTCTTCGCTAATTTTGGCAGTTTTTGGTTCTTGAAACTCCAAGTTTTGCAGTTTACTCCGCAGCCTCCAAGGGTAACCCAGTCCCAGGTATTCCATCACTGCAGTGAATTGGAAGTCTCCGGAAAAGAACGTATGGGACCGCAGGTTTTGTGTAGAGATGGGACATCCCACGACTATTTCAACTATTTCTTGTAGCGAGAAGCATTCGAAACGTGCACTCCGTTTTTTTGGAAGATCTCAGACTTTCGGAGTCTTTCAGTTGTTTCTTTGCGGATTGAGAGTTTCACCAAGTAGCATCAACAAAGAGTGTAGTAGCCGTTGTATACTGCAGGTGGTTTCGGAATCTTCATTAATCTTCAGGATTCCATTCTGAATAGGTTGAAGCCACAAGACAGGTGACAACACTAGCTACACTGTTTGCCGGGCTACTGCCTGGGTGCAGGCACTTACATTATGGTTGGATTTTGAACCCATTATGTACAAGTCAGCCGATGTTAATGGTTTGCTGACAAAATGTAGGAGTTGCATGGGTTTGATTCAGCAACAAAATGTGTTTTATCTCCTTCGGGACTTTTTGGGTACAATTGGACTTTTGAATGATGTAGAACTGCGGAAGGTATCAGCTGGCCTGAGCTCTATTCAATTGAGTATATAATAGAATCAGAATAATTTTTCGAACATTGATACAGTAGCAAACATCAATCGACATCTGAAAAACTTAGCCTAGTGACATCTAGTGACCCATGACTTTTGCAGACTTTTGCTAAGATCACCAAAGACCACGAGTTTCAATTCAGCCATTTTGAGGCCGGGTCCGTCCGGCCATGCTGGCGGGGGCCACAATTTTTGAAAGGGGACAGTTCGCGGCCTGAACATCCCAGACACAGAAACTTTTCGAGCCCCAGAAGCCCTATGCTGCCTGTGCTTGTTGTTCATCACCGGGCTTAGCCGCACCCAAGATTGAGCGATTTCACTGTTGAGCGAATGTAATCTTTGCCACTATCAGCCTTTGAAACACAGGTTGACAATGGCTGGCACAGAGGCTTCGTGCCTGTCGAGGACATGACTGAAGAACAGGTGCCAAAGGGTGACATATTTTGCAGCGACAAACTTCTCATCCTTTTCTTGTTGACCTTATGAGTTTGCGTCCATGACAAGCATGTCGACTTTCAAAGATATTTTCCCCGGCAGTTGCACTTAATTACCAATTTCTGACATTTTCTGATCGCTGCAAATAACTGATGTCAAAGTGGACATGCTGAAGGCACGACATTTTGATCTTCAAGAGGTGCATCCTTTGACCCCGCAAGAATCGAAAGCCAAGTGGGAAAACCAAAAGCCATAGAATCCAAGACTTGGTTTGATGAGGAACTTGAAGAACACTATGGATCCTGAAGAACCATGACTTCATTATAATTTATGATTTATATATATATATATATTATAATATTATGTATAAACCTAAACCCACCCAAAACAACTGCCTTTCAATGATCCAAAGGCACAGGAACCCTCCCTGTCCAGCTGTGCTCAGGGCTGGCTGAACGGCAAGGGAGAGCTCTGCTTCCGCGGCAACCTGTGCTGTCGCAGCGCTGAAGTGCAGATTCAGGGCGGCTCCGCGGAGGGCGCTCAACTTACGGTGGGGTGCTGATGATGGGAGATGGCGGGGGGGAAGAAACTGCTGGTTTGGTAAATTGTTTACTGTATATTATATGGTGATACGCCCCCGTTTCTAAAGACGAACGTGGTGTATGCCTGAATCACTGCAGTTTCGGCTTAAGGGGGGCATGAGTGGTGGAGAACATCCTCTACTTGTCTGCGCGTGTGCGCTTTGCCACACGTGGAGACGAGTGGGGTTTCTCCTGGTGGGCCCCTCTAGATCGGCGGGTTTTCAGCAGGAAGCCCTGCGCCGGATCCGGGAGCTCTACGTGGACCTTCTGGACTTAGCTGAAGGCGTTGTCCCTGCAGCTCCCGTGGCAGAGGGAGCAGCGGGGGACACCTCCCGACCGAGGGAGGATCTTGGGCCCGGGCCGGCTCAAGCCTTGGCTGAGGCGAGCTCTAAGGCACCGCCGCCCCTGCCCCCGGACTCAGCTGGCGTTGCTGTGCCGGTTCAAGAAGGCGCACCAGAGGTTCCTCCAGAAGATAACAAGGGAGCAGCTAAGGTAGAAGAGGAGGAGAAGAAGAGAGAATCCCAAAGTCGCTCCAAAGAAGAAAAGAAGGCCCAGCGTAAGGAGAAGAAAAAGGACAAGAAGAAGAGAGACCGAAGATCAAAGGCCACAGGAGAAAAGAAGCACAAGTCTCACAAGAGCACAGGGACAGACAAGACCAGAGTCAAGGAAGAGGAGGACCAGAAGTCTGCCCTTTCAGAAGAAGAGACCGGGGGTGAGGAGAGCAGCCCGGCGAGGCCTCGGTCAAGCAGACGCCATCGCAGTAGAAGCCCTAAGGAGGAATCAAGAGAGAGGAGAAGCAAGAAAGACCACGGGGACGACGACCGCACCACAAGGTCCCCACGTGAGAAGTCTCCTGAGTGTAGGAGAGAAAGCCGCAGACAATCTCCTGAGAGTGGGAGGAGAAGTCCAAAGAGGAGGACTCCCGAGAGGAGGGGAGTAGCAGAGAGGTCGACCTCGCATCGTGACAGAGAGGAAAAGCGGAGGAGCAAGTCTCCCGAGACGAGGGAGCGTGAGAGGAGTAGACAAGAAAGACGGGAGAAGAGGTCATCTCCTGCTAGACACAGAGACTCCCGAGATAGGGGAGGAGATCATAGAGGACATCTGCCGCCTCCAGAACCCTCGAACCCTCCACGACCTTCAGGTCCCCCTCCAGGAGTGTTTGGGGACCCTTATCCGCAGTGGGGTGGTCGTTGGGAGCAGAGGTCAAAGGGTCAAAAGAGGAGACAAAGAAATTGGGATATCCGGCAACACGGGTTAGACCCTGACCGGAAGAAGGCCAGGGTCGAAAGAGGTGGATGAGCCGGAGGCGTCCTGCTCCTGCAGGTGTGGGGAGTCCAAGGCCAGCGGCTGCCCTGGAAGACCCTCCCGATCGTGGGAGGAGAGTGGAAGACGCGTCCCTCGCCTTTGAGAGAGGGGACGTAGTAAAGTCCCACCAGGTACCTTTGGCACTCTTTGATAGAGGCGTGTGGCTGGTCAGTGAGGAGAGCTCGTACTTTGAAGTGCAGTGCAAGTGGGCAGGCAAAGTCGCGGGGGTGACGCTTGAGGCTGGTGAGGCGGAAGCTCAGGTGGAGCTGACGGGAACGCAAAGCGAAGCCCTTCTCAAGTATGCCTGGGGGCAAAGCCCGCCCCTCGTGCGAGCTCACCTTTGCAAGGAACAGTGCGATCAGAAACGCACACGCCCAGACCTGGTGCACTTGCGCTCCTTCAAGCAGTTGGCTGAGGAGGCGGCCAAAACCTGGGAAACCAATCTGGTTGGGGCGGACGGGAGCGAAGCTTTCAGGCATGCAGAGGCTCAATGGAGAGAGAACGCAGGAGGCCGAGGCGAGCATCGATGGGTGTCATCCGACTCGACAGGCAGTCGAAAAAAGAAGAAGAAGAAAGAGGAGAAGCGGAAGGATGCAAAAAAGGAGAACAAGAAAGCCAACGTCAAGAAGCTGGGCGGCAAGACGGTGGCTCGAAAAAGTCTGACCTACCCTTTTGAGGAGACCGGGCACGGCAAAGGAGGAAGGCAAGAAAAGCTCCTGAGAGTGGGAGCCAGGAGAATGGCGAGCCCGGACATCGCCAAAGAAAAAAGAATGGAGGAGAGGGAGAAAGACTCCCGTGTCAGGAGTGGAGAGAGAGACTCTCCTGTCAAAGGCAGCATTTCTCCAGGGGCTGGTGAGGCAAATGCTGGCTGCGATTTTTCGGTCAACCAAAAGACTTTAGCTGGAAGTCAGGGCAAAGAAAGTGAGAGACCGGTGCGTTTGAAAAGTTCGTTTCACCCAGCGGATGGAGTGGCTGCCACTGCTCCTGCCCGCAACTTTTGTACAGGCGATGAGTTTAGGAAGGACTCGTCGGCAGACACGTCGCACTTCCTAGGCGTGGGCCAGGCTGCGGCGAAAAATGATGAGCAGCAGGAATTTTTGGGAATGGTAGGGTTTGGAGAAGTAGGAACTTGGCTTCAGGGTAGGATGGATGATTTCCTAAGTACGCTCTGCAAGGTCAAGCCCTCGGGCAAGGTTTTTCCCTTGCCCTCATCCCTCGCTACCCTGAGTCAAATGTTCCCCTCTGAATCCCCCCAGTGCGTTGCGTTGTTGCGTAATCTTGTATTGTCGTTGAATTCACTCAATGGCGAGGGACTGGTTGAATTAGGGCCACCCTCTCAGTTCCAAGTGAAAATCCTTGAGAACTTGGTTGAAGATTGCCAAAGGGTACTAAGGTGGAGTGATAGAAGTGCTCCTGTCAGCTGGGAAGAGTTTTTTCGGGTACGGGGAATAGACTACAAAGGAGATGAGATCCTAAGTGCACAAAGTATTCGCTGGGAAAATGTGGCTCCTGCCTTGCCTGACGAAGTCGGGGGTGTCCCCTTGGAGCAAGTAGTTGAACTAGGATCCCTGGAGTATGTGAAGAATTTTTCAAAATACCTGCTCGACCCAGAGGATCAAGTTTATACGAAACCCCCAAAGGTCATGGTGGCTCCCGAGCATTGGGAGAATCTGTGTGGGAAGCTCCTGCAAAAGGGAGTGTTTGCCAAGATCCATGAGGATGACATTTACAGAGTACAGGGCAAGCCTGTCCTTAATGGACTGTTTGGGGTTTCCAAGCACGAGTTTGCGGGAGATTTTGAAGTTATGAGGATCATCATGAACCTTATCCCAGCAAATCGTCTGTGTAGAGGGCTTGATGGAGACATTGCTACGTTACCAACATGGTCTAGCATGTCGCCTCTGTGTCTAATGCCCCATGAGGATCTGGTTATTTCAAGTGAAGATGTACGGTGCTTCTTTTATATTTTTAAGCTCCCTGTTGAGTGGCATCAATTGATGGCCTTCAACCGTCCTCTTCCCCCCGCATTGGGCGGTGATCGTCCTGGCCGGTGGTTTCCCTGTTCAGCTGTATTACCTATGGGTTTCAAAAACAGTGTTTCACTTGCGCAGCACATCCATAGGTTCATTGCCAGACGAGCGCTGGTCCGCTCCGGATTAGGGAGTGAGCTGGAAGCTCGTAAGGACAAGACGTTTTCGTCAGGCAACCCGCTGTTCAGAATTTACCTCGACAATTTTGACGAGCTCATGAAGGTTTCAAAGGGAGTTGCTCAAGCAATAGCAGGCTCCGTCTCCCCGCTGGTGTCTAGTTTGCGCGAAGAATACTCCTTGCTGGGAATCCCTAGGCACCCGAAGAAGTCGGTGTCTGCACACCGACGTGCCGAAGTTCAAGGGGCGATTATCGAAGGTGAGGAAGGGATTGCTTTCCCAAAGCCCGAGAAAGCCCTGCGATATGCCCTCCTTGCGCAACAATTGTTGGATAGTGATGCCTGCAGTCAGAAACAAATGCAGGTGGTGGGGGGCGGACTGGTCTATCTTGCAATGTTTAGAAGACCGCTGCTTGGAAGTTTGAATTCAATTTGGAGGTTTATCCTCTCCTTCGAACACTACCCGCCGATTATCCGTCTTCCTATTCCTAAGGAAGTGAAGATGGAGTTGGCAAGATTTTTAGGGTTGATTCCTCTGGCTTTTATGGATTTTAGAAGTAAAGTTTCACCTTTGGTCACAGCTAGTGACGCATCAAAAAGTGGAGGGGGAGTGACAGCTAGCACTCGTGTGACTCCTGCAGGCTGTGTGGCAGCCCAGTGTCCTGTGAGGGGTGACTTGGTTGAACCAGCCGAGGTGATGCAAGTGGTCACTATTGGTTTGTTTGATGGTATTGGAGCCCTTCGAGCAGCAGTAGATGCCCTTGGTTGGAATATCATAGGCCACATCACGGTAGAGAAGGATGATGCTGCTGCCCGGGTGGTGGAATCCCGGTTCCCTAACACTATTAGAGTGCACGATGTCACTGAAATTAGTGAGGAGATGGTTAGCTCTTGGGCTTTGAAGTTCAGTCAAGCGGCGTTGGTGCTGATTGGTGCGGGCCCTCCCTGCCAGGGAGTCAGTGGCTTAAATGCAGCCAGGAAAGGGGCCTTACGAGATGCCAGGAGCAATCTGTTTGTTCATGTCTCCCGAGTTCGGTCGTTGGTCAGACAGTCATTTCCTTGGGCCCAGGTCCGCACTGTGATGGAATCAGTGGGGTCTATGGATAAAGGTGATCAGCGCATTATGTCTGAAGACTTTGGTGACATTCCATGGCTTATTGACTCAAAAGGAGTCTCGCTTGCGCGTAGGCCAAGGCTGTATTGGGTGGATTGGGAGCTTATCGGGGGCGATGGCTCCACCATGGAGAGCAACAACCAAGGTGATCGGATGGTCCTGCTGGAAGCCAGTGTGAAGCAAGAACACTTTCTGCTACCCGGTTGGCAGAAAAACTCAGCTGAACCTCTTCCGACCTTTACCACATCCCGTCCAAGAGAGGTACCAGGGTACAAGCCCGCGGGCCTGCAGCAGTGTACAGTCGATGACAAGGACAGATGGGTGCAGGATAAGTTCCGGTTCCCCCCGTACCAGTACAGGGCTTGTCATTGCTTAGTCAATCGCCAAGGTGCTCTCCGACTTCCTAGCGCTGAAGAACGAGAAGTGATCATGGGCTTTCCCCGAAATTACACGGTTATGTGCATGGGTAAACAATTCCAGGGGAGTACTGCACACACTGACTGCAGGCTTTCCCTTATTGGGAACTCTTGGAATGTCACGGTGGTGAGCTGGATTTTGAGCCAATTGGGTTCACTTTTGGGATTGAACCCCCCTCTCAGTGTACAGCAGGTGGTGGATAGGACTTCACCTGGGTGCTGCAAAGATTTTCAAACTTTCTTGCAGCGTCCGCTTATGCGACCCGGACGCAAGTTGGTAGGCCACTCGAATGAGCTCAAGGTTGTATCTAAGCTGCTGACGTTGGTCAGTATGAAGGGAGAGGATCTCCTGCTTCAAGCCTCGAGCGAGGACCAAGTGAAGTATCACCGGCTGCGGGCTAGTGTCCCAGCCAACCTGTGGCGTTGGAAAACGATCACAGGATGGAAATGGAAAGATGGTTCAGAGCACATTAATGTGTTGGAAATGAGAGCAGTCCTGACATCACTTCGATGGAGGATTGAAAAGCAAAAAATCACAAAGTCCAAATTTGTGCACATGCTTGACTCTCTAGTCTGCCTGCATTCTTTAAGCCGAGGAAGGTCCAGTAGCCGAAAGTTGAAGAGGTCGTTGCTGCGTATAAATGCCTTGCTTCTTGCTTCACATTGCCATCCTGTGTGGACCTATGTTCACACAAAGGACAATCCTGCGGACGCCCCGAGTAGGCGTCCCAGGAAACGAAAATGGGGCCATGCCCAAAAGGGTTCTTGAACAGGCCACGCAAGAAGCAAGGGCAAAACAGCGGAGAACATTAGGACCTCTTAGACAGCTTACGGTTCAGCCCATCACGAAAACTCGGTACCAGCAGGCTCTGAACGATTTCTTTGAATTTTTGAAAAATGAAAAGCTCGTGTTACCTCATTCCACGCTTCTGTTAGACCGCATGGTGGGTGATTATTTAGAACACCTTTGGGCCGCGGGATTTGGACGTACAGTAGCTTCTAACACCTTGGCTGGGCTCCAAGATGCTCAGCCCCACCTCAAGGGCAAACTGCCTGAGAGCTGGCGACTTTTAAAGGCTTGTGTGACTCATGAAGTTACTAACCGAGCCCCACCGATGCCTGTCGATATGTTGGAGGCTATGGTAGGCTATGCCCTTTTTAAAGGCGACCATGCCTTTGCCCTCACCCTATTGTTGGGATATTATGGGCTCCTGCGTACGGGAGAACTTCTGTCTTTGACAGGGGCACACGTGACGGTTAAAAACCCTCGTGGGCCGGCAGTTGTTTCTTTGGGTCTTACCAAGGCAGGTAAGCGGCAGGGAGCTGCAGAGAGCATCACGATACATATAGAAGATGTCTGCAGACGGTTGCACCAGTGGTGTGCTACCAGGCCTGACAAGACCTTAATAGCAGGTCCTTCCCACATTTGGCGTAAGAAGTTTGCTGACACTCTCAAAGCGTTGTCTTTTGACAAATGGGATTTTAGGCCCTATTCGCTCCGGAGAGGAGGAGCTACCAATGCATTTGGGCAACATGGATCATTTGACAAGTTGCTTATTGCAGGGAGGTGGCAATCTCAAAAGACTGCCCGCATCTATGTGAACTCTGGTATGGCGGTCTTGGCTGAGTTGAAAATTCCCAAGACACCTTTTGCTTTAACTCTTCGAAGGCAATATTTGCTTAGCCTCTCCACTAGTTTGCCTCCACTTGAGCCCGTTTCACGTTGTTCACAGGTCAGGGGACGTCGGAAAGAGCACAGAAAAAGAGACGGCAACGGTGTTGCGCGTAACAGGTTAGACCTTCTTTTGTCTCGGGCTTGGCCGGACAAGGGAAGAAAGAACCTGATATACTTTGGCCGGAGGTTCTTCTCGGGCTTGGCCGAGTCCCTCTGGGGGTATATTTGGAAAGGTTGTGGGAAGTGCTCTAAAGGGCTGGTTCTTTCCCTAATTTCTCTTTAAGTTCAATTTCAATTTATTGACAAAATTGATCTTGCAGAGCAAAAGAAGGCAGAAGCTGAGTGAGTCTTTGGTGATACGCCCCCGTTTCTAAAGACGAACGTGGTGTATGCCTGAATCACTGCAGTTTCGGCTTAAGGGCCCCCCCTATTTTGCTCCCACCCTGAAAGAGCACAGAAAAAGAGACGGCAACGGTGTTGCGCGTAACAGGTTAGACCTTCTTTTGTCTCGGGCTTGGCCGGACAAGGGAAGAAAGAACCTGATATACTTTGGCCGGAGGTTCTTCTCGGGCTTGGCCGAGTCCCTCTGGGGGTATATTTGGAAAGGTTGTGGGAAGTGCTCTAAAGGGCTGGTTCTTTCCCTAATTTCTCTTTAAGTTCAATTTCAATTTATTGACAAAATTGATCTTGCAGAGCAAAAGAAGGCAGAAGCTGAGTGAGTCTTTACATATACATATACATATACATATATACATATATACATATACATATACATATACATAATATATATTATATAATATAATTATAATATATGCTTGGGTTTGTACAGCCACTATAGTTAGTGGTTTATCTTCACCATGGTAAAGAGATGGAAGAAAATCAGAGTAAGGTGGTGACTCATCCCTCCAAGGATTGGAGGTAGGTAGTTTGAGGATAACAATGGTTACCAGATGGGATACAATGGGATATATAATATTGTGTATAGGGGACTCGTTCACCAGGTTTGTTTTGACCACTTCCTAACTGAGATATCTTTCAAGGACAATTTAGCGGTTGGTATTGACTAAATGCTCCTTTGCCATCCTTTGCCTATATGTAGAACATGTGTGCAAATGCGAATCTATTTGCGGCAAAAAAAGCCTTTGTGCGTATGAAGTGCACAACAAGTAGTTGGGTGTTTGATTTGCTTTAAGCTGAACCTGAAGTTTCACTGAAAGTGTTTGAAGAGTCCGTTCACAAGAAGCCATTTCACCCCACTGGCACTGTGACACTAGCAAAATGATACCCCAATTCCTAAATAGGGATGGCAGATAGGTTTCCCTCATTTGTAGGCGGCTGTATGTGGCTCCGATGTCCCGCCAGCCCTGGGGTTCCCCGAGCAAACAGCTGCGTCACTGAGGCTGATCATTGCACGTTGGCCTTGTTTTGTCTCAGATGGACGCCGTAGTCCTCGCCGTGTACGTATCTCTTTCCATATCATGGTTACTTCGCTGCAGCGGCTGTGATCTGTGGCCGACGTTTCGGCCGAGGTGCGCGCATCTTTGGGAAGTGCTTCATGTCTCTCGGCTGACCTGTTCGACGGCACGTTGGTTGGGGGGGGGTTCGGGTTTCGGGGGGTGGGGGGGATGTGATAACGTCCGGTCCTTTCCACGACGTTCTTAACGTTCTTCGTTATCTTGCAACATCCAACACGCTCTTGATGCTACGTCATGGAACTTGTTCTTGCAACATCCCACACGAACCGGGTGTCCTGGAGTTCGACACGGCTGCAACGGCCACGCAAGCCCACCCACAAAGATCTGAGCCTCGTATGTGTTTTGCTCCAGTTTTCCACTCAATGGAAAAACCTTCTGCTGCTCGTGTGAGTCCTGTGAAAAAAACCATTCACAAAGGAAGACGCCTTATCTTCAAGCTCAGAAAAGTCAATGGTCAAGTGAACACAAAGAGTTGCGCAGTGCTTCCGCTGCCTCCGAAACTTGCTTGCAAAGGGTCCTCGGCTGGTGCAGAATCTTTCTTGGAAGTAGCCAAAGGAGTGACTCAGAAGTTGAAACCATGGGAAGCACATCGCTTCTGCAGATGGCTCCCCGGCGCTGCTCTTGCCAAGACTCCAAGTTTGAAAGGTATTGCCCATCTCCGCTTCATATGGACGCCGCTGGCCACCCTCCCCAAAAAAGGTATGACCCAAGACTATGTGACACTGCTGCGCAAACTGGTGCAAGATGGGATGGCAAAAGAAAAACAAGACAGTTTCATATTGGCAGCCGGTGACAGTGCGGCTGAAGGTTTGGCAAATGTCTCGAAAGGACAACTGAGACAGATGGGCCTCTTGTCAACCATTGCGCGTGACAAGATCGAGCACCGCAATCTGCTATGTGCGCACTACTTGAACAAGGAGCCTGGCTTGGAACGCGTTCTTCGAGCTCTAGCCGTACACATAGGCAAAAAGCGTCAAATGGATTAACAAATCCATCGCAATGTTTCCAGAAACCTTTGTGGAACTTGTGCACGCAGTGGAAAGCCACTACTATCAGCTTTTGGGCCGCTGTGGAAAACACAGATTGCATTGGTATTTGCAATGAAATTTAATGGATCTCCATTTTCCTTGGCGTTCGCAGGGGTTTTGCATCCTCATTTTAATGACTACGTACGGACACTTGACAAAATCGACAACCCTTCCACGGAATTTGCTTCTTCCATCTTTAAACAACAACACATTTTGTTAAATTGATTCTTATCATCGACGGACATTTTTCAAAAATGTCCGCGCGCCCCATGATCAACAAATGATGAGTTCACATCTTCAGAAACACCAAAAACATTGGAAAAACATGGAAAAACCATATAAAATAGACATTTGCCTACGCAGTAGACCTTGGAATTCATAATGACCCCGGGTAACCTAGGGGCCGGAACCTCAGATGTTGATATATGTATGTGTATGTGTATATATATATATAAAGAGATCCTGTTTATGCCATCAAGTAAATCATAACCGCTCTTGCCAAGAGAAGTGACCATGTGGTAGGAGTATGTAAGAATTATATTATATAACAATACATATACTATCTGCACATATACATATCGCATACACATGTTCATATACATATGCATACACACATATCATATATTATATAATATGTATATATATATATATATGTACACATTACACACACATATATATATATATACATACATACATATGTGTATGTATATATATATATATGTATATTACAAATATAACCAAGTATGACAAAGATATGACTTGTATAGGACCCCAGATCTCCCAGCACCGTTTCAGGAGGTCCGAATGGGGAATTCGGCGCATGGTTCCGAGGTGGCGGTCTGGGGCGGCCTGTGACCTGGTGAACATGAAAAATAGTTGGTACAGTAGTTATGGATGTTCATCCCACAAAATACAATACAATATATATATATATATTATACAATTTATATAAATATATGATGATATGGCTGGAGATCCGAATATACTACAGCACAGTATATACATAAATATATAAATAATATATATATATATATTATTGTATCATAAATTTTGATTCATCCCGGATGGACTCATCTCGGTAGAAGTTAAATGATGGGGGTTTGAAATCCTATGCCACTGAAATCAGAATGAAATGACCCTGTTAAATCATCATAGTAAGTCATCCCCTCCCATTTATTTTCCTAGTTTTGATCCAGACCTTGAGGCCATCGTTCAAGGGAACCTATAAACAGCGATCATTTGTGAGAAACCCACTTTGTACATCTTGCCTTGCCAGCTCTCATCGCTGCTTGTTGAAAATCAATGCTCAACTCGGATGACCGTCCGGATTATGGTGAACGTATGTGAACGTCACATGGTCACTTGGTCAGTTCCCCAGTTCAGCTAAACACGACACGACCTACTAACCTGGTTGCCATCAGTTTTCCAAGAGGGCATCCGAGGCATTCCAAGGCTAGGATTTGGGTGACAACGCCATGCACTGGTCCATTGAGCCATATGGCACCGACCACCTGTCACCGCCCGGGTCCCGGAGTATGCGTCAGCAGATAGCAGTCAACCTGACGCGTGAATTCACCAATTGCGTTTGAAAGAGAATATGTCACTGTTTGTCCCCAACACCATCACTTCCAAAGATTTAGCCTGAGACTGCTAGCAGCTAGCAGTCATGTTTGGGTGCCGTTACCTGTTGTTTTTTTTCCTATGGTAGGGACGGTGTACCAACTCATCAGTATCCCATCAGTCACCAACAGGCTAAACCGTCACTTCAGAACCGCAACCAGCAATCTGAACCTAAAATTATGAATAATGAGCAAGTGCAGCAATATCCAGAATCCAGATGAAACCAACACGCATCATATCATTCCAATCCAGTCATGGACCTGGTGCATTCCAGCTATGTGACCTGTAGCCGTGGCCCCTGCGTCCGTCATCACCGTGCTGTGGCACGTGTGGTGCGGCGCGCGGAGGATGACGTCAGCCGGCGTGGCCCGCTGTCGGTTGCGGCTCTGGCCCTGGGTGCCCTGGCGGTGGACGCGTCGCTGCGGCGCAGCGCACGCTATGCGCCCGCGGGACCGGTGATTTGGCCGCCCAAGCTGTTCAAAGAGACGCTGAGGAAAGAGCCACCTGGAAAATCTGGAAATTCACGGGACGAAGTTCGGACGAAGGAAGTTTGGTGATGTTTGGTCCATGGGGTGAAGGAGTGGCCTGATTTCAGACATGTGAGGCCTCCACAAACTCTAACTTTGTTCATCACTTTGCAAAAAAAGATCCGCACACATCCAGCGCAGGATGCTTGCCACCGAGGCTTGTCAAAGGAGAGATCTGGGGGATCGAGCAAGTGATTGCATTCTTCACGGTATCTTGGTTGCCTGGAACAAGAATTTGAAAAGAAGGCGAACAGTCGACACATTTTGAGGGATAGAGGACTATCCTGTGAACAACTTGGCAAAGATGTTTCTGAGTGCACTCAATGGCTTTGCATGGAAGTTTATGGAAGTTTAGTCTCTTGTGTTTGTTCCCAGATGTGCTCAGCTCCGCCCATGGACGGTATCAACTTCTCCCAATGCAGAGCCAACCTATCCTAGCATTGGTCTGAGAGAGAAAGTGACAGAAATCCACTAGATTTGCATAGATTTGCTGGTAAACACCAGGAAAATCCATGAGCAATCTAGCAACCAAATGGTTTCCTGAGTTTCCTTGTGCCGCAAAATCTCTTTAGATGTTCCTTCATTCAATCCCTTGGGTTCTACATGGTTCTTCCAAGGTCTCGGCCAACATCCGCATGTTGGTGGTTCGCCTTCAAGATGGCAAACTGTGGGTGTGTGGTCCTATCGCTCCCACGCAGGAGTGTTTGAATCTCCTGGATGAACTGGGGGAGGTGGGGCATTTGGTGGTGCCTGGAACGGCCTTGGAACACAAATCCTCTTTGGCGGACTTTGCGCGCAGCTGCTCTTGCAACCTCTGACTGGGGCAAAGCTGTAGGTGACTGGCAGGGGTAAGAGGGGTAAGATGAGTTTCCGGACATGGCCAAGACAAGTCTAGATTTTGGTCTCCACTCTATGGGGAATATATCGTTTGGATGCTGGCTAGATTTTGAAAGCTCCACTTCATCTTCATCCTCTATTTCAGCAGAAACCATCCTAGAATTGGATGAAGAAATTCCCTTATAGTCTTATAGTAGTCAGTAAAACCATGTAAAATCCTCCTTTTCTGTAAATTCTCCCTTCAATCCATTGACCTCAGTGACCTCAGGTATCTATCCCAAGGCCTCCGTCTGGGTTTCACCGGGCCAGGGTGCCTCACCCACGGATCCGCCTTTGGGACCGCGCATCGATGGTGTACTTGGAAGGTCCTCAGCGCCGTGGGAGAATGAGATCGAATGCAAGGTCTTCTATGTGGCACCACCTGAGCCATTTCTATAAGTTCATCATACCTGCTCCATGGGGAGTAGATTTTGCTTGTGAAGGGCTTGGATATGTTCAATTTTCGATATAGTTTACCAGTCATTACCACGCCATGGAGCAGGGAGGCAGATTTTTTTTTCCTGTTTGTGGTTTTCTGATGTAGAAGTAATCCCCAATGATACGTTTTACTCCTAGCAATCCTTTTTTTTTGGTTGGTGCTCTGCACGCCATTCTCAGGAAACCGCTGGAACCTATGCAGAGACTGCCTTCTTTCACAAGAAGACAAAGACGCTTCTGTTGACTGATGCGGTCTTGAAGGTTCCCCAGCAGCCGCCTGAAATCCTGGCATCCTATGGTTTTTTGGGCAGCAGTCATCCTGTGGCCGGTTGATACTCATGGAGAAGACAGGATTTGAGGTCCAATTTCTGGAAGACACGCCGATTTTCCCATGGATTTTGCCAGGGTGGTGAACCCAAGACCCCAAAATTCTGTTGGTTGATTGTGACTTCCAAAATGGATGCAACATGATGCAACTAACAAAATGGCAAAGGCTGTCAGATTTGACCTTTGAAGAACCTTTTCTTAAGGGGGTGTTGAACTCAAGACCCTTGACAGCCTGGTGTCAAAATAGTCAGCCATTGACTTGAAACACGTTTTGTGGAGGTTGCCCCAAAGAAGAGTAAGTAAAACAAACATTGTAGCCACATCTCACATCAATGTAAAAATAATGCAATGAAGAATTGTTTAAATGTAGCAGTTTCAAGGTTCAACATGTTGGACTACATTTTTTGTTCTGCAAACAATTTCCGTTTTTTACATTGTTTTTGGGGCATGGAGAACTGTCTCAGTCTCAAAACAAAGCGCTCCATGTTTGATTTTTCTTTCTTTGGGGGGATGATGGCGCCGCTTGATGCTGGTATGACAGATGTTTGGCATTATTTTCCACCCACCCAGACCACACAAACACCGACCAATGGCCCAAAGCATACACTCTTTCCTCGTTGATGCAGTTGATGCTTGATGTTTGAGTTCTACTAGCAGCTTCGGGAATTATTCATAGTTACCGGGTGTTCCACATCTATGCTGATTTAGGCTTAGTTTACCCCAGGGTATTCTATAAAATTCCTGCAGCCACATGTCCACCCTGGGCTCCATGCTGAAATCCTGGCACCGCAGCTGGAGGTTACGATGGAACGCCGCGCGAGCTTTCAGAGGCAGAGTGGTACTACAAGCTCTTTGGTCGAATCATTGTAGAATTGACATGGGTGTGTCTGAAAATGGTGCATACCCCTCAAAATGGCTGTTTAAAAAGGGCTGATAAGTTGAGAGGGTACCCTATTTTCAGACTAACCCACATGGGCCTCGTGAATGGAGGGAGCGGGGAACCATCGCTGTGTATCCACATAGTCTTTTTCCTGGGGAGCCAAGAAGCCACAATGCGATTTTCCCAACCACATGATAGTAGGGGTGCTTGAAATTGGGATATATGCCCCAAAAACCATTGGTTTCCCCCAAAACTATTGTTTTCCCCCGTCCAGCTTCTCAGTTTTTGGATGAGTTTGGGGTTCCCCATTTTCAGAACTCCCCACATGAACATTGGTGGGCAGGAGTTTGTTGCGATACTTCGTATATAATAATAAGCACAATATATTTGCAAGGATCAACACCAAGGGAATCGACAGTACTTCAGCAACAACAGACAGACGCAGGGATTTAAGCGATAACAATCATAAGGGATTTAACAATAGCTTCGCAGTAACTTAAGGGATTCAATATATTCAATAGTACGTACTGTAGAACCAACATTTGGATGGATTTAGGTTCTCCAAGAATCAGCAAAAGCCAGGACATCACCAACTAATGGCGGAGCCGTATCCTCTTGTAACCTGACCTCTCCGACACTGGTCCCATTGAAAACTGAACATGTCAGGTTAGATTCCTGGAGGGTGTAGTGATTGGTTCCTAAATGATTAAAGTCTCACACAAAATCAACGCAATCATGAATAAGTACCAGTACAAGTAATTTAAGGTTGGTGAGATGGCGCTTCGGCGACCTTATACTTGCAATTTAGTGGCAGGGTTCCTAATTTCCCCAAGTTTCTATTGTTTTCCATTTCAGCCGGGAAGCATCTATGAGTACCTCCTGGCTGGCAGGGAATGAAAGAGGTATGGCAATGAGCATCTAGATTCCCAAACAACCTCATGACAGAAAGAGAAACCGGTTGCCGGCCTTTCACTGCAGTGTCTGGAATGATAAAAATTATCGAAATTGAAGAGTGAACGGGCTCAAGAAGGGGTGGTAGACTCTTTTTCCATAATCTTTGGTGTCGGATGGCATTTGTATATATTTAGGGGAAAACACGGTGGAACTACATCTTATCATTTCTTGACTGGGATTTGTGTTTGGGGTGTGATCATGAATCGTGAATTGACCACCCTGGACAGATGCCCTGTTGGCCACGGGTGGATTTTTGGACGATGATTCCCCGAAACTTCATCTTCATGGAACCACCATTCAGCACTCTTTTCCGTTCTCTGCATGTTCTAAATAGAACAATGAACCAGTATCCGGTTTATCTCCTTTTTTTTATACCATCTTTTCAACCATAGACTTTGGATGACTTTGGGATGATTCCCTGGTTGCCACCTGAGGTTCTTGGCCTTCAATTTCCTGGAACTTCGCGGCCAAGATCGACAAGACTTTGATGCCTTAGCCAAGGCCAAAGGAGTTGTGACTTGCCTCGGGTCCTGTGATGAGTTGGGCCCCGGTGTCACACAACAGGTTTTAATGCGAAAATCATTGGAAAATCATCGAACTAACTGGGGATGTATGATATTCGAACCAACAATCAAACACGTGGGGGGCGCTGAGAACTCCCCGAAGCAAATGGAAGGTAAACTCATAGGAAAATCATCTTGAAACGGTGGATTTTTGGGATTTTCCACGTTGGATTCCTGAAGGGTATACCATGGTATACCCGTAAAATGGTTGTTTTCTTAGGGAACTGTTCTTTTTTGGGACTAAAATGTTGGAGCACGGGATCCCCGTCGTGTTTTTGAAGTTTCCAGGTCCAACATTTTCCTCGGACTTGGATGATTCAATGATGTGTCCTATGTTTTTCTTAGGAAACCACACAGATTCCTCAACATGTCACATTAAAAGAAGTGGACCTTCATGTGATTTTCAATATGTTCGACAAGTGTTTTCTCACCACGGTTGTCTTGAATGAGTTCCCTTTGAATCCCTTTGATCTATGTAAAACGGTGGTGGTAGTCCTCAAGGAGGTCTGTCCATCAATATGCAGGAGGCACATGTCAAATTTGATTAGCCCAAAATGGAAAGGTAAACGCGACTATGCCAATATAGTGACTATGTAGTGACTATGTAGTGGTACTTAAAAGGAGAAAGTATGTGGTCCCCTAGACCTTTCATTTCGACACACACAGACACACACACAATATGTATAATATATACATAATATAGCAATACATGACACGTGTCATACATATCTAAGCAGTGTTACTTCCCTAATCTGCTAAAAACCAAAGGTTACATGTTCCAGTGAGATGTTGAAACTTTAAGTCACGAGTCAATGATTCTGCTGAAGGTGAGCCCCATCTTGCGCTTCACACTGTATCCCATTTGTTCCTTGCCTTGCACAGCCCTCTTTCAACGAGAAATGAAGCTGGGATCATCTGGGATGATTTTTAGATCAGGTGTTTGGCGATATACCGTGATATACCCCAAGCAATGACTGTGAAGCAAGGGGTTATAACGGGTATATCCCAGACTTTAGTTGGATCTTCTGGGTTGGATATGGTTGGTATCATATATCTATCAATTATCTATCTAGTTATATATATATATATTTATTTACATATGATATCATCACTTGTGATTACTTTTCTGTATGTACCAGGTGTCAGTGTTCTATGCACCGACCTTGGTCTTTTATCTCAGTCACATCACTTGTTGCTTGGGGTCTGGTTTCCCCCCAAAATTATGGGTTACTGTATACCAACATCTTTGTTGCTTATACTAACCAATTGTTTTGCTGCAACCTGGCTCATACCGGCACTTTCACGGTTTCGACGTCCCATTTTCATAGATCATCATTTTGATGAATCATTTTCTGCCATTTGTTTGCGAATACACCTAACAGCATGTTTGTTGGCTGAATTTTTATACCATTTCTTGTTGAATCACCCCTATGTAATTGGTTAAATCCCAAAATATTCTGGCCGGCGAAACCATTTTTTTTTTCGTTGGTAAAATCTCAACTTCTGTTGGTAAAATCCCACATTTTGTGTTGGTTAATTACATGAGCGGCCACAACTATGTAACTATTGTTGCTTAATCCAATTTATTCTTGGTCAAATGATGTCAAGTCCCTTCGTTTTTGCAAAATCCCAATGTTTTGTTGTGAAATTTCACTTTGATCCCCATGTTTTGCTAAAACAATGCCAATTGTCCTCATTGGATTGTCCTCTAAATTTTTCCAGCGCCAGTCCCGTGCAAGGAGTAGGCAGGCGACGTCCATCATCCCGAAGTAATTAATGTTGGTTATCCCATCATATCTCATGATATCCGTGTAAAATGCTGGGGAAATTTATACTCCCATTTTTCTTGCTTGAATCTTCCATTTTCAGACATCAAGTATTGTGTGTTAGGTCAGAATCATATCAGTATAATATTCCTTGAATCGATATATATATATCTTCCATTATATTATCTCATGCTGTAAAAATTGTACCCATCAATCCCGGTTTGGCCTTAGACACTTAAATTTAAATGGAAATGAACCCAACTTATCCAACTTTGCTGCTTGAAATCACCCACACTTTTGCGAGTTACATGGTGAGATCCTGTGAACAAATCATCTTAAGTCATGTTAAAACATGTTCGCTGCAACCCTGACGTTGCACCGTGTCTGACTTCAGGTGGCTATAAAGATAAAGTTGATGTTACTACCCCAATGAAAATATTGTTCATAGAGGGTGGCGAATTTTGATCCCTTATGAAGATAAAGTTGATGTTATTACCCCAAACAATATATTGTTCATAGAGGGTGGCAAATGTTGATCCCTCATGAAGATAAAGTTGATGTTACTACCCCAATCAAAATATTGTTCATAGAGGGTGGCGAATTTTGATCCCTTATGAAGATAAAGTTAATGTTATTACCCCAAACAATATATTGTTCATAGAGGGTGGCAAATGTTGATCCCTTATGAAGATAAAGTTGATGTTATTACCCCAATGAAAATATTGTTCATAGAGGGTGGCAATTGTTGATCCCTTATGAAGATAAAGTTGATGTTATTACCCCAATCAAAATATTGTTCATAGAGGGTGGCGAATTTTGATCCCTCATGAAGATAAAGTTGATGTTATTACCCTAATCAACATATTGTTCATAAAGGGTGGCAAATTTTGATCCCTCATGAAGATAAAGTTGATGTTATTACCCCAATCAACATATTGTTCATAGGGGGTGGCGAATTTTGATCCCTTATGAAGATAAAGTTGGAGTTATTACCCCAACCAACAAATTGTTCATAAAGGGTGGCAATTATTTAATGTGATGATGATCATGATGTGATATGATGATGATGATGATGATGATGATGATGATGATGATGATGATCATGACGATTGTAAGTGTGGAGCAACGTCCGGGTTGGGGCGAACATGTTTAAACATGGTAAAAAAACATGGAAAAAACATGGAAAAACATGGAAAAAACATGGAAAAACATGGAAACACATGGGAAAACCATGGTAAAACCATGATAAATCCCAATAAAACAATGGTAAAAACATGGCAAAAACCACCCATGTCTTCTACCAAGGTCAAGCCCAGGCCCTCCGCTGGGTCACCTCGGTGGCTGCATGGCCCTTCCGGCAGGCGCTGGCGGCGCACCTGGCAGAGGGGCCCTTTCCGTTGACGCCACAGGAGATGAAGAGTTGGGATGACATGGTTGGTTTTTGATGTTTTTTGGGCCATATATGTATAATATACATTTAATAAATATATATTTATATACATGTGTATCTATTTGTATATATATATATATATGTATTGAAATGCGTATTTGTATATATATATATATATGTGTGTTCAAATACTGGTTAAGAACGAGATTCCGTTATTTATGATCATCCCCAATGTATAAAGGGTAGTATAATCCCCGAACTGATCATCAACCAACAGGGGTCTTGAATACTGCTGGAAGAAATGGGAGATCTCCAATAGCTGGATGCTTTAGTTCATGGAAAACCCGAAGCGAAAATGCATGATTTGAGGGTACTCCTTTTTTTGGAAGCCTCCATTCCTGTATATATGTTATATATATATATATATATATCTATGATACAATACATATGTATATATGGTATAACATGTATATATATATACACATATATATATATACACGATATGATATATATATACATTCACAGGTAGTACAAACCATAAACATCCATAGACAAAATGTACAATTATGGAGATTTAATGAAAAACTGCGACCCATTTGAATTGAAAATGCTTACTGTAGTAAGTGATGTATCACTATTTACTGGCATGTCATTGGTGATATCCAACCTACCAAAAAGTCCAGGAATGATCAAATTGGAGGGTAACCACGTGGCCAGTAAAGCTGCTGGCGAACATGCTAGATTTGTAGATTTGTTTTTTTCTTTCGCACGAAATGTCTTTGCCCGCTGTGCCGTTCGTTTCCAAGAGGGTAACCCTTGCTCTTATAGCAAACTTTAGGTGAGTCATGTGTCAGGATTGATACTCACATATCTCTCATGTTTGTTGTTGCGTTGATGTTAGAATTTCCCACCTTTGTTACTTTTTCCGAGGTTTCTTGATTAATGTCCTAATTATGTGTGTTGATCAGAACATAGTAGAACCCATATATATATATATATATGTATACATACAAAAGTGCTGGTTGCAGTGTGTTGGCTCAATTTGAATTTTTGATTCATGAGTTGTTGACTAGACCGGGTCTCAGATTCATGTAATTTTCCGTAAACTGACACATGAGTTGTTGACTAAACCACACTTAACGTTGCGCTACCTTGTCCCTAAACATACTTAACCCCCCAGTTCCATGCGAAACATGACTGATCCCCTTCCCAAAAACATGCGGTAGTTTCACCAAAACGGTCATTTTTCACCACTTTTTGCCACTTTTTTCCAGGACTTCCTGGAGGCTTTCGGCTTTCTACAGCAGCGCCGCAGCAGCTGGGAACCCGAGGCGGCACAGCTGGTGCGGCTCAGGCAGGCGGCTGAGACCTTGGATGGTCCACAGGTGGGGTGGTGTGCTGTTGGGATTGGGTTTACCACAGAAGATGATTAGTTGAAGTATTAGTTGAAATTTGTTTATTAGGGTTTTAGTAGCACGTGTTTTGATCAATTTTTGTGTGGGTTGGGTCTGTTTTTTGTGCAATTCAGAGAAATTGAATGACACATCCCAGAAAAACAGATGCAAAGGAGTGCAGTGCACAAGCTCAAACTAAGAATTTATGATTCTTGGGGAAAATTATCACTTGAACTTTTGACCTACGTTTTGGGTCTATTCCGTGGCGTGATATTCGTGTGCGGATTTGGCATTGATATATTTCTGTATGGAGGGGTCGGAGGGGCCCTCCAGTTTCATGGTGTAGAAGGTGCTATGGGATCCAACCACAAGCAACATGACAGAATGGACATGAATGGACGCAGCAATATCTCTTAAGCTTGGGAAAAAGAAGGGCTACAAGATGTTGCCATGGGATGAGGATTTTTACAATTCTGGCCGGCATATTCTGGCTATACTACAGCATAAAAAAACATACAAAAACTATACAGAAGTTCTCGAAAGTTGCTGAGAACTTGGAATGTTCTGACCTTCCAAGAAGCATTTCACATCATTTCGCCACCTTTTTGTGGGTTTCCTTTTGGCAAATTCCATTATCATATGTTCCACTTTTGCTCTCAGTCAAAAGGCACTGGAGAGTCCAATTTGGACACCCTGGCTCTGAGTGAGCTTTTGGCAGTTATATTTTAATCGGAGGGATCGTTTGTGGATAGTTTCTTAGCAACGCCCGAAAAACAAAGAAACATATGTGTATATATATATAATAAGTGAGTGAGTGAGTAAGTAAGTAAGCAAGTATTTTACCGCTATTTTCAGTAGGGTTTTGTTCTCTATCTTTTTGGGGGTTGCGACATATATAGGTTCCTTGATAGCAGTCTTTTGAATAGGCCAGAAACTGCTGAGAGTAGCGCGGAAAATCCGTGCGCCCTGTTGACACTGTTCGCATTCGGCGGGAAAACATGGCTGCATTCAGGTGTTGCCACTTAGCCAAAATTAGCCAAGCAGTTAGTGCTACTTGTGAAGGAAGTGGGGATGTAGGAAGCAGACATGTGGGCTACAGTCGACGCAAAATTGCGATCCGGGTTTGTCTGAAAATATAGGGAACAGCTAAAATATATGGGTGTGTCGCCATCAGATTTTGGGGGTACCCTATTTTCAGAGAAATCCATAGATCGCGGGAAATGGTTTACTCTCAACAGCTGAGTCCAAGCTCCCAGGCACCTCGTCAAGTGAAAGCCGGGCAAAACGTGCGAGCGATGGGCAATGGGGGAGCTGGCCCGGCCAGGAGATCGAATTGATGGATCCAAATGATCCAAGTTTGGCTGAGACCAAAAAGTCTGAACATGTAGCATTTTTGCGCTGATATGTGAACGCGTGGATCAACTATTTTGTCAAATATATGGTTGGTATTAAATTCATGTGGTCAAAAGTCAAAACCTATTACTACCATATTTTGGGGAATGAACATGCATAATTAGCTATTTTAGGGTACCTAGGGTGCCCGCCATGTCTTGAAAATTCAAGAAAAAGACTTAAGAGTCAGTAGGAATGCATTTGGTTGAATGCCTTCAATGACTGCAGGTACAGGTGGCCTGTGAATCGAAAAAGAAGGTGGTTGTGGCTACCAGTAGTATTCTGCAGTGTTGCGATTGCGAGAAGATGTATACAAGTGTAAGAAGATCTTGCAAACTATGGATGCAAAAGAACCGTGTCTACATTGAATATATATATATATGTATGTGTATAGTATGATGATGACAACCCTCCCACACACACAGACACATATATATATATATATATAGAGAGAGAAGACAATCGGTTGCTGTCATGATCTCTGTCAAGGACACATCATTTTACAGTAGTTGCAAATGGAGCCATCCACGGGTCCACACAGAAATACTGATGAACCTGAAAGCTGCTGGCTGCCCTCAAAAGGAACACATCCGCTGCTTAACCAGGAAGAGACTCCAATTGTGATATTTAATGCAAAATCAGATTTGGAGAAGTGAAGATCCGCCGCAGCCATGTCCCCAGCGATGCATGCCGTAGTCACATCTTAGGCTAAATGTATGGTCAACATGCCCATGTTGGCAGTAGTTGATGATGAGCATGTGCAGACTTCAAACACATGAGCTTGGGATCAGGGAGGACTGTGCATGAAATCAGCGGTTGGCAGCAATGAGTTGATATAACATACAGTAAGCAGAGTAGCGTTGATACCGATATTTCATCAACTATGGTACGCACTACCGCTTTCAATTTCAAGCAGGGTGGAACATATCTCCTTCCTTGATGGTGTACCTTGATGATGTACTGTATGGCTGTATATATCTCAGGTGTCTCCATTTCGCCATATCTCAGGTGTCCATCAAACTATGTACATGATGCTAGTCTTGGAAAGTATTGGACTGTCTTGTGCAATCACCAAGAATGACCTTAAATCTGCTTTCAAAATTGTTTTGAATTCTCGAGAAGCCTTGCTTTGTTGAAGAAAAGCTGCTCATCATGACCACGCCACGCACCCTACGTCCCTACGTGCCAACGATACGCGATGTGCCACATGCGCAGTCAGACAAAATAACAGGGGACTGAAGGGGCCAAGCTGCAGACGGGTTCTTCAATTGGTTCTTTCAAATTATCTCACAGATTTCAGGAGTGTTGGCCAAGAAATCTTGCAGATATGATATCACTATCAGCTAGAAATGTTGGGCACATCGCCAATCAATCTGAGGATATAAGCAAGGAACTTGCGGATGTGACTAGTTGGTGATTTTACTATTAATACTTTTCATATCTGTTCAGATCTTTTCAGTATGGCAATACATGAACGAGTCATCAAGAATTATGAAAACAAATTATTGGGACAATCTAAGTTTGAGATTCAGCGTGACATTTATGATACATGTCGGACCTAAAAACTATAAACTATGTAATTACATCAATATTGGTGAAGATGCCACTGCCACCCACTTGAAGAAGACGGGTTCCGCAAGGGATATGACCCTTGATGTGGAGGAGAGATACCTCGTTTGGTGTGTTGACAACTGGGTTCCCTTTGTCTAAATAGACCTGCACCAGTCTGCGTAGCCTCTTGAGCGCAGAAGAGCTTCAACATCAATTCATCCTATATACCCGTGAACAGGTAGGGACCTTCATTGTAGCGGGTGGTTGTTCAGGCTGTCGGATCAGGTGTCAAAAGGACGGACAGGCACCAGTTTGAAGCGCCATTGACAGCCGGGACTTGAAGCTGATTGAACACCATCTTTGTATGATTCGTTTGCAGTGGACTTGTGCAAGGATGTGCAGTTTTTTTTGGCTCCCAGTCATAGAAGGGCTGGCAGCCATGCTGCGCACAGAGCCCGGAAAGAAGCTGGCAGCACCGTGAAGCGGTCAGCTGCCGCTGATGTGGCGGCTCATTGTATTCATAGGACTTGAGGTGGCCAATGCTCAGGCTGGGGATGGACTTTGGATGATTTATTGGATATTTTTGGATGATTCTGGGATATTTTTGTTAGAGATGTACATGATATCAGCAAACCGAAATGGGATGGGTCAAGCAATTTGTTTGGGAGCCAAGTGTGGGATATTTCAGTTTCTTTGTTTTGCATTAAAAGGCTTCAAAGGCTCTTTCCTTCAGTTTTGTCTTCCCCCATTTGGGTGGGTCTGAAAATGGGATATACCCCCCAAGTGGTTATTTTCAGAGGGTAAATGATGATTCGCCAGTTGATTCATAGCCGTTTTTCAGATAAATCATTAATTTGTGATCATGCATGTAGGTAAGCAAAATACAATAATATTTATGAGACAAAATCCATGTGTGTAGCCCTGGTAATCTAACACAGCGATGAAACATTGCCTATATAGATCATTTACCATGAATTACCTATAAAACATGGGGGATTGATTTTCCAATAGCTGAAATTCTCAGAGGGTAACCGGGTAACCTCCAAAAACCTCGCAGGCTCCAGCGGCCTTCGATCGACTGGGCGATGGCAACTGCATGACCAGTGCCATGCTGCCAGTGCGCGGCCGTTCTCGGCGAGACATGGAGCATGGCGAATGTCGGGGGGTGCCTCGACATGGAGATGATTGGAGATGGGAGGTTTTTGGTGAGTTGCAGGGGATGTTTTTTTATGTTCTTTCCAAAATTCGATGGGACATATTGGATGAACTGTGGAGTTCGATCCATGGCTAGATGATAACGTAATGATATGATTGATTGGATGGTGAAAAGCACCATTAACTAACCAGCACAGGAACAATGCAAGAGGTTGTGGAAACTGCAATGCCAGTCACCCTGCTGCAACCCTCAGCTTTAGTATCGAGGGGGAATTGCTTCACTTCCAGGTCAGTTCATCAAAGATCTCAGAGGGTACACAACTCAATGAGGTCAAGAGAATGGACGTCAGCACACAATAGTTCTGGGATGCTTTGGGAAAAGAATGCCTCTTAGGTTTCAACTTTGAAGTCTTGCAGCAATGCTTGTCCAACCTTCCACACCCAAGGTGTGCGACACCGACAATTGCATCGGCTACAGCTACGCCCCCTGCGAGTGCATCTGCACCCTACACGGAGAGCCAGAACTGTTTAGAGGGTTGCCACTGCCGGAACGATGGAGCACATTGAACGGCAGTGTGGCAACAATTTGGAGCGGGGGCAATTCGGAACAAACCGCACTATTCCTGTGTTAGACTATAAAAGTTACTGTATACGTTTGACCTGGCTTTGGAAACATTAGATTGCACTTGCATTGAAGAGATACTTGTGCTAGACTGCGACAGCTGCAAGTCAGCAACCTGATATAGCGAAAGTTGGTACACATCAAGTCAGAGTCTACGCGGTCTGTGGGGATCTGTGTTGTTCAGGATGTCGAGGAAAAGTTTAGTCTGAAGATGTACTAAACTTAGCTGGTTGGTGGTTTGGAACATTTTTTGCCATGTGGCTATGGATCAATACCTATAAATACCATTTTTAGTGGGATGAACATCCATTTACCAACTATTTTGGGGTTCACTAGGTACCAGGGTTTTGACCCATCCCCATGTATTGGGAAGAATAATCTCGAATCTCAACTGACTAATATTTTTCAGAGGTTGAAGCCACCAACCAGATGGAGTCTTCCTGTAAGATGTAAGGTTGGGCAGTCTGTTCTCTTCCAGGGTGCCAAAGATGACAGCATACCTCAACGGGATGACACCAGGGCCATAAGCCCAACGGGTATCCCTTAACACACCTATATACGTATATATATATATATACAGTACACATATCATGTATAATTATATAATACATATATCTACACCATAGATATATGGATATATGCATGGATGGATGGATGGATGGATGGATGGATGGATGGATGGATGGATGTTTAGATGTTTAGATGTTACGTGTTCGACGAAACAATCCCCAGCTAGTCACCATCCAATACCTGTCTCGCCATGAGGTGGTGGCCTCATCGCCAAAACCGACGAGAAGTGCGGCACCTCGTGCTACGTGCGCAAGGCGCCCTGTCCCGGCGGCACGCTGCGCTCTGCGGGCGCCTTCATGTCACTTGGATCACGACCGGGGACCGGGAATGGTTAGGCAATGGGCAGTTCACACGATATACAAACATATAACATAATGTTTTTTTTTTAATCTCCACAGATGTACTATATTTAATTACATATTTACATTCTAATTACATATTATATATATATTATAATCAATTGATCATTATTTCAATCACTGGATTTTGTTGAATGGATCATGACAAAAATCCGCATTTGGTGATTCCAGGGGTCCTACCAGTGGGCTTAGTCATTGCGGACTGTCCTGGCATTCTTGCCCTTTGAGCGGGGTCCGTTTGTAGGATGGCTTTTGCAGCAGCAGACCCAACACTAGGTCTTGAGATGTCTAAAGACCCTAAAATTGCTGAGGAATCGTGAGTCTCTCTTAAAATTTGGCCCAAAATTCTACTCGTCGACTCGTCGTCTGATGTTTGTGTGTTGAATTTGTTTCTTGTTTGGTTTACCCTTTCAAGCCACTTCAAACCAACCAACCGCAAGTATCCCCAATTGGTCATGGAACCCAAGGGAACAAGGGATTGGAATCCTTTTAAATGTTCAATGGCTATCTCTTAGGATTGGCGAATCATGTCACAATGCAATCAAAGACATCTACAGCGAAGATGTGCAAATCGTTTATATACCCTAAAAACATCTACAAACCCTTAAAACTTAAAACCGTATGGAAATAATGGTCAAAGCCTCATATCTAGGGGACCCATCCAGTCAACATTGATTTTCTGTTGAGTTTATCCAGGAATTACGACTCCTTGACCTACGATGCTCGGCTGAACTGGCAACTCGAGTCATAGCCAAAGTATCCTTTCCTCCCTGACACTCAAGCACCTGCATCAAACATGATGACGGACAAGGGTGATAATTTAGGATAGTTTCAACTACAGTAGTTTCAACTTCATAAATGGTCATTGTTGATTCTTCTCACTGCTTCTTGGCACTGCCAGTAAAAATGTATAGGTGTGGCTTCGGGTGCTTGTCACAAAGACGTATCATGTGCGATATGTGACCTATGATGTGCCCATCGTCTGGTTTACAAAGAACACATTTTGCCATATTTGCCCATATTTGCTTACTGTCTGGTTTATCGTGATTATCATTGTTGGGCTTGGACCTGCATGGACACCAATTAAACCATATTTTTTCACAAAGTGAAGGAATGCTTGGCAAACCTGTACGATGGTTGGAAATTCCAGTTGGGACGAGCTCTGAGGGATTGATGCGGACGTTAGACTGTCCCTTTCCACACAAGGCACTGCTGTGGTGTGGTTCATGTCGGGGCCACAAAAAGAATTGGGAAGAAGTCCAAAAGCATCTCTTTTTGGGGCTCTCCAAAAAGATTAAAGAAAACAAGGATTAAAACGTAACATAGGTTTAACGCCTCTGTAAACCCGGCATTCCTTTTGCAGATGACCTGTAGCAGTGACACAGTGCAAAGTGCAACAAGTATAACTATTTGGCCTGCACAGAATGACAAACTTTAATGTCCAGCTTCAAATGGTCCCACCAAGACCCTCATCATAACAGGTTGGGCATAAGAATCCCATCAAACACCTAACTGTGATTGTCATATAGATTCCGTCCCATGGGTATTGTGCAACATTCCGTGGGATATGGATGGATATGGATCAGTCTGAATAGGTTTCCTTTGAACATTTCATGGCTACTTTGCATACAGAACCAGTGTGGACTGTTGATGGTGGACCTCCTGCACTGTACGACAAGAACGGCAGTCTATGTTGACAGAACTTCATCCATCCACAAAACACAGTCCTTGTTGGTTTCAACTATCTTCTATGTTCACCTATTGTTTTTGTTTACCATATTTATTCATATGTTACCATTGTTTTATCATATATTTACCATATATTTACCATATTTTTAGTCATAATATCCAGGATGATATCCCCATGTTGATCATCAGGGCTCCGTGACGATTTTGTGCACCTCCACTGGCATCAATGTCGAAAGCGGCCGCTGCTTGCGCCCCTGCGATGAGGGTTTCGACGCTCGGGTTGAAGGGCGGCCGGAGCGTACTGAGATTTGCTGGCTTTGTTACTTGGGGATTACATGGATTACATAATGAATCACTTCCAAAAAAAGGATCTTCACAACATTGGAAACAGGATTTATCTGTTTCTATTTTTTTTGGGATGACTATACACATAGTCACATAGTGCTATCTACTAGTAGTGGGGTTACAGCATGATTTGTTGATGTAAGTTCATATAAGTCCTGGTATGATGCAATTTTTTGTGATTATGGTTCTAGGTACGACACATGTTTCAGCCATGCAAGTTATATAGCAGTTCGGGAGATGCAGTCTTTGTTTCAACTTATCAACGCATGCACGCGCCCTGTCCGAGTTCTTTTCTTCATGCAGCTTCAGAGTCCTGAGTGATTTCTTCATGGAAGTCCATGAGTTCCTGTATGTGATGTAACCACCATCAACCTCTATTTGGAGTTGATCAAACCTGCCATTGTTCAGCTGGGCCTCTTGAGCGACTCAGGTCAGAGACGATTTCTTCGAGGTGAAATATCCACCCACGCGACACGGAGAGTATGGATATGGCAACTGTACTGGCGATACGTTGGGGAACATGAATCTGGACTGAATAGAGGAAAGGAATTGGATGGAATTGGATGATGCGCATGATTGAAGTGGGTTGCATGGAGCGATGAATTCGGGATGAATTGTAAACAGCATCAAGTAGTGGCCGAACCTCCCAATCGTGGTGTTGTTTACTGGGGTTGTGCCATGATTTCTAGGTGATTATAATGCTCTTGTTTGTTGAAACATACCTTGTTTATCCTTGTTTGTAGTTTCATTGTTTTTTCCTGAACACCCAAACAAGTGGATACAAATGGGCTACTGCCAATTGGACCATTTTTCCATATGAAGGACGCAGCGTCCCTTTAATAAGTGTATGAGTATCCGTTTCAAACACGTAGTAATTCTTTAGTGGAGGGCAGTATCCTTTCTCAGAAACAATTTTCATTGAACAGTTGAACAGCCGTTTCTTTTACAAACAGCATATCCTCTCTGTGAAGCAATCATATTTCTTTTTCCAATATGCAGTTTTCCTTGTAAGCAAATAGTACATATTTACTTCAGAAAACAGTGCATTCTTGCCAGGAAACTGTATTCTGGCAAATTACGCAGTACCCCTTCTTTAGAAGGTGTAGCTAGCGGTCTCACAGAACAAAGGTGGGCATGGCGGTTGGCCAGGAATCCAAGCCACGCTGAACACACTTCTCAGGACGATCTATTGTAGCGATGGGGCTGCTACATGGGTACTGGGGCAATGTGGCATCAATTGCCCAGCGGGATCGTTGAACCTTGGTAATCTGGTAGGGATGGAGTTTCCAGCCTCCCTCAAAACGGTATGAGCAAGTCAAATGGGGCAAATGCGATTTGTTGTTTTGGCAGAGTGCAACAGCTTTTGGCATTGGTGACAAATCTGGTTTGTGGTGTCAAATCCTTGTCATTTTCCATCTTGACTGGCACAAGGATGGGTTGAAAATCAACAGAAATTCCCATAAATCTGTATTGGTTTATGGGATGGGTTGGAACCACCAGACATTGATTTTTTTTTTCAGTGAGACGGGAGAAGGGGTGGCAGTTGATCGCTGTACATTACTGTACTCTGATTCGTTGCACCCTTGTTGAAAAGGGTGTTTCAGGATGTAAGTTTGCTATTCCAAACCATTTTTTTTGCATGTTTTTGCCATGTTTCTGGGCCAGATCTGGGCCAGTTATGGCGACCTCGCCAAAGATGATAGTGAATGTAAGGAAAACATCCCCAAAAGATCCAACAATCAGGACAATCGGTTGTTTGGGAACTACTTTATTCATAATTTGCTCAGACTCAGAGGTTTCTTTGTTGAGATCACGGCCCCTTACACCCCCGGAAACTGAGGAGATCGGGCTCCGCCGTGATCTTTTTTCCAGCTCCTGGTCATGTGATTCTGCTTGGCTTAGGCTCTGACCCTCAAGTCGTGACCATACGGGTCGAAGATGGTCGAAGTATATCGAAGTATCACACGTCTACTTGGTGGTTCATCCTTAGTAAACAGGATAATTATATATATATAGGTGAGAAAAGCCTGATCATAAATGGGCCAAGTAGGCTTAGTCCACTCGTGGTTATTTCCTACTGGACCTAAGTGGGATGAAGCACCAGGGTAGGGAGAAACTAAATGCCACATAGCTGTTGTGATAGGGGAAGTTGAGGGTCTAGGTAGGATTGTTGGATCATCCCCACTATCCTGCCAGTTGCTAGAAACGATTGGCTTCCTAAGCAATATACCCAAAGTACCTCTGAACTCAGGTCTGAACAGGAAATCCTGCGAGAAACCTCAGGTCTCCTGCCTCACAGCTGCCTTTCCAATCACAGCATCGCTGAGGTGTTGCTACATGAGGAAAGGCATACCATGGAGTGTCCCAGTGGATGGATTGGAGACTTTAGCTGCAACAAGCATCAATCAATTTCAAGACTGTTCAGTGCTGGATATTTTTTTGTATGACTTGTGATGCGGGTATGAGTCAAAGCCCTGGTACCCTGCGGTTTGGTATAGCTTGATGTTCCTCCGAAAAGAAGGGTCTACCTACCTCGTATTGACCCATCCCTACGCGAACCTTGAAATCAGCAAAACTGGGTTGGTAGTTTCAAGACGTTTGAAGCAGTTGCCATTTTTTCTGTCGCTGTCGAACCTACCCAGCGAACGGGAATCGCACACGTTGATTTTTTTCGCATCCGCCAAGTTTCTCCGGAGTATATTCGCTGGTTCGCTGGTTTGCTGGTTTCCCGTGCCCCCAAACCAATGGTTTTGCTGTTAGAAGCAACACTATTTGAATTGAAAAAAGTCAAAGAACCATATGCCAAAGGTAGCATTTAGCATGATCTCCAAGAGATTGCCCATCATGCGACTCAGGAAATGTGGGGCTGGAATGCATCAACGAAGACACGTCTTTGATCTCTGGAGGCTGTAAGAAACACTGTTTCTGGGCCTGGAGGCTGTAACAATCACTGTTTTGGCTGAGGATCTAGACGGGTTAGCTGGTTGTGTGAGATCTGACGGTGTTTTCATAAATCGTCATGAGCATATCCTATGTGCTGTATTTCATTTCCTGATTTGAATGGAATCAAGGTGATTCCTGGCAAAATTTGTGGTAGCTGCAATTGCGTGTCACATGCTTATCATAAGATATGCGGGAGCCACAAGACTTGTTGAGCCAGCTCCAAGTTTGTGAGTCTGTCATGTCCTGATCCAAGTGGTAAACTGTTTTTCGTGGTGCCAGCTGAAAGATCCAAAATATGCCAATCATGGGGGCCATCCAGCAACTTTCTCAAGTTGACCATGAAAAGATGTTGATTATGCTTCTCTTGATGGGTTATATACTACAGTTATGCATATAGTTATGCAATCAACACACTGCTGAGTCAGCCGTGATGAATCGATGCACTACTGTGGTTGGCTATCGGATATACTAGTATGAGTCAACATCATATATTCAAGATCTTCATCATCATTCATGTCATGGATATTCAGATATGGGTATGGGTCAAAATTAGGTACCCCAATAATTGGATGGTTAATACTAAACTAGACTAACATCTGTGGTCCCCTAGGTCTTCCATTTTGACCCACATCCATATTCCCCCGTGTTCACGGGTTCATCATGTTTGTTGTTCTCCCAGGTAGCGCTGGCTTGGTGAACGTCAGCGTTGCATCCCCGCCATCCACAGCCATCAGTGGATACCTGACACACCAGGCGGAACGGTCAGCTCGCCAGCTCACCACCTCACCAGAAATTTGGTGTTTACCCGGTAAATTAACTGTATTAACATGTATTAACTATAGACCCTGGCAGATGTTGATGTTGGAAGATGTTGGAAGATGAGTTTCTAAAACTGTGCTATGAAACTATTTTTCAGGGTCTATGTTAATTTACCACTACTTTCGTTGTCGTGGAGCCCATGCATCCCGGTGCCCCAAACCGCCTGCGTCATGAAGGCGTTAGAACATGGCAAAGGAATCCGCACCGAGTGCCTCAATGACGATGACGCTTGGATTTTTTTTAGCCTGGGATTGGCAGGAACCAGCTGGATATGCCCAGAATTTTCAGCAGAATCCTTGTCGTAGTGATGTAGGTTGCTGTGGTGCTACTTTCCAAAAAGTGTTGGTGCAGCTCATTTGGATCTTTTGGGCCATTGACCAAGGATGACCAAGGAACCCGGTGCAGGTTGTCATTTTTTCACATATTTTTCCAGATATCCTACAATCACAGTGTTCATTAACGAAGGAAAACGGGATGGCTATAATGGCTATAATATGCTAAAACATGATATAATATGCTAATCTGGGAAGAAATTTCCACTACAGAAAGGATGCACCTGTGAAAGCTATAAAGCTGCAAAACAAGCTTGTTTTATAGTAAAACATGTGGTTGGGAATAGCATTTTGTAGGAACAGGTTTTTTTTTGAGTATATACACATTTGGAACTATGCATTTTGTAGGGGTCCCTGGGTTCTTAACATTAAAAAACGTGTAGTTGCGCATGACATTTTATAGGACATTGAAGTTTTGATGAACAACTTTCCTGGGGATACCATTTTGCAGTATTAGGGTGTTGTGATGCAGACTGGTGTCAGGAAATGGAGTTTGTAGCAGAAGCCTGTCAGCATTTTGTGGATAGGCATGAATTTCATTCATAAAACCAACATGAGTTTCCTTTTAGCACTTTTTTGTTTTTTTTGTGCCTCTATCTTGCAAGCCCAAGTAGCACTTTTTAGTGAATTGTTTGGCAATTGCTTTGAAAAACCAAGTGGCATTTTGTAGCGCCTTTTAGGGGCACTTTGGATGGAACGCTGTTTTTTTTTAAATGTAGTGAAGTTATGAAATGCTAGCGTGTTTCGATCCCTTTTAGTATTGCCATTACAAAAAGGATCAACATGTGCTTGCTGGTTTGCGACAAAACCAGATATTTTGATAGAATGTGTTTTTTTACGTTAAAGACATTTGTTTAAATCTAGGAACTTGTAAGAGGAAAAATGGAGGGGAACAGATTTTGTTTTTAAATAAATCATGTGAAATTCAACTTGTACGTTTTAGATCCTTTTTGTTGCTCCGTAGCTCTGAATGGTAGAACTATCTCTGAGCAATGCTTTTGCCTCACCTTAAAATTGAGATTACAATCAAGTGTGTCCAACTCTACTAGGCTCGTGCTCTTTTTAGTCCAATAGTCGAATTTCACCCAAGTTCAAAGAATCCATGCAGTTCCTTTCAACCACACAGTGAGATTCAACGTGTGATTGGCATCTTGTAGAGGGTGATTCTTGGAACCCCCCTTGAAGCAGCCAGCTTTGCTTTGATCCTTCTAGAGCAGGTCTCCTTGTTTCACGGATAACCTTTGTCATGCGCATTGCATTTTGATGCATTTTGTAGTAGAACACGCGTGCACAAGCGTTTTGTAGGACCTATTGGGTCCCCCCCAAGCGACCCCCAAAAAAGTTCGAAAAACACTGTTCATGTCTGTAGATAATTTAAAGCGAAAACATGTGGGACACATTTGTTCTGAATCAATCATCTAAATTTGAGCTGTACATTTTGGGTCCTTTATGTTGCTCTGTAGCTTTGACAATCATGGTTAAAAACAATCTGAGCGGTGCTTTGACTGTTTTCGGTGATTACAAGCTAAGTGTTTACAAATCTACTAGGTTTGTGCTCTTTTTGTCCGACAGTCGAATTTCACCCAAGTTCAAAGAATCCATGCAGTTCCTTTCAACCACACAGTGAGATTCAACGTGTGATTGGCATCTTGTAGAGGGTGATTCTTGGAACCCCCCTTGAAGCAGCCAGCTTTGCTTTGATCCTTCTAGAGCAGGTCTCCTTGTTTCCCGGATAACCTTTGTCATGCGCATTGCATTTTGATGCATTTTGTAGTAGAACACGCGTGCACAAGCGTTTTGTAGGACCTATTGGGTCCCCCCCAAGCGACCCCCAAAAAAGTTCGAAAAACACTGTTCATGTCTGTAGATAATTTAAAGCGAAAACATGTGGGACACATTTGTTCTGAATCAATCATCTAAATTTGAGCTGTACATTTTGGGTCCTTTATGTTGCTCTGTAGCTTTGACAATCATGGTAAAAAACAATCTGAGCGGTGCTTTGACTGTTTTCGGTGATTACAAGCTAAGTGTTTACAAATCTACTAGGTTTGTGCTCTTTTTTGTCCGATAGTCGAATTTCACCCAAGTTCAAAGAATCCATGCTCAGACTTTCGTTCAACCAGGCATGATGTCATCTTGGCACAAGTTGACCCCCCAAAAAACACACGGGGATATCTAGTGAACCTCACTTTGTTTTGGCTATCATAGATCTGTGTAGATCTGTGTAGCATTTTTGTAGCAGAGTCTGCGGGGAGATCCCCAGATCATCCAAAACTCATGTTAGGCCTCATGTCCTCCCGTGACGTTCGATTTTGGTGTTTTTTTGTAGTGGCTGAATTCTGCAAGTTGTAGTCATTTCCCATGTAGGCCAAGGTGTTCTTTTATAGCAATGAGGCTGGTTCTTGGTCCTTTATCTGCAAAGTGCTCAGCACAATTTCACCCCTGGAAAGCACACCGGGATTGAAAAGGGAGAAGAAACTCCATCAACCAACGGTCAAGAGCTATAAAATGAGGGCGTGCGTTTTTGGTTATGAATTTTGTACCCCAAAAGGACCACTACAAAAAGCATTTCTGTCTTTGAAGGGCTCAAAAATGATGCTACTACAAAAAGCAGTTTTCTTTGTTGCAAGAAGCCAGGCGAAGCCATTGCATTTTGTAGAGGCAATTTTTGGGTTGTGAACATGGTTTTGTAGTTCAAAGATGGGTGCACCAAGAATCGTAGCTATAAAACGGTTGCACAGGTGCACCCCGGCAATTTGAACCCGGATATATGCTATAATATGCTTGAATATATTATATATATGTTCCACCAAAACACTGACGTAAAGCAACTGACCATCCTGGCCATTGGAGGCCACATCTACTAAGGATATGCTCCAGGGCAGTTTGATTCTTTTTTGCCACTTGGGCGCAAGCTTTTCAGGGGTCGCTCACTTGGCCCAGCAACTCTTGTTTGAAAATCATGGCTTTCCATCCGACAAATTCATGTAAATGTAGGAAATTCATCATGTGTATATAAAGTTCCTGGAATTGGCAGAGGATATACAAATGGACTGTTTGATCTACTTTGGCTGGAACGGACCATACCTATCTGGCTTTAATCATGCTGTACCACATTTTCTACTTGGTGAACTTTTCTATTCATTCTTCGGAGTAAAAGCAGTAGTCAACTGTACATAAGCTAATTAACCAAAGCAGAAGCGCGATCCATATCCACTTGTCAGTCATTGGTGGTTTCGAAAGTCTTTTCAATGTTCAGCCACCCATTTGGTTGTAGTTCTCCCAAGTGGCTCATATGTTGTGGTTTGGACAGCTCAACCCACCATAGTAACTATTTACCATAGCTTGTGGTTTTCGTTGGCCCCACCCATTGGAAATGTTCATGGGGAAAATTATGACAAAAGATCATAAAAGAAATAAGACGATCTAAGCCATGGAATTCCGAAGTACCCATTTAAGACAAAGCCATCTATCCCAGAATTGGATGCGAAAATTTACAGAAATCCCTTACAATGACCGGTAAAACCAATGGTTTCTGGTCAGATTTTCCCATTTGACCCTCCATGGTCGAGCCATGTTTCGCCTCGGCGAGGCAACGATGGCAATGTGACGCCTGACTACGACTTGTCGGGTGGGCCCTGCAAACGCCATTGTGCGCCTGGCTACATTGGTGAAGGTATGCGAGGCGACCTGAGGACCTGGCGCCAATGGTCACAGTGGATGGGATATCATGATATCATGGCTACGTATGGGATATGGAAAGGATATGATGGGGTTGGGGTAAACATTATAGAAGCATATAGAAGCAACTATCTTCGAATGGGTTTGTGTGAAAATAGGTTACCCTAGAATCCATGGGTGAATTAGCGATTTCCCTATTAACATGGCCATTTTGGGGTTATACTTGTATTTCAGACACGCCCAGAATTTGGTAAAATTGGAAATCGTACAAAGCTTGGTTGTATTTTTTGATATTTTTTGTTCTGTGTGGGTTTCCACAATGCGAGACTGATTAATCACCTCCTGTATTGAACTGTGGCAATGGACAACCTACAATTTATGTATAGATTCTATAGATGTTTTTCCGAATGAAGTACCAAGCTATGCTGTGGCTTTGGGAAAGGCCCCAGCTGAGTACAGCTGGGGGTCTACCTCTAGCCATAGGCGTGAGCTACGGCAAGATCTTGCATGGTCAGAACCAGACCTTGCAGTTTCTCAGCTGCAGATATGGCAGGAGACTTGAAGCTGCCATTGTATAGCTGCATTGATTGATATGGATTGATATTGATTGATATTGATTTCCAGTTATCAATCAAATCAAGCGAATTTTCATATCTTTGAGGAGCAGGTGGCATGTAGTGGCACGCTATGGTAAATTTCTGGCATGTTCCAAGTCGTTTGGGACATATTCTGTGCGCTGTCTTCCAAAACATACCATGTTTTTCTCATGTTTTTTCTCATGTGGCAGCTTCTCATGGACAACAGCCAGTGAGCGAAAAAGAGAGGCTCGTAGAATGATCCCTCTGACATGGTACCAAAGTGATGCTCATGAGGTCATTCAAATATACTCCATGCAACTGCGTGTGTTCTATATATTACATTGTGTCTTAATAAATATGTGTATATGTATATATATATGATTATGTATATATTTTTTTATGATTATATATAAATATATGATTATATATAAATATATGATTATATATAAATATATGATTATATATAAATATATGATTATATATATAATTTTATATATATGATTATATATATATATATGTAATATATATATATATGATTATGTATATATGATTATATATATATGCTTATATATTATATATATATGATTATATATTATATATGATTACATATATGATTATATATATGATTATATATATGATTATATATATATATATATGATTATATATATGATTATATATATGATTATATATATGACTATATATATGATTATATATATGATTATATATATTATTATATATATGATTATATATTATATATATGATTATATATTATATATATGATTATATATATTATTATATATATGATTATATATAAACAATATATATATATATAAACAATACATATATATATATATATTATAACACATATATAACATCTATTAAACACAATAATATACCGTACATGGATTTGAATTCATGGTCTCGCTGTTTAGGTACATATGGTAACACACGCACTTGCTCAGAACAATCTTTGCGAATTCTGATGTGGAATGCATCTCACGTGCACAAACACTTCAATTATACCTGACAGGACCTCAGGAAAGGGTCGGTAACAAGACCCAAGAAAGTATCGAGAAGATACCATCGCCATAGCCTGTGCTAGATGAAAAAAGGTTGAAGCTAACCCTTCAATTGTCAAAAAGGAATGCAGATTGCGACAACAGCGCAGTAAAACAAAAAATCGGCGAGAGGAGGGGGCGGACAGAAGCGCCTGACACAACCTACAAGGTGAGAGCCGAAACCTACCTCGGCACGCAAAGGACCCAAACCTGACCTAGAGAGGGAGCACGCATGAAATAGGGGATCAATGGGGAGCTAGTTGATGGAATATGATGCATCCACAATCCATGCCCTCGGTCATCAAGTCAACCCCATGGACAGCTTACGTCGTCAACCCTCGAATTACGTGCACATTTGAACCGTACCAGAGTAACCCAAAAAAAGTGACCACACCTGGAAAGCATGGCCTGTGCCTTGTTTCCCTGATGACATGACAGGAAATGGCAGCAGTCAGTTTCTTGAAAGAAAAAGGAAATTTGTTGGCGTGGCTTCAGACTATGCAAACACGATCCAGCGAAGAATCATGAGGCCAGGCACAGCGGCACGTTGTTCAACATCAAGACAAGCGACAGGTGAGACCACGAGATAAGGCTGGCTGTTGCACTTAACTTAGACGAATGAGGTTGAAAACTGTAAATTCAGAGATCGGGTCGAGGATTCAAACTCCTACCTAGAAAGGTATTCCCCGAAGGGTTCATGCCACCATGGCGAATCCAGCATGAATCACACACTTGCTCAGAACAATCTTTGCGAATTCTGATGTGGAATGCATCTCACGTGCACAAACACTTCAATTATACCTGACAGGACCTCAGGAAAGGGTCGGTAACAAGACCCAAGAAAGTATCGAGAAGATACCATCGCCATAGCCTGTGCTAGATGAAAAAAGGTTGAAGCTAACCCTTCAATTGTCAAAAAGGAATGCAGATTGCGACAACAGCGCAGTAAAACAAAAAATCGGTGTGCCGGTTCTTGGCTTAGCCGGTTGCCATTGACGAGAAATTGGACATGGAAATTGTAGGTACGTGGAGTTGATCAGACCCCATATCACCACGAACTGACAGTGTCTTCGTTGGGCAGTGTCTGTCAGTCGTGCACTGCCCCCCTGCTGCAAATTAGGTAGAAGTTTTACATCTATTCAGATGTCCCACGCACACACACCACCGGCATCCAGCGCCGATGTGAAGACTTGATGTTTTCCAGGTGTAATGCTGGCTATGATGGCTTCTTCCTGATCAATTGCAATGATGGCCAGGTCCGTCATTTGGAAGGCCCGGTCACAGGACTTGTGGATGCACCCCGGAAAGTGATAAAGGACCAGGCATGGACAACTAAGGTATGACGAAAATATAACAGGGCGCAGTGTAATACCACGAATGATTCAAACCCTTGTAGATATCTTATACTAAATTTAGATGTTATTCGTTGCTTTAAAACATTGCGCCAAGAATGGACGAATTACATCAACCCGGTGAAGACTGACATGAGACATAAAGCAGAAACATTCAAATTCAGGGGGCCTGTGGGGGACTTACAGATCATGCACCTGGGGTTTGGTTAATTTGTCCATCCTCTATAATATATGGGTACCCACTTACTAACTGGGATGCACATCCTCATTAGAGTTGCTGCTATCCAGAAACGTCCACGCCTTTGTCAAAATTGAAATTTAACGCTGCGATGATTGCTTTGGATCTATCACAGTTCCGCAGTTGGTCCTTGCAACTTAATTGGAGGCCAATTGAGCAGTTTTTTTTTGAAATGATGGATTTCGTATGACGAGGGAACTCAGAATATGACCGCGAAGGCGTTTGTGTGATACATGTCAATCCGCAAAGGCTTGCGGAGCCTCTCGGCGTAAGCTTCTAGATTTGATATACATGCGAAGGCATTTCGCGAACGCAGTTTTCAAGATAATGTTATAGATGTAAATGACGGTTATAGCTCTGTTTCTGGCACAGACTGGCGCTCTGTGTTTGTCTTCAAACGCCGCTCAAACGTCACCTCAAAGATCTTCAAACAACTCACCAGACGCATGCCTTCCTAGAATTCCACACCCTGTTTTGCGAAGCCCCCGCGAAGCCCACGCCAAGCCTCTGTGGATCAATTTCCTGCCATCACCCCCTCGCCTCCGCATCTGAGGCTCAAACCTCACCTTCCTTTCTTCCACCTGCTGAGACATGGTATCTTGCTCAGGCTAGACAAGAGCCCTCGCGAAACCAGTGCGCGAAGGCAAAAGTAGTCCGCGAAGCCGGGCGAAGCCAACCTTTGCAAATCCATGCCTTGCGTAGCCACTAGCAAAGCCCCCCCATCAGTGTATAGGCGTTTAGCAACCAAAAAAACACGGCTCAATTAGTCAATTACTGTTCGTAGTCGGGGACCAATATCACAAAGCGCTTAACATTCAAATGTGGGGGTTGCGATATGATCCCACCGCAGGGCATTGCTACATGGATTGCGTTGCTGGGACCATCACGTCCAACACCATCACTTTGCATCTCGGCGGATCACCGTGGCAACGGTCGTCCCCAACGGTCGGGTGGCGGCCTGGCCGGCCGTGTCCTGCCCTTATCCCAGGCCGCACATTGCCATGAAGCACGGGGAGAACACGACTGTGGAATGTCCCATTGACCCTGGGGAAAGCATAAAGGGAGACCAAGGATGCCAGGTTGGGGGTGACCATGATGGATGAGCTGGAAATGCGTCTCATTTCTATCTTAAAGGTACATGAAGGTACACAAGATGATTAAACCATAGATGAACAAAAAGGCCGAAACCATGCTTTGGTTGATGGGAATGTGGGTTTTCTCTGCCTGGGGCTGTGTTGAGGCTGTGGGAGGTCACTGGATGCCACTGGTATACCTGAAATCCCAGCTTATAAGGTCTTATAAGTTTATAGTTGGGGTTGTACGGTTGTAATAGGATGGGTATATTATTCCAAGCTTAGAAGCTCAGTAGTTGTGCAACCCCAGTTGGATATCAAGTTTATAGTTGGAGTTGTAATAGTGGACTACCAACTGGGGTTACACAACTACTGAAGACCGGGAATTGGCCTAGGAAACTCACCGTGGGAACATCACTGTGCTCTGTGACGATGGCAAGGCTGGCCCTGGCTGGGAATGACTATTGCGTGTACTTCAGTATCGCGCTAGACCAATTGACTGTTTCATGAATGTTGCCATTAAGCCTTTTAAGCATCATTTTGCAGAATCTCTTTGCTGGAGTTGACAACACCTGAGGCCAGAATGATCGAGGGTTTTTGTGGTGACCTGGCTGAGGAAATGCTGAGAATGGTGACATTTTTTGAATGGACACTGATGGAATGGGGATGTAATGCTTTTTTTTGCAACACTATTTGTCAATGATTTTCTTTGGTGCTTTGACGGGATGCAGCAATTTATTATATAACTGATGCAGATTTGCAGATGGAACTGGTACTTCCAAACAACCTGATGAGTGCAGGTAGCTCCAAAAGTCCGATTGATCCTACAGTACCTGCCACCCTGTTTAGTTCAAGCTCGAGTGGTTCCTTCTTGTCCCTTATTTGTACCTAGCCCCTAAAATACCCACAAAACCGGGTATAGCACAATATTGTGCTTCCAAGCTCGGATACTTCAAAGGTACAGGTACAAATTGACGGTTTGCGGTAGGTCGCCACTTGCCCTTTCCAGTTAGAATCATATGTTTAAAGTTTCCGGTGATTGGCTTCAAGCAGGATTTGACTGCAGTGATGTGGCCCCATTAAACCCCATTTACAACTAACCCCATTTGAAAGTATAGGATAGTATAGAGTAATCACATTTACACGTTATAGTTAACAGTTAGATCCCATTCTATATGATATATCCCATTTGCAATATCCCATCTATAGGTTGAACATGCTCCAAAGCTGTCAGAAGTAGGGGCATAAGATTTTCTTCCCAAGGAGAGAATTGCACTGGGGGTGAGATTCGCTCCAATGACGCGCTGGTGCGTTATCCTGGCATCCCACATGGCTTTCGAGAGACACACGGCATCTAACTGGTGGATATGGCGAGGGATGGAATGGTTCAATCTGAGGGTGGGGGTATCCTGAAATACCCATGGGTTACCATGTTTACCAATGTCTTCCATAGTTTTCCCATTATATATAAATTGTCAGTTTGTAGTATTCCCTATTTTGGGATGAACCCACATTGGTTTCTTGCTACCAGCAACAATGATCATCAAACCATGGGAATTTAAGCATCCCAATGAAGGGAAGATAGATGACAAGAATATACAAGAACGATCAAATGTGGGATTCTCGCAAGAGTCGCTGACTATGGTGAAGTTTTGTATGAACTCCATAGAAGCACTGTTGGCTGCTGCTCTGAGGAACATCAGTTGTCCTGCACCCTGGGGTGATGCTTGGCATAGTGCTTATATACAGTGGCAGTGCACGGATAGGGACACATGTACTGCTACACACACACACACACCCACCCGCGCACACGCGCACGCGCACGCGCACGCGCACTCGCACGCGCACACGCACATGCACACGCACACACTACAGGCCTTAGCCTTATCACGATACATTACATTCTTGCAATTAATGTACTGGTGTATATACTCGTATAGTATATAGATAATACAGCAAGTAAAATTTCCCACCAAATCACAATCATGCGACATGATGCATATAATATACAGTACAATCATATTACATCTATGCGTATACCGATGTCAAAATGATTTCTGAATGAACTTCATAAGATCTGATTTACCACATCTATACTATACCCAGAATTTCTTTGTGATCCCTTGGGAGCTACAAACCTACTGTACATCATATTATCATACATTCAATCTATTTCTTGTCTATTAGCCGCTTCGTATACCAACGCACCTAAAAATATATGGTTCTATGACCAGCGACTGCGGCACACGCGCTATGTCATGTAACTATATATATATATATATAATATATATATATATACTAATATGTATATGTAATATACATTGTACCCACGAAAAACCTTGCATTCAGCGATTTTGATTACATTCATAAATATCACTTTGGAACGTTTCATAGTTCTGAATCGCGTTTTTACCTGGCGGCTGAGGACGTGATCGAATTCAGATGCTATGACGGAAGTACGAGATATGACGGTGTTTGTGGTCGCCACTGCCAGGGCGGTCGCTTGGAAAACAACGGTGCCTCGGTTCCTTGGCTGCGCTCGGCTGCGCTCGGCTGTGCTCGGCTGCGCTCGGCTGGCAGTGGCCACGCTTCTGACCATGACCTGTGGCACACTGAGGTTTTCTACACGAATCTCAATCACTCAGAGGCCCGCAGCGAAGATACGGTAGATATTTCTTGTTGGTTGAAATGTTCTTGATTCATCTTGATTCTACATCCTGAGTGATGACAACTGTATCTCTGGTAACCAACAGCCCTGGGTCGATCGAAACCCACCAAGATATTTGCCAGTAGTGCAACAGCCAATCATACATGCAGGGAATCTGTGTCGAGGCAGCATACATGGGTCCAGCATTTTAATTGCTTTCAGAGGCTAGACGGATAGAGATCTTGATTTTGTTTTGCTGGTCAGGTGCAAGGTGTGATAGTACATATAAAACATATTACAATATATTGCACATATTGTCAGTGTATGTAAACATATACTGAACGGTTATGACACGTTGTGCTGCTTGAGTGAAGTGTCTAGCAGGTTTTGTATTTCTATTTCCTTTGATCTTGCTATCTTTTGAGATGTCCTTGCGGTTCCAGGGTGTTTTTAGGGTTTCAATTCTGGTTTCGAAGATGACATGCCTCAACGGGTTGCTCGATGTTCACAGAATGCTCCTGCCCGTGGTTGATTAAGGATTGGGGGTAACCCCCAGATAGCGATGTCTTTTGCTACCAGAATGGCGGTTACGGTAATGCTACGTACAGTACCCCCCCATGGATCAATAAGAGCTTTAGCAAAATCTGGGTTTTAATTCCAAGTTGGTAGAAATTATCCACCCAACGTTGGCCCAACATCATCCAACATCATCCAACATCATCCAACTATATATGGTTATCACCCCCATGATGCACAGTTAACCCAACTATACCCAACTCAGCAAACGACTCGGGGCAACACCGGTACCAGGTGGGAAATTTCAGCTGTGAGACCTTGTTCCAAAGTGCCTTGGCCTTCGGTCCAAAATGGTCATGATGGGTCATGGGTTTCAGATGGTTTTAGCATGTTTTAGCATGTCTTATATAATCCAATTAAAAAGGACGACCCAACAGATTGCTGAGGTGAGCTAACTTTTTCCGGAGAGCTACAGTTAACCTGCCTCGATGGACGAGTTGTGAGTATCTCGGGCTGCATCGAAATGTTCTTCATGACCAGTCATCCTTACCTGCAGTTAGATCAGCTAGCATCAGTTCATATGGAGGTTTTCAATCCATGGGAGTACCCCCAGTATCACCCATTTTCTTTTCGGATTTTCTATATTATAGACCAAGTTTGGGGATTCCTCATTTGTGGAAACCCGCATGTTAATTCATGCAATTCACAGTCACAGATTTGGATGATATTTTCTCAACCGCACGTGTTGATCTGATTTTTTCAGTGAGAGATCCCCAGTTGGGGAACTTCGCTCTGACCAGAGTGATGATTGGTCACCAGGTTACCCCATCTTTGGGCCACAGTTTAGCACTTAGGTATTGGCCAATGCTTTCCAGATTGTTCCAGAGGCGCGGTTGACCGCCTGGACAGGGCAATCACGCTCAATCCTATCAGATCATCCTGGGGTGAACACTGGGAACACCCCAGGGGGGTCCAGTTTGGAGTGCGGTTTGTCTCAACCTGGGGGATACCAGATACCCCCCATTTCATGGGTATGTTTCGACAACCCCATACGAGTGTGGAACAAAAAGTATATGGAGTTCCACCAAAGATTTTAGGGCTCCCAATCTTGAATTCTCAGTTGCTGGTACATCCATTTTTTTCACGGGAAATTTGGCCAGTGAAGACCCAACGGCATGGCTACTTGATGCTACAAGTATGATTGGATAAATTATAGGCTACAGGATACTGTAGGCATCGGCGTATCGCGGAATAAATCTAGAGGCTGAGGGAATCCCAAAAAGAATCCAAGATTTCATCAATGGTGTATTTTACTAATTACTCCGGGGCTACTTTTTGTAAGGGATGATTTGTTCTCATCAGATGTTTCTGCATTACCACAGGGAGTCACGGGTATGATTATCGGTCCACTTCTTGAAGACAACACTGGGGAGGATTTCCTCATCTAATGTCGATAGCGACTTGTATGTGCATCCCACCTAATAAGTGCTGTGCAAGTCTTATATTCCATATAACTACCATATTCCATACACTTTCTGGGATACACCTCCCAAGTGGGATATCGGGTCCCCAATGAACCCAGTTACAAACTGTTGGCAGTGAATGCTGCAACATTTTGCAACTCTTGCCCACAATCCCAATCAATTCCCAGTTTTTATCCAGCTTGTGGTAGCTATAACTTATAACCACCATGACACCGCATTTTTGATGTGCATCCCTACCCTTTGGTGCGGAACATGACCAATTTTACTCATCTATATAGTAGATTTTCCCATGATTATTTTCATAGGATGTTTTCCATTGAAGCCTCCAATTTATAGATGTTTTTTTGCCATCGGAAGCTCCATGTAGTTCGTCTTCCAGCCATGTTTCACAGGTGAGATCACCGATCGCGTTAGCCTGGCCAAGATCATCGTGCCGCCCTTGTGCCTTGGAACCAGCCATGACATGCGATCACCAGGTCCAATTTGGGTCCGATTGCTGTTACCAGGCAGACCGTTAGACTGTTGGTGTTTCTAGACCATGTTTGTACTGTACGCTATTGTCCCAGACTGAGAAGGCAGCGAAGGTGGGAGGGGAGAACTTTGTTTTTCTCTTTATACCTTGATTCAATCTCTCTGTCGCCTGTCTCACGTCTGACGACCATATAAGATGAGTCAGTACAACGATGACGCTTTTAGAATATATATATACAGTATATATAATATATGTTCAACATTGTTTGACATATTTTAACCATTTACAATCTAACCCTCTAGTAGACTCTAGTATTTTATATATCCGTAACCCCCTGGTTTAGTAATGGATCTATTCATTTTGGTATCCCCTAGGGGAATATGTTTAATTACATGTCCATTCAATCACCATTTTGTCCCTTTGTGTTTTCCCCTAAATGGTAATATTCAGCAACCAAACATTTTTTCCTTAGATTATCCCATTGTATCCATTATTCACAAATCAATGGTAATAATCAGCAATTCAGAAGGAATTGAATAATTATGCTGTATTATATGAATTAAATCCCCATTATATCCCATTTTATCCCCATGAAGTATTCCATTAATATCCACTATATCAATCTATATCAGCAATATTGTTTATATCCGATTATATCCAGTTTATATCCACCATTATAATATATATATATAATTATATATATAGAGATATAATACATATTAATATCTATTCCATAGTTTGTCATATTTTTGTCAGTTCAATTCAGTTTAATCCCTCAAGGAAGGCTGGCGAGTCCATCTACACCAATTGCTACTTGGATTTTGGTCAAAGCTGTGGTGGAAGGGTGGGCCCACCTACGTATCTTCGGGGTAGAGACATGTGCTAAGAAATGCTGTATCTATGTGTCTTTACAATGGGATCATTAGAACATGTTCATAATATGTTTTCTATCTCTATGTCCGTCATTACCCTGCAAGCTCCATTTTGTAATGGTAGCTTCTCTTCAACGCCACTACCCAGCTATACCCAGCTGTTTTCCACGGATGCTTGGTATTCGTGCGATACAATCCCAACCCCAAAGATGTTCAAAAATAGTTGTTGTCTACCGTTTGGCATCCCAGAATGGGTAGACATCCCGTTGTCCTCGACTTTTCTAGCGACATTTTCGGGATGGTTACTGGAGCACCAGGATCTTGATGTGGCAGGGGATGCCACACCCAGGCGAACCGTCGCAAGCCTACGGGATGGTGACGGTCAGCTGCAACTTTGCGGCAGTGAATGTGTGGTCGGACTGGCGAAATGCAAACCGTTTCAATTCTTTTTCACCAAGTCGGTGTCTTGTTGAAGCCAATGTGGGGTATGGGTCAACGTGGGTCCGTGTGAAACATCTGAATATATCAGATGTTTATAAGCCCTTGATGGCTCTTTTGGTATGTTGAATCTTTAGGATAAGCCTGGTGTTCCTAAAAGAGTAGAAACGTGAACTCCTTGCTTTTGGTGGTGTTTCACCTTTTTTGCTGGATAGATTCTTGGCATAATCTTCTGCCACCGATCCACGCCCATGGTGAAAAAATAGGGATATGATATGTAGCCTATATAAACACTGGTCTTTCCTCATTTGGGTCTGAAAATGGGGGATTAATATGGATTAGTCGGATTGACCCTGTTCATATGGGCATTTTATGGCATTTTCATACGGGTCCTTTGATTTTCATGGATGGAGTACCGGACCCAGCCCAGGTCTAGAAGGCTTCCAAAGGGTCACCAGTGGAACCTGCGGGGATCCCTGCCCTGCTGGGCCCTTTTCCAGCTTGCCGCTGGGCGAGTAACGGAACGGACCTCGCCGTGGAGATATGTTGAGATACCCAAGTTCTGGTTCAAGCGACTGGATGGGTGCCTTAGTTCCAATCTTTTGCTAATTTATTTGAACAAATATAAAAAGTGTGTCGAGGATTGGCAATGAATCGGGACAGCACTGATAAGTTGATGTTTGAAACCAGATGTTTGGCTTGGTTTTTCCATCCTTTGGGAGGACAAACCAGCTGAGATTGAGGGATATGCGGCGATACGGCGATATGCGTTTGTATACATACGTATGAAAAATCTGAAATAGAGAAGTTGCATGGGGGATGAACAGAATTCACACTCCTATTAAAGCTTCCCACAACCATAATTTATCCTGATGTTTGATTGCCACTCCTGGCTAGCCCAGTCATCGTTTGTCATGCCCACCGGTTCAAAATTGCAAAGCTTATGCTCACTCTGAGTGGTTCACATTCCCTCATGCAATGTGGAGCCCGCATGATCCCTAAATTGGATTCAAATATTGGATGGTTGAAAATCCCCCGTGTTGACTATTAAAGGTACTATTGGATGGGTTGAGAATCCCCCAAAGTATACTAACTAGTGTGTATTTCTGTACTTTGAGTGGGTTTGGCGAGCGACCTAGCAACAACCAACCCCCAGCAATGACGGGTAGTATGGGGGAAGCCATCAACTTCAACATGTATTTTCCGATTGACTGGTTTTGAGTGTCGTCTTTTTTCCATTCTATCGCTGGGATGATCTATAGTATCCTTACATATATATATATATTTATAATATATATTTATAATATATATATATATATATCGTTTGTTTTGAGGTTGAAGCCAGTCAGCAACCAGACTGTCAATGATCTGATGGCTTGGGCATCACCCCAATTTTCAAGCCCGTACATTTGCATCCTGGTACTCTCAGGTACACGCGGCATACCCCAATAGATCTGCCTGAAGTTTGGCATGACACTGGAAGATGGGAGGACAGGGATGGGACCCCTGCAGTGGGAAATCAATCAGTGATTTATTTTGGATCTTGAATAACTGTGGTAAACTTTGTATGTGAGAGATCCGTTATGAACTGAAGATGCCACACATTTGACCTTTTTCGAGACGCAAGCAGCCCATATATTAGTTCTGCCTAGCACAGCCTTACAGAATCGATCAATGACACAATCTACGCAGGCAAACCATGCGACCCACATGGCATGAATTACTAAGAGCAGAAACATAGAACTTGCTTCTGACATTTGCAGTTTTCAAATGATTTTCAACATGTTTCAGCCCAGGGATGTTGAGCCCTGACATTTTATGATGCACCGTGATGCACCCCATAAGTCTCGCACGAGGACTGCCCCCTGGGTTTGAGTGGACGAGTCTACATCCGCTGCGAGAACCGGGTCTTGCGCGTGCAAGAGGGGTAGCTCGGGTGCAGGCAAAGACCTGCTGGTTGCAGGTTTCGTGGGTTTGCTACTATTGTAGTAACCCAAAAAAAGATAGACATATAAATCCTACTAAAACAGTGATACATTACTTCTCTATCTTCTTGGGGGTTGCTATATGCCTATTTATCGCCAGGTATTCTGCCAACAGAGTTTTTTTGATGGTTCTGATCCAAAAGGATTTCCAAAACTGCATTGTTTCATACATGTTGATACTAAACATCTCAAATCTTGTTGCTCCATATTGGTGCCCCATTTTGGATCGCCATTGTTGAACCCTTCACCTGATTTCGTCCTGTCAGCCCATGGCATCGATAAGGCAATGTGGAGAGCGCTGCCCAGCACAGCAAATCATGATGGCAGGTGGAAGCTTTAACAGATCCTTGGCTAAACGGCTGGCTGGAGATGAGTGGCTCATTTCCTCAATTGTGGATGAGCCATGGAGTTCGACAACTTAGCTGGAGGGAAGGGTTACTAAGGCAGGAACATTGATGCTGGGGTGCAAGTTCACTATTTTTCAGAAGATAAATACATAGTATGATATACGTACATAATACATACATATGTCATTATATAACTATGTGTAGTAATATGAACATTTCCCTATCATAAAATACCCTGCCATTTCTGGGCTTCAAAGCCTCAGTGCTGTTTTGGGCAAAGTTAAACCAGGTCCCGTGATGGACCATGCGGAGACCGTCCTTCAGCCGTGCTTGGAACCATACAGCAGCTCAACTGCAGCCAGAAAACCATGGCGGAAACCACACGTTTTGGTGGGCCCATTGGAACGGCAGAATGGAACGATGAACACTGAAAAATTACGTGGTGGAAGAATCCTGAGAAGAATTAAAATTAAAACAATGTTTTGTTTTTGCAGAGCTCTAGAACCCAACTTTTAGTTTCCCTCGGGGTAGAAACCAAGGCAGCTACATCAACTTAACCTGCTTCTTGGCCGCAGCCCAGGGCAAGGAGCATTCCAGGGCCAGCTATCCCCGATATCCCCAATATCCCAGCATGGAGCCAATCTCGACCAACTGTGACAATGTCCTTTCTACCAATAGGAGTCTGGAAGTCTTCAATCATGTTCAAGTGTCACTGAAACCTTACAGTTTTCAAACCTTCACAGCCAAGAATGAAAGCACGCCTTCTCAACCCCTATGTATCTAGCACCCCTCCAATTGTACTTCCTCAGAAGGAACGGCTGGATCCGTAGAGAACATGTATTTTTGACATCACTCCCATAAATGGGGGTACCCATGGGTACCCCTTTTCCACTATAAACCATCCATTTTTGGGTATCCCCATCTATTTTTGACACCACTTCCCTGTCATTGGGATGGGTCAAAACTTACCATATTTGGGTGGTTTGACATCCATTCACCATCTATTTTCGGTGAATAGACATCCATTAACCAGCTATTTTCAGCTATTTTCATCTATTTTCCACGTCACTTCTGCACTTCAGGTCACTTTGGTGAGCTCTTTGTGAGCAGCAACTGCCAGCTGGGATGCTTCGCCGGCAGCTTCACGTGTTTTGGCGGGCGAAGTCTGGCGGGCGGGACATCCGTCCAAAAATAGATACAAAATGGATAATTAGTTTTTAAGGGAACATTTTATTTAAATGGATGATTTGGGGTACCCCCCTGTTTTAGGAAACCTTCATATTATCTGGGTCAACCTCTGGTTAGATACTTTAGTACTTCGATATGTTGCTATCAATGACAAAATGATATAAAATGTACTACTGGTGATATTAGAAACATGGTGATATGTTTTGATCAATGGATAAACATGTGATATATGATGATGATGATGATGATGATGATTTCCACTTAAGATATGCTTCGAATGATTTTCTGAACAGAATGATATTTGCGATGATTTCCAACATGTCACCTTAGCATCACTGTCCCGGCAGACTTGGTTGATGCGAAAACATCAAACCAAACAACCCCTGAATTCGGTAAAACCCAGGGTTTCAACATGTTTCAACCAATTGGTGTTGGGATTTTTCCCTCAAAATGCATCCCCGACAGCCGGAGGTTGCCCAATGGTGCCATGGTGTCGCATCCAGATTTGGTAAGCCAAGACACGCACGCGCCGGAATGTCCACCCGGATTTGTGGGAGAAGTCTCGGTGATTTGCACCGCAGCTGAAGCGCTTGGGATGGGCGATCTCTGCAGTGGGATTGAGATACTGATTTTCGGGATTGAACATGGATGGAACCAGATGGAACCCATATAATATTATAAGATACTACAAGGCTGTTTAATTATGGATGGCCCATGATGGCTCTTTCCAAAAGGAACATCATTTTCGCGAATTGAATTGGGATTTCATATAGAAAATTAGGGGTGTAGATGATATCAGATGTGTTTGGAATACTTCAGAGCATGCTAACTCAGCACTTGCTGTGCACGATGTGTGTGTGTGTAACATCTAAATAGATGTAAAACTTATCCTTTTTTCTTTTTCTTTCTTCTCTCCTTTTAATAAAGCAGGGGGCAGTGGCCCACTCATGAGTCCACTGCCAACGAAGCTACTCATGAGTTGGGAGGATATCGGGACTGATCATCCCGACGTACCTGCAAGATTTTATTTTCTGGTCATGGGACGTGGCTAACCCAAGAACCACCACGCCGTTTCCAAACAACTTATTTTACATGGTTTTACATGGTCGCCGCAATCTGGTTTTGGATGACGATTTATTTGCCGTTTTTGGAGTTTGGTTTGGGCTACGTTGGATATTTTCAGAAGACCTTCATCGTATTCGCAACGTACAACCACGAGATCTACTTTAGGTCTAATTGTCTAGGCTTGTTGCACGTTACAGGACTCAGTTCCTGATGGATCTCTTCAACGATCCAATTTTGTCTAGTGTAATACCTATGGTGACTCCGACAAGGTGCCATAGGGCCACTGGAGGCAACCCTTTTTAGGGTGAATGTCGACTGACCGGATTACAGAATTGACAATTTTAATCTGGTAATTCATCTAAGTAAAGTGAAACAGTCGGCCTTACCATTTACCAGCCTTTTGAGTTGTCCCGCCATTCCTGCTGTCCTTTGCGAACCCTTGGACTGATCATCTCTCTGCTGGATGTCGATCTGAACAGTCAGAAATCTCATTTTTACCGCTGCAGCTCCAGCTTTTAAAGTACAGCATGACATGAATGCCAGGCAGGCACATGACCTTCAGGTGTGGTATTTTTCCTTTTTGATGGTTTAGTTTCTGGTGAGGTTGAACATTTCGTGCATTTAATTCGTTGGAACTTGAACAGCTGTTTATGCCATTGCGGCACGACTTGACTACGGTCCCGAAGGGGATTAACGCACGACACCTGTTGTAGTTGGAACTGGGTCCTTTTTAGATTATTCTTTTTGTTGTTTCACGCTCGTCACCAACTAGTCCCCATTCGGTCCCTAATTCTTCCCCTGTGCTTCTCCGTAATGTGTCGTGGGGTTTAGGTGTGTGTGCTCTGTTTTTGTCAGGTCCGTTTTGCCGCGTAGGTTGGTTCTGGAGGTCCGTTCGTTCCCTTCCCCACCCCTGCGCTGTTCTGGCCTTTTGCCCGTCGTCTGTGTCCGCTTTTTCCTTCCTCTTGCCTTTCAGGGTTGACCCGGCTCCGGCCGGGTGTGTGTGTAACATCTAAATAGATGTAAAACTTATCCTTTTTTCTTTTTCTTTCTTCTCTCCTTTTAATAAAGCAGGGGGCAGTGGCCCACTCATGAGTCCACTGCCAACGAAGCTACTCATGAGTTGGGAGGATATCGGGACTGATCATCCCGACGTACCTGCAAGATTTTATTTTCTGGTCATGGGACGTGGCTAGCCCAAGAACCACCACGCCGTTTCCAAACAACTTATTTTACATGGTTTTACATGGTCGCCGCAATCTGGTTTTGGATGACGATTTGTTTGCCGTTTTTGGAGTTTGGTTTGGGCTACGTTGGATATTTTCGGAAGACCTTCATCGTATTCGCAACGTACAACCACGAGATCTACTTTAGGTCTAATTGTCTAGGCTTGTTGCACGTTACAGGACTCAGTTCCTGATGGATCTCTTCAAAGCTCCAATTTTGTCTAGTGTGTGTGTGTGTTGAAAGCAGTTGTCTAAAAGCAGCTAAGCAGGAAACATCTTTTAGGATTCAGGATGAACACGTAGAATACTTGCACAAGATCCTGAAGGTCGCTGTTTCCATGATACCATTGCTACAACTACAGTGTAGAGGCATAGGAGTGATATTACATACGTATAGATATATTATACGTATAGATGTATTGTATATATATATATTGTTTTTATTATATGTATTATTTATATATATATAAATATTATATTATATTATATTATGTTATATTATGTTATATTATATTATATTATATATGCTAAGGTCAAGACCCAGGGCCCATGGAACCACCATCTCATGTTCAGTTTTTGACCATCCAATTTTCAAGATATATGTATAGATACACATATATAAAACTGCATATAATATACACATAATTATACATATATACTTTAGCTTTTTTTAAAGTCTCGTAAAAGGTGTTTTTAAAGTTTCTAGGCAAAAGGTGAACGTAGGGGGTACGAGTGCAAATGAACGTGGTGACGGACGTGCGTACGACCCAGCGTACGTGTAAGCGTACGAGTGGACGGACGCCTGACGTACGAGTGGACGGACGTGTGCGTACGAGTGGACGGACGTGTGCGTACGAGTGGACGGACGTGTGAGCGTACGTACGTGCGTTGACACGTTCACTCGTCACGTGCGCGCGCACGTACGGAAATAAGGTCGACTCGAGTCGGCCTTATTTCTGTACGTCTCGGTTTTTCCTTACATATTTAGTATTGGGAAGATTCAGACGTACAGAAATAAGGCCGACTCGAGTCGACCTTATTTCCGTACGTGCGCGCGCACGTGACGAGTGAACGTGTCAACGCACGTACGTACGCTCACACGTCCGTCCACTCGTACGCACAGTCCACTCGTACGTCACGCGTCCGTCCACTCGTACGCTTACACGTACGCTGGGTCGTACGCACGTCCGTCACCACGTTCATCTGCACTCGTCACCAGACGTACGCTCTCCAAGATCACCACCTTTTACGAGACTTTAAAAAAAGCTAATATATACTTATGTGTATATATATATACATCATGCATATCAAACACACGCACACACACATTATCTATACGCATATATGATGATGATAATTGCTTATATATGTACATATTACGACAATATATGTACATAACACACAACAAGACCAGAATACACACACATATATATATACATATATATATATACATATGTATATATATATATACATATATATATACACATCATACACAACATGTGCGACTCCCCTATTACACAGCACCGTGTTCAGAAATCCTAATTTTGAGGCAGTCAGGATACAATTAGTGTGTAATGGTTTTAGTTGTTTTTTAGTGTTTTTGTTGAATGGATGTCCCATGCCCAATCTCACCATCTCACCAGGGAGGTTGCCACTGAAAAGAGAAATCTGGACCCATTGGCAGGCAGGCTGGTTGTCTTTTTGAATTGTATGACAAGCCCTAGAATTCTTAATTGGGGGGGGAACTCTTACCTTCTAGGGGGAAAGGGCTTATTAATACGAACTTAGCATTAATATCTGTATCTATATATGGCCCAGTGTTTGGTGGTCCCCCTTCCCCCGATCCCTATATGTATAATGTGGGTAAAACAACAATAAACCATTCCCCAAATCACCATTTTTATAGGTGGTATGATTACCATTCCCACATGTGTGGTTTATGACATGGTTTTACCCACATTATGTATATAAGTTCTACATATCCACTGAGGCGTCAACGGCACCATGGAACGCCACCAGGGTGCGTGCAACGGTCATTGCCTGGCCGGCCGCTTCCGAGGACCCACGGGGTATGTGTTGAACCATGAGGAGACCCTTGGACTCAGCTGAAATGGTCTATGTATGGTTTATGTATGATTTATGTATGGTCTAAGTATGATTTATGTATGGAAAAATATGGAAATATAGGACATATGGAAAATGGATGGATGGGAAATCAATGGAATACACACATGAGAAATTCATGAACAAATATTTGTAGAAATACATGGCAAAGATATAGGATTATTCGGAATGTCTATGGAAAATATACGAGTCATATATTGGAAATACATGGGGGTAAATCATGTCACATGGTTTTTTCACCGAGTAAATGATGGGACAATTGAGCTCAGGATCCGAAATAAACCGTGATCTGGGGATATTTGATGGTTTCCCGGATTGGTCAATATTTATCCCCCTATTAATTTACCTATTTATTTCCCTTTTTATTTTCCTATTTATTTCCCTTTATTGCCCTATTTTTTCCCTATTTTATTTCCCTTTTTTTACCATATTTTTTCCCTATTTATTTCCTTATTGATTTCCCTATTTTATTTCCCTATTTATTTTTATTTATTTCCCTATTTATTGTCCTATTTATTTCCCCGATTATTTTCCTATTTATTTCACTTTTGATTTCCCTATTTATTTCCATCGTTATTTCCCTCTTTCTTTCCCTATTGATTTCCCTATTTTATTTCCCTATTTATTTCCTCTTTTATTTGCCTAATTATTTCCTTTTTTTATGTCCCCAATTATGTACCTAATTATTTCCCTATTTATTTCCCTATTTATTTCCCGCACTGTTTCCCTATTTATTTTCATATTTTTGTTCCCTATTTAGTTCCCTATTTATTTCCATTTTTTTTTCACTATTTATTCCCCTAATTATTTCCCTAATTATATATGTCCCTTTTTTTACTTGATTATTTGCATATTCATTTCCCTTTTCATTTCCCTAATTATTTCCTTATTTATGTCCCTTTTCATTTCTCTATTTATGTACTTATTTATTTCCCTGTGTATGTCCCTATTTATGTCTCTATTTATATATGTCCCTAATTATTTCCCTATTTATTTCCCTATTTGTTTCCCTAATTATTTGCCTATTTTATTTCCCTTTAATTCCGTACCCATTTATTTCCCTATTTATTTCCCTATTTATTTCCCTATAGGGTCCCTATTTAATTCACCATTTATTTCCCTATTTATTTCCCTATGTATTTCCCTACTTATTTCCCTGTTTATTTCCCTATTCATTTCCCTATTTATTTGCCTAATTAGTGTTCGATTTTATTTCCAGAAATGTATGGGATACCTAGCCATGCCTCGCCACGCTCAGTCATACCCAGCCATATTTAGCCATACTCAGCCATACCGGTTCATACCACTTTCCTGTATATAATTTTCCCCAACAAAACCAATCCATGGATTGGACTCAGCAGATGACGATCTTAGCAGCGACTCGAAAACCTAAGGATCCTATACAACGAGACCAGCTTGGTGTCCTGCCCCATTGGTTTCTGGCTGCAATGGGTGGTCATAGCTGCCAGTGGAGCCACCATATGGGCTTGTAATTTTTAGAAACACACACTGAATTCAATTTTTTTTTGGCATAATTTTGACTGTGGCCATTGACCATATGTGATGTATGTGGCAATGGAAAGGTGTGGAAAACTCCAGAACTTTGCTGCTCAGGGCTCAGGTATCCAGGGTTGTAAACCTGGAAATACACCTAAGAACTGGCCTTCTGAGACCTTTGAAAAGGTTTTTGCGCAGGCTCTCATAGTTTGCTAACATTTTGTAATGCTTTGTCTATTTCCTACATCCAGAGGAATTCGTGCAAATCCATCATTTGATTTCGATATATTTTGGAACCACTCTTCGAATTCACTAGCTGATGGTATGATTGAGTGGGTAAATCTCATGATTGGAACATATCTCCCGCATTCGGAATTCCACTCTTCTTCATCCAATTTTACAATGTTTTGACCTTTTGATCCTTCAACCGATCCAAACTGACGAACTTGCTCAATTAATAATTACCATGCCAGCCAAACGCATAGTTACTAGTTTCTCTTATTATATATATTATATATGTATATATATATACATATCCCAAACAACATCTTTTCGGGGGATCAATCACTAATTGCACCGCCGAAGTGGCAAGGTTACCTGGGTACTCTCGTTCTGCGCTGCTTGGGGCAGCCCATCATCGATAGCGGGCAGTGCATGAGGAACTGTGACGCAGGCACCATGGGGTCATCGTTTCTGGCAGCATGGATGGGGGGCCTCCATCATGAAACAAACACAATGAACAGAATATATATAACATCATGAAATGATGCAGAGGAAACTCTAAAGAAGTTTGATTGACACAATCAGTTGCGGACAGCAACTGAGCTTCGCATTGGGTCAGGTGCCACGTTGGTGCGAGAAGGCATCGTCATGAACAACCAGGCGCCCCACGTTGTGCCACACGCGTGTGTTGGTGTTATCAGTTTGCCCATGATACTGTCCCAGTATCTAATCTAATTAAATCACTAATTAAAGATGGAGTCTCAAAATCAAGAGACTATCACTAATTCGGCGCTTACTGTACTCTAATAGGCAAATCATCTACAAATGGACCATAACTATGTTGCATAAATGTCTTAAATTACTGGATGACAAATCTCCATTTATCATGTACTGTATCCATTATCCGGTAAGAATTACCCACTATTCATCCATTGTTGTTGGTTATACCCCCCTTGATTTCCATGAATTACAACATGTGTAAGGCCATGGATCACGACAGCTTGAGCAATGAGATGTGTCTTGGTCTCCGAGTCATTTCGATATTCATGAGATAACGGGGAAAAAAGGGGATGAATAGACCCGGTAATCAAAGCTGGCAATTCGACATTCCCTATAACTTAGGTTTTAGTGGGAGAATCTACATATCACTGAGGGATTTTCACCATGTTCGATTGCGAGAGGGTAGCCAACTATAGTCAAAAGTTGAAAAGCTGTTGGGTTCGAACCTCCCCGTGGTGCAGCTGGCACTGCAGTGTCAGCTGCAAACTGATCGGACCATGTCATTTCCACCTTCGCCATGGATTCATTGTCGAGATGTTGCCTCAAAGTATGCCTGTTCCGAGACTGTATGCCCTTGTGTCCGTTTCCATACTGCAGAAGTGAGACGACTTGGCACAGTCACCATGGGCGTATCTGAGGTCACCCTCAAAGTTGAAGTGGTCTGTAGTGAGGCTGCATATCACCAGAAGGAGTTCAGAGATTCCAGACTTGGGACACGCCGATGTGCTCATGATATAGATGTCTCCTTTGACCTTCGGATCACGGACTCACAGTGGAAGCATGTGGTTTGTCATGATGCTGTATTCATCGTCTATCAGGCAGAGCTCAGGGGATCCATGTTGGATACCACCTCAAAGTTTTCTGGTGTATTGGCATCTCCTTCTCACCGTTATTCCAGCTTTGACGGTGATGTTTGTGTCACAGGCGAGTTTTTTGCTGGTGGATATTCCGGTTGGGCTCATGCCCTTCGACGTCTTTGTGCCATGAACCTGAAGATTGACCACAGGTTCGCATTGGAAGTTGATGATCTATGTGTGCAGGCATATGCAAAGTCTCACAACTTCCGTAATGTCTGTGGTCCACATGAATTCACATGGCCTGACGATGAATTGCCTTCTCACATTCTGATTCATGCAGATATCAGATCTGGAAGCTGGATGCATCTCACTGGCACCTATGTCATAGACATGATCATGATGTCACCGCCATGTCCACCATGGTCCATGGCAACCAGTGCACTTGGGCTCATGAAAGAAGAAGGACGCTTGACAGTCGAAGCTATTGCTATCTGCAATTTGCTGCGCCCCAAGGTCATTCTTTTTGAGAATGTCGCCGCCATGAAATGTCACGAGCATTGGGGTCTCATTCGTGATGTCCTGTTGTGGTGTAGGTACAGCATACGTTTTGGAAGAGCCATGAACCTCTCGGATCTGGCACCGCAGAACCGAGACCGGTTTATTATGGTAGCTACTCGAGATGGAATTGACCTTCACCCACACATGTGTACCACATGGCCCAGCATCGCGAGGCCTACAATGGAGTCCTTCGATTGTATTCTTCCGATGGAAGAGCCATGGACCAGCCAAAGCAGACTGGAAGCTGATGTTTTGCAGACTTACATGGATCCAGCACTCATGCCAAAAAGCCTGAATCGCAGGAATCAGGACCTCAAGCGCTCAAAACTTGACTTGGAGAGTTACCGATTGAGATTTCCAGATGGAGTTTTTGGATGCATCATGGCCAACTATGGCTATGGACACCTGTTGCCACAAATCAATCTCAAATCTGCAGGACTCTATGGCACACTCTTGGTGACGCCTGAAGCCATTCGATTCCTTGCCTTGCCTGAGATTTTGATCCTCATGGGTGGTCTTGTTCCATGTTGGTTACCTGCTGAACACCGTAGTGCAGTCAGAATGTTGGGCAATGGGATCTCAACGCAACATGCCTTGCTGGCCATTTGCAATGGAATTGCATTTTTGCAGGGGCAGACCCCGGTTGAGGTGCATGAGATGATCGTTGAAGCCCTTCAGAAAAGATTCACTGCGACGAACATCAAATGGAAGGTCGATCGTGATGGTTTTTCATTTGATTTGGACGAGTTTGCTTGCAGGCCGACACTCATCATGCATGCAATCAGAGATGTGACCTTGAAATGTCCCACCGAGATGATCAGGATCCACACTGAGAGGGGTGTGATTGTCCTGGATGGACTGAAGATGCTCACAGGTGATGCAATGCCAAGTGTTGTGTCGCTCATTCCAGGCGGAAACATGGATGCAAGGGTCTCTTTGCCTTTGAGATACACCATCCGTGAAGCTGATGTCCAATTGTTTTCAGAAGTGCCCACAGCTCTTCGTATCAAGTTGGATGCTTTTCAGACCCATGAGAATCAAGCCTCGTGCATTGTGGTGCTCAGTGCAAAAGGGACTTTCATCCTGCGCAGAGAAAGTGGCATGCTCATTTCGGATGTTCTTCTCACCATGAATCATCACATGGAGGTGCGGTGTACTTACCTTGTGGGTATTTTGGGACAGGTGCATGACACTGACATGCTGTGCCCCAATGTGGTGATTGCACGAGATTATCTCAGCTCTTCAGATGATTTGCGAATCCTCGACTTTGTCAGAATTCAAGCTATTGATGACGAAGTGTCTTTCCATGGTGCTCATCAGACATTGCAACATGTGACTGAGTTCTTTCAGAAGACAGCTCTTGATGAGGTGCTTGAGGCATTGGGTTGGATTCTTGTCGTCGACGCAGATGCATTTGTTGCACAAGATGTTCAACGGCTGCGTATCCTCCGCAAATCAGCGAGCATTGCCTTGGTTCATGATGATCTTGTTTATTTCCTTGCAGTGCAGCTTTTTCTCACACGCATTCGCAACTGGTCAGATATTGGACACAACCCTACCATTTTCTGCAGATTGAAGTTGTGGAATACATGGATTTGGGAAGGGCTCATTGATGCCAATGTGACGCTTGACCATTTCAATCGTGTTTGGGAAATGATCACTGGGTGGTTCTGTATCTCCAAGCCTTGGAGATATGTGGTGAACAACAGAACCGTCAATCCTTCGTGGCCTCTGCATGGTTTTGTCACTCAAGACCAATCAGGTGCGGGTGAATTGAAGATTTACCTTCTACTTGGTATGCATGGAGGAGGTCCATCAGAGCCTGTAGACCTTCGGTCTCTTTCACAAGTCAGAGCAAGTGAGCATGCTGACACAATGGGACATATGGCTGATTTCGAAGCCAGATCTTTTGAAGGAGCCATGAGATTCGCGGTGCAGAAATTTGTGGAGGACATGGATCGAACCATTTACGCTGACATTTCGTCATTTCTGGAACTTGAAGTCACCTTTCTGGACGGTCTCCTGACACTGAAGGGTCCTTATGACATGCTCAGAAACTTCCTTGACATTGCGATCAAATCAGGATTGGAACGATGCTTTGCTTTCTGCGGATGGTTGGTCGTTTGCCATTTCTCGAGTGTTTTTGACCCAATTGAAGCACAGGTATTGTTCATTCGAAAGCCATCGGCACCTGCAGTATCCATTGATTTTCTGCGAGCCCTCCTGCATTCTGCTCTTGTTGTTCTTGGGCTCCCCAAGCCTGTGGATGACTCTCATGATGCCATCAAGACGAAACTGAAATTGTGGGGTGCCACAATTTATCATGCGAAGTTGCCACGCAGCATGCCCATTCAAGACTTCTTGGACGTTTGGGATCAGGCAGGGACAATTACCGGGTATGAAAAGATCATGAGGCTGGTCAGTCACACCGGTAGCACAGCCAATCCTGATTTCTCCTTGCGTCATTACTCGAGATGTGGACCAAATGATGAAACCATTGCCACTTTTTCCTTTGTGGGAGCGATGCATGGTGGTGGCCCGAGTGGAAGACCTGCTTCCAATTACCATGATCACCTTGTCCAGCAGAAGAACGCACTTGCTGCTTTCATGATTAGACAAGGCATTGACATTCAAGAATGCGTGCAGTGTGTGGATGTCTTAGTGCGTGAGGCAGGTCCAGACTCTATATCCATGATTCTTGCACAGAGGCAGCATGGCAAAAAGTGGGAAGGAATCATGAAGCTAGCCAAGACGCTCAACGTTGTCTTACCAGCAGTATCGAACAAGATTGAGGCTGCCAAAAAGAAGGTACAGCAAAAGTTTCAGGAACAGGCACGTAACCTGGAGCGCAATCTTCCTGTTGAAATGTTGAAGCTTCAAAAAGGTTTTCTTCTCAATGCCGATGAGACTGCTTGCTTGCAGATTCAAAAGATTCAACCGAACTGCTCTGGCGTTGTCCTTTCAAGATCTGAAGATGCTCAGCCTTGGTTGGGGACAGGACAACCTATTTCACAAGATGAGCTATCCCTGATTGTAGTTGGACAGTGCCTGCATGATGTTTCCGAAGACTGTCATCGCATCAGGGTGCCTGTGGTCTTGCATGATGAACCGCTTGTTGTCTCGGGCTGCCTTCATCACTTGGGTGTCAAACGGGCAGTGATCTCTGTTGATGATCAGATGCAATTCCCTGTCAATGACACTCAGGTGGTTTCTGTGACCGCTTATCAGGATGAAGTCGATGCATCCACTTGGGCATCGATTGTGAAGTCCCCAGTGCGTCATATCATGCAAGTTCTTTCTCATGAGGCAGGCGAGATTAGTCTTTTGTCTCCGCCATGGGGCAGGTCATTCCAGCGTCTTGGGAAAAGGTGTGATGCAGAGGTTGCAACATCTGTACAGATTCATATCCGTATCGACCGAGCTGAGCTTCGCAGAATTCTCAAAGCCTCTGGTAGTTCTGGCATCTATTGCACTCCGAAGACAGAGGATCGGAAAATTGTGAGTGACTACATGATTGTCTGGCTCAACCAATCGCCAGTTGATTTTGCTGTGTCACTTTCAAAGGTTGATTCCCATCGTGGTGTGATTCGCAATTCCAAAGGTGACTCCAAGAACAAGGGAATCCGTTTTGAGAAAGCAGACTATGTGCAGGCATTTGCAATTCTCAAACCGGATGACAAGATTCCGCAGATTGTTGCTGCCAATCATCACTTCAAGATTGCACCCACGCCCTTGGGGTCAACATCCGAGCAAGTTCAGACATGGCTTTCGTCACAATCATGGGAGGCCAAACCTGTGAGGCCCCTCAGTGGTGACTGCTGGCTATGTGTGGCAGAAAAAAGATTCGAGATCGTATTTGCTCAGTGGAATGGAAGCCCAA